TATTTGCGAACCTAAATATGCCATGTAATAAAACTTCTTATTTATTATTAATAATTTTATTATTATTTTTTTTTAAAAGCGGTTATTACGTGCATTATTGCCTTTTTTCTTTTTTTTTATAATAAATAATGTTATTAATTTATTTTTAAGATTAATTTAAATGTTGATTTATTTTTATTTAAATATAAATTTATATAAATTTATATAATAAGTTATTTTTAGGCTGATAATAATAGTTATAAACCTTATTAATGTAAAGGCAAAAAATAAAATAGGGATAAAAGGTAAGGTAAAAGTAAAAAATAAAATAAATATTAACCTAAATATTAATATTAATATTAGTGGAGTTATTAATTTTTGATTAATATATATATATAATATATTATATTATTAAAAATTTTATATATTTATAAAAAAATAATATATCCTATTATTATTATAATAGTAGCAAATGTAAACATTATTTATTAAATTAATATTTTAATTTGGTATTATTACCGGAAATATTATATATTTTTACTATAAATTGTAACTGTTTATATATTAATTATATTAATAATTATTAATATATAAATAATTGCAAATTTAAATATATAAAGTTAAAATATTTTTTAAATTTATATTAATTATATTTTAATATAATTATATATTATAGGGTTTATAATTATTTTATTGGTTAATAATTAAAAAAAATTTAGTATAACTAATATAACGGTTATTTTTTTTAAGTTAACAATAGGAAAAAAGGTTTAATAAAAGAAAGGTATTATTATGAAAAGAATATGGGAAAATAATAACATAAACGTAAACTTTTTAAGCTATTTTTTATATAATTTAAGAAGTTATATATTTATTAATTATATAAATATATTTTATAATATATATAATTATTAATAAATGTATATAATAAAATATTTTTTTTATTAAAATTAAATATATCTTAAATATTATATTTATAAATTATTTTGGTTATAACGTTATTATTATTACTATTATTATTAATAATAATAGTAATGGTAATAATAATGGTAGTAAATATGTTTAAATTGAAGAAATAAAGTTTATAAAAAAATTTTTTAATTAAAAATATTTTTAATAATTTATTTTATAAAAATAATAATAATTTAATAATTTTAAATAGGAAAAAAATATTAATTAATTAAATTATTTAATTATTTGAAAATAAATTTAAAAATATATTATTAAATTTTTAAAATTAAATAATAAAATATTTTTTAAAATAGTTAAATTTTTAATAAAATTTCATTTCTTATACAAATTAATATAAAAAATAAAATTTATATAAAATTATATTTTATTAAATATTATATAATTATTAATTAATAAATATTTTATTAATATATTAAAAAAAAAATTAATAAAAATAAATTTTTTTATTATTTTTCTTTTAAATCAAAATTTACCCATTTCTTTTTTAAATATAAAAAATAGTAAATTTAAAAATTGTTATTAATAATTTTAAAATAATATAACTATTATAAGATTCTATTTTATATTAGTATTATTAAAGAAGAAAATTTAAATCTAATTTTTTTTCTTAAAAATTTTCCCAAAAAATTAAAAAAAGTTATTATAAAATATAAATACTTAAATTAATTAATAAATAATATTATTATTTTAAAAATAATAGTAATATTTAATCTTTTATTAATAATTATAAAAAATTAATAATATAAATAAAAAGAATAATAGGTATAATAAAAGTTTTAATTATTAAGGGAAATATATATATTATTTTAAATATATATATTAATATACACAATTTTACCCTTATTTTACACCTATTATAATTTAATTTTATATAAAAAAAATAATTATTAAAAAAATAACGTTTTTTAATAATAAAAAAAATCTTAATTTTTTTAATTTAATTTAAAATATACTATTTTTTCTAATTATAATTTATTTTTAATATTTAAATTTTATTATTAAAAATTAATATATTAAATATAATATAATAGATTTTCTTTAATAAATATTTAATATATATTAATTATAAATATATTTTTATAACTTTAACGTTATAAAATAAACTTATAAATTTATTAATATTATATAATAATTTTATAAATTATTAAATAATTTAAAATAATATTTTATTATTATTTTTATAAAATAATAATAATATTGGAAATATAAATAATAAATTATTAATTATTTAAAATTATAAATTTAATAACTTTAATTTAAATTTAATCTAATTATAAAAAAATAGAAATAATAATAATAATATTATAAAAAATAATGGTAATATATAAAATAATATTATAAATTATTTTTTTTATAATAAATTAATAATATAATTAATAAAGGAATTAAAGATATTTATATTTAAAAATATATTTATAAAAAGATATTTTATTTATATAAAGTGTATAAAAACGGTTTTAAATATATATAATAAATTAAATTTAAATAGTTTTAATATAATTATATTTAATAAATTTATTGGTTTAAGGGGAAATTTTTTAAATAATTAAATATTAATTATAAAGTATATTATTTATAAATTAAACAAAAATTAAAAATTATTTAAAATTATATTAAATAAAATTAATATATTTTTTAAAGTTTAAACGTTAAAATTGTATATAATATATAGTTATATTTAAGTTATAAAAGTTAGATTTAATAAGATTGTTAAATATTATTATTTAAGAAAGCTTTTCTAATAATATTTACCTTTGAAATCTTTTTTATTAACTTTTAAATATTATAAATTAATAATTAATTTAAACGCCGAAATTATAGGTAAATTAATATATTTAAATTATTTTAAATTAATTTAAATAAATATTATAAATAACAAATTTATTTTAATTAATAATAATAAAACTTTTTTATAATATTTAAAAAATATTAATAAGAATTTAATCTTAAAACGTATAATTTAAATTAGTTTAAAAAAGCTAAATAATCTTTCAAATAAAAATAAATCTTTAAATAAATAAATTTAATAATAATTAATAATTTTTTAATTATAAAGATTTTTTAATTATTTAAAAAGATTTAAAAGTTAATAGTATTAAATTAATATTTTAATAAATAAATTTTAAGGTTTTTATATTTAATAGTTAAAAATATTATTTTAACCAATATTATTTAATTTTTAGTAAGAAATATATTTAAACAAAAATACTCCGGTTAAATCTTTAATTATTACCTATTTTTTTAATCAATATGCAATATTTTCTTAAGGGTGCTATATTGAACTTGTATAGATAGCACTAATAATATACTTTATATAAGCATAAATAAGCTCCGATAAGATAAAGCTACCCCGCCTGTCAAACCCCGCTTTAATACATATTGCGTACCTCGTAGGGCTGAAGGCAACGACGTAATGACATAAAGAAGCGGCAAATCCGTGTAATAGTTCTTCTGATATCGGCAGTTTTTTCCTACATACTACACACTTCTTACGATATTAAATGTAAAACTTCAATCAACAACTTTAAATTATAAGCTACGCGTCGGATGAACTTATCTTCATCATGTCGATTAATCCTCTAAGCTCATCGGCCATCCTTCAGCAGATGGCCGATGCTCTACCTACTCATCCCCAAGGCGATACCACATCTGATTTGAGTAGTTCTCATGAGGCCCTAGCTTTATTTTCTCACACCTGCATGGCTTCCCTCGGATTTCGTCTCCTTGGTTTCGATGAAGATAAACTTGAAGGTAGGTAAAGATATATCTAGCTTATACGATTTAAATGATACTAAACATTATTTAATAGAAGCGCAGTGCCATGAGTTAGCTCCGCGACTCCCACCGAATTGGAATGCGTCGTTCAACACATATGCATTTGTCTATGCGCATCAACAATCAGCCCTTCGATTCGTTATCAGAACTGATCGGATGGGAGGCAAAGCTGAGATCCGCGGTCTGGGTATTAACGATGAGCGTATTACGCGTGTCGAAGTCACCATCAAGGATTTCATCTCTAACGCAGCTCTTCCTGTTAGAATAACCATCAATGGCGATGGCGTAGAGGATCGCTCCAACCTACCGCAGACCTTACAGAATGTTTTCATCTCTGGAAACCGCATCGAGGATCTGGCTAGTCTGATCAAGATCAACATCGTCCAAAAACTGCTTCCTTCTCTGCAGAAAGAAGGCTACGAGGAATCTGCTGATGATAGAGCCGCGCGCGAGGATGCCGACGAAGCGGGTCGAAGACCGCCAAGACAACCTGTGATACCGGATCCACTGCCCCAGCCGGCACAGCCGTACCCGTATAATGACCCTCTTAACCCACCGCCCCGCAACCCGGTTCCGGCTGGCGATTTCCCACCGCCGGGCTTCGAAGACCCTTACGACATAAACCGTCCAGCGGGCATTCCGCTACGACAGCCTGCTCGAAGTCCATTTGGAAATATCGGGGCTGATGATCTACACCCTCCTGGGCTCGGACCGCATGATCCACTACGTCCCGGATTAGGCATCGGAGGGGGCCTACCGCGACCTGGTGGAGGTCAAGGCATGCATCCAACGTTTGATGATCCTCTATTCGGAGGCCCTGGCGGTGGCAATGGTGAATTTGACCCTCAGGTACCACCGGGAGCTCGCTATGATCCTCTAGGTCCGGGAGGCCTTCCAAGGCTGGGAGGTCGCAGGCCAGGGGGAGGAAGTGGTCCATTTGGTGGAGGGTTTGGAGGAGGGTTTGGAGGGTTTGGTGGTGGAGATATTATCTAATACGCTACAACGGACTAGTTGATCAGCTAGAGTTGACTTTGTGAGGCGTCTGGGCGAAGGCATGACATCCACGGAAAAGGGTTTGTATTACTGGACTGTATAATTTTAAGCCCTTGCTATCATTGCTAGTAGCTTCACGGAGATTGTCGAAATGAGAATGAAGACATACCAGATTTATCCCGATATGACCATAGTATCACGTTATTTATATTAATATAACATTCCCAAAATAATGTAAGCTCACACTAAATAAGTAGTATTAAAGTATGGAGATGTAATTTTTATTCACTTGATGAGGGAGATGATATTTGCTCTTTAGCTTTGCCTTCTTCAACCCAGCATTCAAAGAACAGAGGTCCGGCTTCTACTGCGCGGAGGGGAGTCGTCTTAGCTCCCCCAACGTCTTTGCCAGGCGCTAGGTTGTCTCTGGATCTCGTCTGTAGGTTTGACTGTGAAGGTATCCAAGGTTGCGGATGCTGATGTTTGTTAATTACCTATTGTTAATTGATATTTTGAGCTGGGATATTGATTATAAGCACTCACCCCTATTGGAGCTTCACCTTCATCTCGTAATTCCACTGCGATAGTAAAAGTACACTCGTTTGGAAGTGGTGCCATCTTTTCAGCAGCATATGCTAGCTTCCTCACAGTAGCACGTAGTTGTTCGTCTACATTCGCCCAATTCACCCTTCCCTCTATGCCACTCTCAATATTGACAGCTCCCTCGACAAGTTCGTCTTCTTCTTCTATTCTTGGGCCCTTTGCTTCCTTGAAACCTTTCCATGCTGGGAAGTTAGCGACATCAAACATCCATCGCTCCATTACTCTCGCCTGTCCGTCATATATGACGATAGCAATGCGCTCTACAACACCTAGGATGAGCTGTCCCTTTACAGCATCTATGGCGTCGCGGATCCACGAGCATACTTTCGGATGTCTTGACTGATGAACTGGTAGGTTATATGCTCGGCTGGTGAGAAATGTCTGAGTTGGGTAGATAGAGCGATAGTAGAGGATATTATGGATGCATATTGTGAGGAACTGAGTGAAAGAAGTTAAGAGATTGTTAGCTTGACTGAGAGGTACTGATTGCTGCTCTTCGTGAGGCTGTTGGTTTTGTAGAGAGGCCATTGGTGTAAGGAGTTATAGCATCACCCCTCAGAGGCTTTATGGCTTTGGCGCAAGATGCCGTGGTTTAGGTAAGTTAGGTACTTAGCTAGGTACCTTACATATAGAAGACGCGTTGAGGGGTAGGATTTCAAGATTTAAGACGCGTTAAGTGGGAGCAAGGTACCTAAGGTTTATTTATACATATGATTGGTGAGAGAGTTCCGTTAAAAAACTTAGGTAACACCAAGTGTCCTGCATTAGTACATATATTAGGTTTCGTTGATGGTAGGAGGTAGGAGGTAGTAGGTACGTAATGTACCTCGTACCTACATCGATTAGGTACATAACTTCTGTCACCTTACGTATGTACATAGGTACCTCCTAGGTCGACAAACAAACAGTTTAAAGTAGAATATAACTACATTTAATGTTTTGTACCATATGTACTAATATCTAAATCGTTTTATACATTACCTATCTCCAGTGTTGATGTTACAAGTTTAGTATTTATGTGATGTGATTACCCCAAGAACTGTCCAAACTTAAACTTTTCTTGGGGATCAACATCACTTTTTTACCAACGCGTCGCGCTAACTTTTTATAGTGTTTTTAAACTGCTAAAGCGATTAAGTAGTTGCCAATTACCGCTGTCAGTGCTTGCCCACAACATACCTATTTAAATCGGCATCACACTGCGGCCGTCCCACCTTCGTCCCGCAACTATTTTGACCGCTTTGAGACAAAATAGAAATATTTCTGTCGAGGCAACTATCGAAGCCACTATCTCGACCACAGAAACCCCACATCATTTGCAAACAACCTTGGAACAATATTGATATTTGAGCTTGTTCAACAACTGCTTGAACTATCTGGATCGGCGACAAAACTCGAGCGCCAACAATGGAGGACCAACTCGTCCAGGTCCTCGCCAACACCCAGTTGGCTGCCGAAGGTCCCAGAAAGCAAGCAGAACTTGACCTAAAACATGCAGCTAGCAATCCTGCATTTCCGTTGTCTCTTGCAAACATTGCCCGACATACATCTATTGCCGTAGAAATCAGACAAGCTGCTCTGTCTGCTTTGCGACTCTTCATCGAGAGACACTGGAGCGGGGAGAACGATGATGGCCCCGCCATTCCTATCGCCGATTCTGTCAAAGATCAGATCCGACCTTTAGTTCTTGATCTTGCTTTGAATTCGGAAGATGATAGGAAAATCAAGACGGCTGCAAGGTACGAAAGCCTTATAAAACAAAATGCATCGATCCTACATCCTCATTACCTACCTATCTATGCTTGTAAAATAGCTATATTTCCAGCGCATATTAGTTTTACCTTACTATTTCAACAATTACTGATCATTTAATTAGTTATTCGGTAGGCAAAATTGCTAATGTCGACTTCCCCGAATTATGGCCCTCGCTTCTTCCTACCTTACTCGAGATAATCCCGAATGGAAACGATAACCAGCTCCATGGTGCTTTGATAGTCCTCCGGGATTTGGTTGACGAAAGCCTCAGTGATGACCAATTCTTTTCTATGGCACGAGATATAGTTAAGGTCGTATACGATGCCGCCATCAATGAAGGCCGAAAACCTATCTTGCGAGCTCTTGCCGTCTCTGTCTTTCGCGGTTGTTTTGACCTCATGGATACTGTCAAGGAGGAGCACCCGAAGGAAGTGCAGAAGTTTGCTGACGAGGCAATGAAGGGTTGGTTTCCTTTCTTTCACCAGGCCATGAAGCTAAGGCTCCCTGCCCTCGAACCTCAGTTAAATGTACAGCCTGATGCATGGAACGGTATAATTGCCCTCAAGCTCCAGGTTGTGAAATGTCTTCTGAAGTTGAAGTACGTTTTCTCAAGCCTCCTGCTGCCTGAAACGCCGCATTTCTTTCAGGCCATCTGGGAAGAACTATTGCTCCTCGAACCCGCGCATGAGGAGCTATATATTAAGAATGATGCTCAAGGCAGGCTGGAAGACTCTGATGGCCTTCCCTATACTCTAGATTTCCTTATTTTGGAAGAACTAGATTTCTTGAATGGTTGCCTGCGAGCCCACCCTGTTCGCAAGGAGCTAAACGCCCAGTTAGCGGCCCACGCTTCTGCACATGAGACACCTTGGGTGCTAGATATGATGAAGCTCGCTACTTCTTATGCTCTTATCACTAGAGAAGAGGAAGAGTTATGGGACATAGATGTTTCCCTCTATCTTGCAGAAGAGCAGTCTGTGAGCGCCAATTACACCCCACGAACTGCTTGCGGAGACCTCTTAATCAAGCTCGGCGAATGGTTGGACCAGAAGGCCTTAGAAGGCCTCTTTGCTTATACAAAGAGTCTGTTTGTCCAGGATGCGCCGTGGAGAAGACAGGAAGCCGCTCTATACTTGCTTAATCAGCTTTTGAATGACTTCTTGGACTGTAGTAAGGCCGTCCCTCTAGAGATCAGTCAAGCGTATCTTGAACTGGTAAACTATGCTATTAATCGTCCCGGAGAACCGTTACTACGCGGCCGTGGATATCTAGTTGCTGGCGTATTAGCTCAGTTTGACAGAGTAGCAGTTTCACTACTGAACCGAACAATTGAGGCTATTGCGGTGGAGCAATCTGAGCTTGTGCAGGTTGCGTGCATAAAGGCGGTCGAGGGATTTCTCCAGGGTGGAAGGATTGCCGATAGCCAACAGGTCCAAGCAAATGTGGTCAACGCTATTTCTCAATGGATGTCTGCACGGGACATGTCCGACCTTGAGCAGGCGGATGACTTGCTTGTTACACTTACAGAAACCCTCCGAGCTGCTATCAATATCGACAAACGAGTTGCTGTATCCAACGATGTTCCTGCCCTGGATTTACTCTTCCTCATTGCCAAACATGGTTCAACTAATTGGCAGGTATGTATCAAATGGTCTTGTAAAAATACCAAATCCCTTTTGCACGCTGCCAAGTATATGTCTTATTCATCGGTAATGCTAACTTGTACTGGCGTTTAGGTCACTATGCTTATTTGCGAAGAGTTTGAAGACATCGTTAAGACAATGCCAGACCCAGCCTTATACCAAGCACTTTGCCAAAAAGTCCTCCCTACGCTGAATGGCGCATTCAACGTTGCTGATATTACTTCGGACAATCCACTCATTACGGTAAGCTTAGCAAATTCCCTAGCCGATAGTTCATCGTCGAATTTTTCGAAATGATAAATCTACTTCAAAATTCCCTACAGTCCAATTCATTAGTAGGGCTAACTAGTCTTAAAGTTTGCTACCGAATTGATGGCTGCCCTTACTCAATATGCCTCAGAACCCTTACCTCCCGGGTTTGTAGCAGCTACCTTGCCTAAGCTGAGCCGCTTACTTATGGAGAGTAATGAGGGTGATATTCTAAGACCAGGCGCTGAATCAGTCAAATATCTCTTAGCACACGACCACGAACAAGTACTCAACTACCACGACGAGAACAATAGATCTGGCCTTGAGGTTTGCTTACATATCATTGATCGATTGCTTGGTCCATCTATTGAGGACAATGCGGCATCCGAAGTTGGTGGTCTTGCAGCCGAGCTGGTTGAAAAAGCAGGCCATGAGCGACTTGGTCCATTCTTACCGCAGCTCTTACAGGCGGTTGCCAATAGATTAGCTTCGGCCGAGGCTGCTGGTTTTATCCAGTCCCTTATTCTAGTCTTTGCACGACTCTCTTTGGTTGGTGCCCGAGACGTTGTCGACTTCCTCAGCACGATTCAAATCAATGGTCAGAGTGGCCTACAGGTCGTCTTAGGCAAGTGGCTGGAAAATTCCGTCAATTTTGCGGGATACGATGAAATTAGACAGAAGTAAGTGAAAACCATTGGACTGAAACCACGCCCCTACTAATTTAAAAATAGTGTGATCGCTCTCTCTAAGCTATTCAGTCTAAATGATCCCCGACTTCTCCAGACGACAGTAAGGGGTGACCTGGTCACTGTAAGTGATAGAATTATGACAAGGTCCCGTGCTAGGCAAAGTAAGTCTCTTCTTCAAGCCCCTCACGTATTATTGCTCACTGATACCCAGACCCAGACGAATATACTGCAATCCCTGCTCCCTTAAAGATCCTTAAGGTTCTAATTGAAGAACTTCTCTCCGCATCGGGCGCGAATAACGCTGCTAATATCGCCGCGGCGGCGGCAGCAGAGTTTGCTGACGAAGGTGACGACGATGGCTGGGAGGATGACCCAGACACATTAGACCTCAACCTTGGTAGTGTCAAGAACGATCTAATGGGCTACCTAGAGGCCAACAATATGCGCCGTCGGGATGATGAAACTCAAGCTTATCTCACAGAATTCTTCCTCGCAGCAGCACGCGACAACATTGCCGGATTTGCAGAATGGTACAACCAGTTAAATGAGGACGAGAAAGCAAAACTAAACGAACTCTCTGCGCAATAGGTTTGCGCGTAATCGATAGTCATGCAGCATAAAGTATAGAAATAATTCCAAAAGGATATCTCATGGTCGATAATCGAGCTCGCGTTGGAAGTTAAGCGGTGCTAGTCTAAAGGGTCAATACAGTTCTATATCAAGAATTACAAAGATTTTTTGTAGCCCGGCATAATGGATTTAGCTATCTGGGGTAGAGAGATGCGCATATCTGGGTACTGTAAGCAACTAGTAAATAATACCTTGCTGGCTGTCCAGCTTGGGGGACTCGGATGAGGTGTCCGGGGGGGAAAGATGAGCCGTAACTAAAGAGAATCGATGATTATGTCCATTTATCTTTGTCGTTGACTTGTTAGTATTTTCTTCATGGATAAGTCTAATCTGTGACGTGTAGCGGAACATCAAGTCTTCATATCAAGTAACTTGGGCGTTATTATGTTGCTCTGGGGGGGTGGGGAGGTTGAAAATGGTACATTTACGAGTAGTCAGCCGAAAAGTCATGTATGAGAAAATACTGATGGCCTAAAATATTCGTTGTGCAATACTGCTTAGAAGTAGTTTATAACTACTACATACCTAAACATGATTTACCACAACTTGAGAATAGGTGAAGAAAATACGGGATAGGAACTAAAATTAGTAAACGTAGCAATATCATCACGATGCGGATCAAGCGTATAAATGAATATTATCTCATTTTCCATTCCATTCCATACCATTTCATTGCATTTCCTCCTCGACCGAGAATGTCCTATATTACCTAACCTATTATTACTCGACCTCAAACACGACGCATAAGAAGCAACAAACTCGACAATTACAATCGTACTTTTCTCATCTATACTATAATTAATTACTGGATTGGGTCTGGGTTTCGCCATCTCATCTCGCATCATCTCGTTTCGTAACGTCTATCCGGCATAGCGCGTAGCATAGGTTAGGTTAGTCCAAGCCAAGCCGAGCTGAGCTAAGTACATATCTCTCAGTCAGTCCAGTCGTGCCGGAATCGTTCTCGTTTTTTCCGTTCTCGTCTCATTACACATATACCCGTCCACAAGCATCGTCAAGTTCAAGTTGAAGTAGTAGAAGTAGCCGCTCTGCCAGAACAAGAAATAAAAGCTCCTATACAACGACGACAACGCCGACCTCGCAACGCCCGCGATGAATCTCGTCATGACCCCCCAAAGTAGCCAGAACGCCAGCCGTCCTAAAGAGCCCGCTTCATACATGACGTCCCTCTAGGCGTCACCACCACCTCCGCCGCTGCTGCCGCCGCCTTTCATGAGGGCCCGCAAGCTGGCCATTTCTCGGCGGAGGCGCGCGTTTTCCCGTTTCACGCGGGCTGTCTCCTCGCTGTAGTCTCTCATGCGCGTTATAATATCTTCCTTATCATCGCGCCCTTTGCCCTTAAGCGCTTTGACAATCTTGCCTAGTTCGCCGTTAAATTTCTCGTACAGTATCTCGTTCTCTGCCATCGTCTCTTTGTACAACTGATCGATCGCTCTGACTTTCCCCTCGGCTGCCCTGACAGTGTTGTCCATATCATACTGGAGTTGGTCTTGTCGGTCCAACAACTGCGCGACAAGCATAGGAACACGGTCCTCGAGGGTTCTCAAGTTGGCGGATAGCTTCCTCATGTCAATTGTCGAGGTACGTGGCAGAGATGAGTTGACCTTAGCCATATCTGCAGCGATCTTTGAGAGTTCCAACTGCAAATTGGCATCTACATCCTCGATAGCTCTCTTTTCCGTTTGCAACCGTTCTCGAAGTTTCTGCGTTGACTGCAATCGAAGCTTCCCTGGAGACTTACTTGGGCTAGAAGTAGGTCTAGAGGTTGATTCAGCTGCCGAACTATTATCACGTCTCAGAGTTGGGATATTAGAAGTTGAAAGCATCTTAGCATGCCCCTTCTTCGGCGATTCGTTCGACGATTGGAAAGGGTCTTCAACATTTTCCTTTTGGCGGGATGAGCGAATAGCTAGACTGCTATATTGCGAGGGCGGGCTAGTTGGAATTTTGGATGGCGGTGGAATACGTGGCCCAGAATTGAACTTTTCTGAAGTTTGCTTCATATGGGAGAGAGGTTGCAGCGGTTCGTCTTCGAGGGTTGCTGCCTCCATAAGGCTCTTAAGATCTGATAGTGAACTTCGACGTTTCCTCCTCGGGGTGTTAAGGAAATTCTCTTCAGTCTCAGGTTCCCCAATTGTTTCAAGCTTTTGTGAACTATTTGGCCGTGAATAGCTATCGTCGAAGGCACCTGTGATAGGAGGTCTGTCGCGCGACCCAGGTCGTCTTATCCTATTCGGACTAGACGGTGTACCAATTTCAGACTTTGTCCTAATCACAGGACTTCTAGCCAAAGTTGGTGTCGTCTCACCGGTGGCTGGATTCCTGTTGTGTTTGCTCAGAGTACGCCATACAGATGGTCTGGTATCCAAATCATTCTTGCTATTTTGTCTTGATAAAAAGTTTTCTAGCCCAAATTTCCTTCTTATAGAGGATGTATTCGAAGCAAACGATCCAGTATGCGATCTCACACTGCGAGTAGTCGAGTTCATAGACTCGAAGATAGACTCCGCCTGATCAATGCTTATACTGAATCCGCTTGGCCCGTCATCAAATATTCGGTCGCAATCTTCGACAAGCCTATCAAGTAGGTTAATGTAATTATGCGCGTCCCCATCATCAACCAAGACTTCTGCAAATGCCAAGGTGAGAGCTCCCCTGTCACTATCATTCGCGCAACCGTCGAGGAGGTCTGCTAGTAGTTTAATCACAGCAGTAAAGGCCCTTCGGTTTTGAGGTGCTATATCTCTAAAGAGGAAATGGACGAAGTCGGCGAAATCTCCAGGAAGCTTTTTTGAAGCTCTCTCTTGCAGAGCGTCTAATGTCTTAAGCGATATAATGGGGCCCATTTGTTCTCCCCAAGCGATGCGCACGAACTTCTCGAAGGCAACAAAAATGACATCAGGGGTCGAATCGGATGAAGTTTCAATATCGAAGGGACTTTCGATAAGTTTGTTGTAGAGATCGTTCACGGAAAGTTCATCAACAGTAGACCTATTGAGCAGCGTTCGGCCAATAAAGTTACCTTTGCGTGCCTGAAGGCTAGCCATATAGCCAGTGAAGGTTTGCTCAAGCCGAACTAACGGGTTTTCTGGTCGATCATCATCGGTTCCGCCAATCCGAATTCCATCCCTGCTCTTGGTTGAGCCATGCAACGAGTTCGCGTCAACGGAGCTATTAGACCTGCTAAGTCGGCTAGGAAGAAGGATTGGAGCATCTCCCGTCAATGTACGCTGATGCTTGTGACTGCTGCTTGTATCCGAGTTGCTGCTCCCGCTCAGGAAGTTCGAGAGGTACTTCACGGGTGATGTAGCTAAGAAGGACCTCGTTTTCTCTGCTTTGCTAGAGACACTTAAACCCCGAAGTACCTTTGTATGAAATGACACCATCGCAGCAGTCAGCGCTGGGTTTCCGACGTTGAATTGAGTACTGAGAAGCTGAATAACTGCGATTCAATTAGCAAAATCTCCGCATTGCTCCAGCAACAAAAACATACCTCTCCTAGCAAGTGTTGGGAGGAAATCATCTAGCCCAATCTCGTCGGTCGCCTTCTTCCCATTAAGTCCTATTGTGATGACCATCACCTTCCTCATACTCCCCGTCCCCGTCTTTACATCCGAACATATTTCCACGCCATAGTGACCGACAGGCGCGCCTTTAGTACCCTTCTCGTGGTCTATAACGATACGAACAGGGGCCGGTTCCTTCCGACCTTCTATCAATTGATCGAGACCTTCCTGAAAGACAGCGGCAAACAACCCTAGGCCAGTATCAGACATCCTTATAGACCGTAGAGTCCAACAAGGATCTTCACGCTCCTTCTCGGAGAATCTGCCCTCTACTCTAGCCTTGACGACCTCTTCGCTCCACTTTGCGGCTTTGCCTTCGTACAATTCTTGTAGCACGAAGCACCGCGAAGTAGTTGCCGTGTTCGTGACAAATTCACCGGCATTGGCACCCTTCATCTCGTTCAACGAAGTCAACCAAACCATACGCCCATCTGAAGATTCTGTAAACCGGACATCGGCTAAAGAGTGCCAACCAGCAAACGCTAGCTCGTATGAACCTGGGCCACCAGCCGCGTTCGTCATGGAAACCAATAAACCGGCCGGCGATGGCTTGTCAATCTCACGTAGTAGGTCGCGTGCTGACGTGTTGGCACCGTAAACTTTTCTTACGATCACGACGCAATCTGAAAAGAGTAGAAAAATGCCGGCTTGGTCACTTGGAACTAGCTGTGTAGCCGCGCCAGATTGGTAAGGGGCTGGTATCTCAGAGAAGTCAGCGGCAACAATTAGCCGGCCAAGAGGCTCGAGATCGATAGGCCAACTCTCGATCATGTGTCGTAGGCGTGTGTTAATATGAGGCTTATCAGTGAGCGGGTCATCCATGGAGCAGATGTTGGCAATAATATCCCTAGCTTTCAACATAGGTTGAAGCGCGGGATGGGTAATTGGTAAAGAGCCGACAATTTGGTCAATGACCAAACTATAGCGTGGCAGCCGCTGAACAGGCTCGATGACAGTAGATCGAAGGTGTTGCTCTCCAGTGGCAGCTACTCGTTGCGAGAAGCTGGATTGTTGGCTAATAAAGGATGTAATTAGCTGAGGGAAGTTTTGACTCGCTCGAATATAGTCCTGGTAACAGTCGGTGAACTTTGGAAACCATTCCAACATGACCTTTGCCATTGCCACAGCTCCGCTTGCATCTTTCCCCTTTCCCATCACACTTCCAGACACGCCTACTCTCGAGGACGCAGTACCAGATTCCATATCTTTCACAGCATCTCCTTCAGTATCTTCCATGATCTGTCGTAGAGCCTGCATGAAACCCGTATTAATCTGTAAAATTTGATCGGCCGACCTAGGGAATAATTTCTCAACATCCTCTTCCGAAGGACTAAAACTCCCCGGTTGTTGCTCCTTGGCCTTTTGCCTATACTCGGGTGCAAGATGATTCACCAACTCATCCATCTTCGCCACGTAGCGTTCTTCAGTCTCTAATAACTCGTCCATCTTCCGCCGCAACTCTGCCTTCTGCTGTTTTGAAAAAGACCTTGTTCTATTCAACGCGCTCGGCTTGGAGGGGGCTCGTCGTAATCTCGAGGTCGGTAGGAAGACGGGTTCACCGAATAACTTAACAATAGGTGTGTACATTCCATACTGCCGCAATGTTGGATCTAGAATATCGTCTTCATCCTCGGGAAGGTCCTCTAGGTCAATAGGCTGGAGAGGACTGATGGATCCAGGTGGTAAAACAAGATCAATATCGATATTATTTATATGCTGCGTCTGAAGGGCGGACTGCAGCTTTTGAATGACATCGAAGGCAGTATCCGCCCTGACCATTGACTTAGCAATATCGGCGGCATGTTGTTCACTGAAAAGCGAGGGCAACGAACCGGGTCGGCGATTTCGAATGGTGGGATATTGGTTTCTAACGTGGGCTTTCACATGCTCGGGCAACTCCTGAAAATATTTGAATAAACCGAAGGCTAAAGCTCGATAGACCTCGTCACCCTGAAACTCGCGGGGTAGATAGTTGACGACATTATAGAAAGGCGAGTTCGGGGATATGGTAAGTCGGGGAAAGGATTGGAAACCAGCCGGGGTATATACGTGAACCTGGACTCTTGAACTATTTAAGGTATAATTTGCGGTTGTAGATGGTCCGTGAAGTATGAGCAAGGGAAGATGACCTAGTAAGGGGTCGGTAGCTTGATAAAGAGTGAGATGATCTGGCGATAGAGCCAGCTCCTCGGTGACGCGAACCATGGCCGCCTCAGTAGGCCTGTCGCATCATGCTCCAGACAGGGGGAACGAGTGTGAGGAGGTCGATAAAGAGACCCGAGGGACAAGTTAAACGAGGCAAACGTCTTCTGACCAGGTTTCGTTTTTAGTAAATAAGTTTGGATTGGATTCTTGTGCGCGTCGAAACCTGCAGTTGATTGTTTACTTTGAAAGCAAGCAACAAAAGTACTTAGTTAGACTAAATTGATAGTACACAAGGCCACCCGCGACGAGAAAAAAATGATGCATGCAATATAGTAGAAGAGGGGAATAATGAGAATTGAGAATTAATAAATGCGCCAAAGACCAAAACCGGATCTTTAATAATTGCAATGCACAACAACTGCCTCGATGTCCTCCAAGAGTAGTACTATTGTGGGAAGCATCATTTGCGGTCAGTGACGAGAGACGGCTAAGACTAGGATCAGACCGGAAGTGGGTAGGGTTTCTATTTTTTTGTGGTCCCTCGGGGATTTAGTAGGTTTGCCGAACAAACGCGACAATTTGAAACCGCGTTTCGATTTTTTAACCCCACCTTATTCCCCCAAGAAATCCTTATGAGGTACCTATGTAAAGTACCACCTACCTAAGGTAACTTTAGCAACCTTACATTAGGTAAGGTGCACCAGCTTACTTCTAAGAGGTAGGTAAGAGGTACCTACTTTAACGAAATTGGAATTAAGCAGGGCATTCTCCAACTTTGTCCTTTTGACAAACAGCAGTTTTTATATTACATACACATCAGTCCACTGCCATACCTCGCCACCCACCTAATGACCAAATAATTACAATATATGCAGGCTACCTTGACGTAGCTATTCGATATTCTGATAATGTCTAGTCAAAGGGAGACGGGCATATCACTCAATCATGCTCCCGACGGAGTTGGCTATAAGCTATTAGAATTACCCCCTGAGCTACTTACACTACTAGAATCAGATACGCCTCCTGTGTTAGTAAATCATAAATATAAAAGATTTCTCAATTAGTTACTAATACGGTTTATGTTGTATAGTTTAACACTAGAGTCTTCGACGAATTCAGCAATATTAAAAAATGGTACTCAATCATGGGGTCTCCGTCAGAAAAACACATCGAATGCTTTAATCTTACTTAAGACTTCCGAGGGAACAACCCCTTCGTCTTCAGAAGTACAAGAAGCAAGCTTAAATGCTATCGCAACAATCCACGATACAATCGAGCTTGCCCCGGAACTAGCAGTGGCAGCACCTCCTGTTGCAAAGGGCAAATGGCATGAGAGGTTTGCCCGGGGAAGATAGATTTGTCGTAGTTAATAACTAATAAGAGACTATAAGAACTAAGAGATTAGCCGAATTAGTTACTATAACCGACGTCAATTTATTACCTAATATCTACCAATGCGTTAGCAGCAATATCCATGTGTGTGTTATCCCCGGATTTTAAACAAGCCGAAGCATGGTCTCCTTGTAGGTAATACATCCATCTCAGCCCGAGCTCTCGCCGCTAGTTTTTTAAAACACACCGACTGCAGCTATACTAAGGCAATCAGAGAATAAGACAACTTCCCTCATAAGTAAGGAATAGTTATATATGTTGTTCTAATAATATTCTCGATGTAAAGTACTGGAAGAATACATATAAGTGATCTACAATCTTGCAGGATGAACCTTGTCGGCACTACCACGCTACTTAGGTACATATATCGGGTCCAAGGATTCGGGAAAGGCTAGAATGGAAGTACATCCATACATGTAACTACATATAAGAAATAACTCTATGTATGTACTTAGGTACGCTTTAACCTAGGAATTGACTTGGGTGTGTAAGTTAGCATTAGCATGAAGGCTAAATCAACGTTAAGTTATAAGGTAGGTAGTTATCTACATGTAATAACAGAACGATCAACTAGCAATTGTCATTTTATTTTGGGATATGCCTGACGAGCATCGGTTTTAAGCTATATGCTTTGCCTTAGCGGGCAAAAAGTTTCCGATATGGCGATATGATGTGAAAAAATATTAAGCATTGTGCAGATGCTGAACCTTTGACCAGGCTACAAAAGGATAGCCTGGCCTACCAGAGCCTCAATTTATTTCCCCCAGTCCGCCCCTTATCAACCTATTCTCAAATTAAGTTGGCCTCCCTATCTTCCTGTCTAACCAAAACTCGGTGGTATCACGTACCTTCGTTTCGCATACCTGGCCAGTTCTTGTTTGTATGTATATAATTATCTACCTAACCTAACATACCTATTTTAAACCATCTTCATTCCGATAGCAATGAAATGATATAAGTGTAGGTTTTGCGACCGGTTACCCTCAAGGCGCAGGTACTGTACCGTTGTAAGACTACAGAATTATCATCCTATTATCGGATCATCGAAGTAAGGGTATTGAACTGGTTACCTCTGATGGCAGATGTACTCTATTGAGATTACATACTATTAAAAATTGCCATTTACTACCATCTCAGATAGCGGGGTTTCCTTTCGACAGCCAGCGGGCCAACAGCCAGCAGCCAGCAGGCTGATTCGAGTCATCGTCAACAGTGATTTAGTGACGTTTTCTTACACTCACCCATACATACCTAATTAGCGAAATGGCGCTCTTGACACTCGGCACCCAAGCAACCAAGGAAATAATAATCTTTCTCACCACGTTAACGGCCCGGGAGCAGTTGCATACACTAATGTTTTTTTGTCTGCGTTGTTGGTAGCGCTACTCCAATTTTCCAACTTATTTTGCCTACTTTGTTTGTCTCTTCCTTCACTCCTTCACTACAATCCTACTCATTCAAGCACATTCAAGCACATTCGCTCACTACCTAGAGCCATCGCCGACATAGTTATTTTGTCCATTAAGTACGTATGTGGCTGCGGGCGTATGCGCGAAATATCCTACCCCGAGTTGGAACAAACTTTCTTTTTGATTAACTATTTCTTTTAATATTCGTGTTCTTGGTGTTCCGCACGGACGAGTCTTATATCTTGTCTACCAATTCCAACCTTGACAGAGGTACACACTGTATTTGCATATACTCAAATGCCCCTCAAAAAGGTTACCTGAATTACCAGAGCAATACCAGAGCAAGACCAGAGCAAGACCATCGGCAGTCTATCAGCATTCAGCATTCACCTCGAGGTACTATCTCGACATTACAGTACCAAGTCGCAAACATCTTACAGACTTACAGTACTTATACACATTTGTCTGATCTGACCTTGGCCAAACTTTCCATTCTAAGTAAGTAAACTGTTTTCTTCTACCTGAGCGCAGGTAAAGTACATATATAAGTACATACACCTCAGCCCTGTGTGCTTAAACGTTTTAATAAGTTTATACTATTTTTTCCCCATCCCCATCACCCCCCTTTCTTCCTTTCCTCCTTCCCTCTTCTTCATTTCTCCGATATTTAAGACATGTGCCCAATGTTGATTATTACTTCTCTATTTGGCAACTGCCTACCTTCTACACTTACCCCCTTGAAACTTCCTCGGGCTTGTTCTTTCCCTTTGTCTTTACATTTTTACATTTTTACATCATAAGCGCTATGAATTTCCGCCTTGTTACTCAAGCACTAATCCGTATGGGCCAAAGGTTATCTAAGGCCGTATTTGCCGGCCGCTTAAGGGCTCGGATTTGTCGTCGCAAGTCCAAGCGACTTGGGGTCGGCCATAATCCCGTCTTCCCTGTGTCGCAAACCTGTTCCAACGCCAAAATGGCAGAACAACGGGTTGTCATCATAGTAGATGACGACATAGACGACGAGGTACATGGCCAAGATATGCTGCAAGACGTGGTGGAGATCGATGATGACGATTCCCTTGGGTCTATCGAAGATTTCGAAGATGACCAAGATATTGAAGACCTCGAAAATCTCATAGATCCTCGTCCTAACCTTGAAGCATCGTTAGCAGAGCAGAACACCTGCAAAGACCGTGTCAAATCTGTGTTCCCTGATATTTGCCTCACATATCTGGATCAAATTGTCGCTGAAAATAAGTACAATTCGGATTTTACCATTAGCGCTATTCTTGATCGACAGGAGAAAGGCGAAAAATATCCGGTTCAGTCCCGTGATCTGAAGCGCAAGCGAGCGGAGGACGACAATAGAGATGTTGAGGACGAGGCTAACGATGAGGAGGAAAATGCTATAAAGGCTGAAAATGCTGTCATAGAAGCGACCAGAAAGAAGCTGGAGCAGGTTGACTACCGTGGAATTACTGTTAAGGAATCATGCTATGCAAATATGGCAAAGGATTTTTTAGCTTCTGAGGTGCGTCTAAAAAATCACTTCCCTCGTTCTTTTCGAGACATCTTAACCGTCTCTTTTTATGCTACAGAAGCTAACAATAGTCATAGTATGTCGAAATTTTCTACCAATATGCTCTTATCACGGGTAAATTTTAGTTCTAGGCCTAAGACTAACATATCCCAGCTTCCCAAAAGTCCCGATGCCAATGATCAAGAACCTATTACGCGCCAATGGGGGATCTATCTTTGAGACATATACAAAGATTGATGAGGCCATCCGCAACTGGGATAACGCAAAACCTCCTTGGACGGAAAAACGACGGGCATCAAGAAAAATAGTACCGTTCTTACCAGTTCGTATCGAGAATCTTGACATGAGCAACTATAACGAAGCGCAGAAAGCAGCAATCGACGAACTACGTGCCGCCAGGGATTTGAAAGCCATTAAGGACGCAGAAGTTGTTCGCAAAGCGGAAGAAGAGAAGAATTTTGCCCATGCAAAGTCGATCGGCGAGGTAGTTGAGTGCGGTTGTTGTTTTGACGAATTCCCTCTCAACCGAATGATCCATTGCGATAGCGAAGACGTTCATTGGTTTTGTCGGAATTGCATGAGATCGCAGGTGGAGACAAACATTGGCCTGTCTAAATATGAAATATCGTGTATGTCCATGGACGGATGCGAGGCAGGTTTCTCCGTAGACCAGAAAAGGCAATTTCTCAACAAGAAGCTCCGTGTCGCTTTGGAGCGGCTTGAGCAGGAAGCTGTGTTGCGTATGGCTGGCATCGAGAATCTCGAGACTTGCCCATTCTGTCCATATGCAGCAGAATACCCCCCTGTTGAGGTCGACAAGGAGTTTACCTGCGTCAATCCGGGTTGCGAAAAGGTCAGCTGTCGCCTATGCCGTAAAGAAACACATATCCCAAAGACATGCGCTGAAGCCGCCAATGACCATGGTATCGACGCTCGACACGTCCTTGAGGAGGCGATGAGCGCAGCATTAATCCGGAATTGCAATAACTGTAAAAGACCCCTTGTTTCCGAGAAGTTTTATACATTCAACTGACACCTCAACTATAGGCAAAAATCCTTATTTGAAGATAAACGGCTGCAACAAGATTTGTTGTACCAAATGCCGTACAATGCAGTGTTATGTTTGTCGTCAGACTATTAAAGACTATCGACATTTCGATGATTCTTCAAGAGGCGGAAAAAATGGACAGTGCCCGCTATTCGATAAGACCGAGGAGCGTCACCAACAAGAGGTGCAGCAAGCGGAAGAGAAAGCTCGCCAGAGAATGTTGGAGGATAATACTAATATCGTAAGTCCTTTCTTCTACCCCATTACTTCTTCGGTTTATAGTTTACTCCTAATTGTTGGCCCGTTACGACCCGTTTCAACTTCAATCTGTTGGTCCAAGTTTATGTCTAATATTCGTGCTATGCAGACCGAGGACGCGTTAAAGATCAATATCTCAGAAGAAGTTCTTCGAGATGATCAAAAGCGTAGAAAGGGTAATTTGGGACAAGGCGCTCCAGGTATCCCTGCGGCGGAGTTTCTTAATAATATGAACAATCGCATCGACCAACTCCAGCGTCTTGCGCGTGAGCGTCAAGCGGCCCATCCCCTCATCCAACCTCCCGCTCAACCCGTAGCCGTGGCTGGCGGTCCCCAAGCTGTTGGTCCCCAGGCTGTTGGTCAAGATGCGGTTGGTAGGGGTCCACCCTTGTTACCCCCGATGCAATTACCAGCGCAGTTTCGAGTACTGTATCAGGAAGAGTTTAACCGGCAGTTAGCAGTGCTTAGAGGTAGAGTGCCACCTGTGCCACCTGCACCTGGTGCCGTATTGCCACCTCTAATGCAGCCTCCTCAAATCGGCAGACCCGTCCCTCGAGGCGCTCCTCCGGTTCTCAACCGAGGCGTACCCCAATATCAACCTATGTACCAACCGGCATATCAGCCACCATATCAACCAATACCTCAAGCATTGCAGCAACGCGCGCTCGACATGCTACCCCAAGAGCCTCCTGCAGAGCCTCCTGCTCGAATCTACGGACCACCGGGTCCGTTTCACGTTAGGCAGAATCAAAATCACCTCCATCGTCGCGGATAGTTATAACTACCGTCTTCCCACACATTGTTCTATAACACGTCTCGTCCTTTACAAGCCCCGCTCGTGAAAGGACGTCCAAGTACCAAAATTGCATTTTCCGAGGGGAGGGGGGTTTTGTTTTTCTCGGAGTCGGTACGCCGCCCGACATCTGGTTGCTTTAGCTTTTGCCCTTTGTTTCAGGTACCCATTCGATACATCGTTCAAGGGGAGGTCGCCGAATTTTGTGCATATGGACCTTGTTTACCTTTACGGTCTAGGGATTTTGCAAGCACTTCCGCCTTTAGGAGTTTTGCCGGCTTGGCGTCGAGGAAGGTATACATCATTGCAGCATACGAATTGGACGTTAAAGGAGGAGATTTGAGGAGGTGTGTGTGTTTGTGTTGTGTATGTGTGTGTATTTTAATATGGTCTCTACCAAAGAGCCGTCTTCTTTCTTCTATTCAACATTACTGAGCAGACGGCCGAGGTTATAGCAGGGCACGGGTGCCTATATCCCAACATGGCCGACAGGTTTCGTTATAGGGAGCTGACGATTGAGAAGCTAACCTAGTCTATCCACACCCGGGTTGACTGGAAAAGCAACTCTAACCATCCCCTATTAATGATATCCTTGTCCCAAGTCTGCTCGGAGCAAGTTTCTATAGATACCCCAGATGGCTATTGCCGATACTTAATGAACTCATTCTAAGCTAACCTCTCTGCATGCTCCTCTTCGCTCTAATTGTGATGTTCTGTTTCTTCGTTCTTTAGTCTCTACTCCCGTCTCGCCTGGCTTCGTGTCGTATTTCTCAACACCAGCAGTACTTCTCATTCGCAACCCACTCGATATTGCGGACATCCTCGTCTCCGTACCACATCATGCTCGGTATGCTATCCTCATCCCTTTCGACCCAACGATGCCGTAATCCACTAGTATCGATCAATTTCTTGATAATCGGTGACGGATTCCATAGATCGACTTTTCCCAGGTGCCAGCGGGAAGCCTCTCGCAGCGCAGCTTGCATCACAGCCGCAAACGCCTCCCGTATATCCTCGCTCGGATTCTCGTTTTCCGCTTCGGGGGATTCAGGCTCAATGACTAGCCGCAGTATGTACAGCGTGTTTTTATCGACGTTATCAGCCGGCGCGCCGCTGCTGCCGCCGCCGCCGCCGTAGTAGTTCCGCGACCAGACGGCCCAGACGCGACGGCCTTCGGGACCGGCTAGGGCGCCTCTGGTGAAGGTTTCTTGCGGTGGGGATGGGTTTGATTTGAAGAGGATGGAGGCGATGAAGTCGTCTCTGTAGAGATGCCACCGTAGGGTGTCGTGGTCGGGGGCGAAAGCTACGCTTGTGCGGTTTGTTTTTTGCGCTGTGCGTAGGAGCTTTTCTTTTAAGAGCTGCTCGTCTCGCTGGCAGAGGGGCTCTAGGTTGTCGTATGTTATAGGCGAGACTTTGTCCTTCCCGCTTTCTTCAGTCTGGTTGGTGGATACTGGGAATTCGACGTGCAGACTGGGAAACGCGGCCCAGCCCTTTTTCGCATAGTACGCCTTGCCAATGTCCGACCAAAGAGCTGAGCCCACGACGTCACGGTCGTGAGATTGCCATTTCCTCAGCGCAGGGCCTAGCTCGTTGAGCATGCGCGCTGCGTACCGGTTCCCGCGGAACTCGGGATACGTAAAGACGGATCCGATACCGTGGCATACGCCATCGTGTACTGTGTTATCGCTTGGAGAAGCAATTAACACACGTTTTCTAATAGACTCGCAAGATGCGAGAACCGGCCTGTTCCCCCCGCTATCTGCCGACCAAGACGAGTCTGTGAGAATCCAATGTGTCATACCGCCGTCGCGTGTTAAGGGAATAGTAGTGAGGTACGGCTCTCGCTTCAGGTACTCCTCGAGAGTCAGAGCACCACCCCATTCTCTATGGTTAAGAGTCCAGGTTCGGTGTTTTTCGGTATCAGTTGGATGAGCGAGGACTAACGAGGGAGCGGTAGCCTCAGGGAAGACATGAGCGTCTTGAGAAGCAGAGCCCATATTGTCGACTACTATTTGTATAAGAAGTACCTAGCAGTACGGGATAAAACACCTAGGTATGTAGGTAACTAAGCCTTTCGTCACGGAGACTGTAAGCGTTATAAACTTCCGGGATCGAAGCGTATTTATTGGATATACGTGGTAAAGATAATCGGTATAGCTTAAGGAATGACGTTTCCTGCAAGACTTAGCAACACTCAGATGGTTAAAGAAAAGCTTAAATGGGGGTTAGAAACATGCCAACGCCAAACTACTGAGCAAGAACAAAGAGAACCTAAAAAAATATAACTACGAAAACGTGGTAAGGTGCCACCTGCAATATATATATATATACCCGCTGTATATACATTAGGTAGGTAATCTTGACGTATGAACCCTACGGATAGAGCTCCCAAGATGAAACCCGATGACCAGTCGACATGCATGTATCACCACGCAGGAGGACTAGTCCATTATCTTGAACCACGGTTATAAGAAAATGGGGTCATAATAGCCTAGCACTACATAGGCCAAGACTCCATAGATTTTATGTAACAAAATGTAGAAATTTGAGAAAGCCGGTGAATCTACCGGTCTTCTTGGTTGACTTGAGCCGCTCCGGCTCTTAATCTCGGACCGGGGTTCGGCGGACCACTTGATCAAAAACGGTAATAATTAGATATCGGATCATGCCTATCTTTTTCACCGTCTTGAGAAGGTAATAGTAAATTGGTTTTAATAGAAGAAATAAATGAAATACATACCTTTTATAAGAAGGTCCACGACAATCGGTGAAACTAAATTGGCAAGTCTACAATTACCTCTACAAAAGGCGGACTATACATGATAAGCTGAGCGGGATGGGGCTTAAGGCAGGTGGGTCTCGGTTATATCGTGAACATTGTGGGGCATCATGCCGATGCAACCCGCCTCGAATTTATCGAATTTAGGTGTATAGGTGGGACTTATAGGTCGACTTACATACAAATGAGCTCTGCTGACCTTGGTTACTACATATTATACTCCATCATCACACTGCATGGTGCACGTACTGGAATGCCACTGGACGCTAATGTAAGTGGACGAGTTGATTGCCTCGGATCCGGAATTTGGTTTGTAGAATTAAACTTGTGTCTTAAACCGTCTTCCTATTAGGAACGCCTCGCGCCCACCATGTTTTCTTTTATTTTCTATCAGTGTCCATGGCCATCATCCGGCTCTCCCCTCTCTTCCGGATCCAGTTTGATCAGGGTATCGATTCTCATTATGCTGATACACGCCTCCACCGCACTCTTTAGCTGTCGAACCTTGCTCATACTGGGTTCTAATACGCCAGCCTTGATCTCGTCGACTACCTTTCCCTTCATCAGATCTAAACCGTAGTTCTTGTAGTTCTTCTTTTTCGCGATCGTCTTTTCATCCTCGTTGGCTTCTCCATCTTGTGTCCTCTGCGATAGAGCGTGCCGAGACCGTAATTGCGCTACTAATTCGCTTGCGTCCTTGGCGGCGTTGACAGCTAAGGTCTTGGGAATAACGAGAAGCGATTGCGCGAACTCTCCAATGGCCAGCTGCTCTCTTGAGCCGACTGTGCCTGCGAACTCTTCTAGGTAGATGTGCAGTGCGGTTTCTACCGCTCCACCACCGGGCACGATGCTGCCACTCTCTAAAGTTCGCTTAACCGCACATAGCGAATCGTGAACAGATCGCTCCATCTCGTCAAGTGTGAAGTCATTTGGCCCTCGAAGGAGAATAGAGGCTGACGAGTGCGTTTTGGTTCCCTTAACCATGATACACTCATCGTCTGAAATACGTTCTTGAACAACTTCTTCGGCGTGGCCCAAGTACGAAGGTTCAAAACGCTCATCACCGTTCAGATCAGAAAGTGTGCTCAATAGGGTCGCGCCGGTAGCCTTTGCAATTCGTCGTAGGTCTTCCTTCTTGCATCGTCTCACGGCCATAGCGCCACGCTCGATGAAGAGCTTCAAGCACATATCGTCAATACCCTTGGTCGTTAGAATAACATTTGCTCCAGCCTTGAGTATCATCTCTACTCTCTCGATAACCATTCCTGATTCTCGTGCGCGGATCTGTTCGAGCTGTTGAGGGTCATCGACAGTGATTTGTACACCCAACTTCATCCTCTCCTTTTGCAGATTCATATCAAGTACTGCAATCTTAGCATCCTGTACCCGCGTAGTCATTGCCTGCGACGCAACGGTGCAGTTTAGAGCATATCCCTTGACTAAAACAGATTCTAAAACGCCCTTGCCATGTGCTTTCAGGATGTTGACTGCCTTGACGGGATATTTCACCTCGCTACGGTTATTTGTTGTCTTAACTGCTTGGAGAGCATCAACAACCATGTTGGCAAAGAAGTCAGAGTCGGCGCCAATAATCTTGCTGGACATTGACGTCTTAGCGATGCTGATTAGCGATTCGCGGCCGAGATTTTCCACTTTAGTGCTGACATTCTCATTCATGTATTTGATAGCCTCTCTCAAAGCAAGTCTGTAGCCTGTGATGATAGTAGTCGGGTGTATTCGGTTCTTCACAAGCTCGTTTGCTCGACGTAGGAGTTCGGCGGCGATAAGCACTACCGAAGTTGTACCATCACCAACTTCTTTATCTTGCTGGTGCGCTAAGTCGACGAGGATCTTTCCAGCGGGGTGCTCGACATCTAGTAAGCTTAGGATTGTCGCGCCGTCGTTGGTTACTGTAACATCCTATAATATATATAGTCAGTTATGAAGTATCTACATTTATGACTATAGTTTACATACTCCAATATCATCCACCATCATCTTATCTAGACCGCTAGGTCCAAAAGAGCTCTTGACAACGTTCGCTATAGATTGAGTAGCAAGAACTATATGACTTGGTTAGCTTTGTATACCAATATTAATAACAACTTTAAGGAATAGGGAGCTACTTACCATTCTGATCCCTAATATCTGCACCGGATATCTTCTGACCACCGAGGAACAGAGTCCCATTTGAGGGCTGCTCAAACATGGAAGCCATATTTTAAAGGAAGCTTATTATAATTTGTTATAAATAACAGAAAACTTCCAGCGTAGTTGGGAAAAGAGGGGAATTTGATATAATCGAAGCTGCCAGGCTGCTTCGATATTTTGTTAGGTGAAGCTTAGGTCCTTAGCATCCACCTGAACTTGGAACTTTTTTGCGGAAGTAATGGTTATTCCTAGTCCGATAATAAACGCACGGTCCTATTTTCCCTTATCAGTCAGTCAGCCCCTCAGGCCCCTCAGGCCCCTCCAAAGATTTTGGACCCCTCGGACCCCTCTATTTTCTATTGGGAGAGGGAAATCGCGGGGCACTATTGAAATTTCCAGTTCGCGTTATTACTACCAATATTACTACCAACATAGTACGAGGTACACTGTTTTATTTTTATCCAGGTGGCACCTTCATATCTACCAGGTATATCTCTCCGGTGTGACTCAAATATCCGCCGCTCTTAAACTTATCACAATAATTTTATTTTGTGATACTAACTTTATCCTCTTTTGCAATTTTAATTATTTCAAGAGAACCTTATCGCCGTATCACCGAATAGGAAACTAGGAGACGATAAACATGGAGGAGAATAAGCCAGTCGAACAATCCAAGAGCGCCCTTAAAAAGGCCGAAAAGGAGGCTAAGAAAGCTGCCGAGAAAGCTGCAAAGGCAGCAAAGCAAGCCACTCTTCCTGTTGTCGGCTCGGGTGGAAAGAAGGTAGACGATATCATTGGAATTACTACCTCCAAGGCGGACAACTTCGCGCAATGGTATCAAGAGGTCGTGCTCAAGGCCGAGATGGTCGAGTACTATACCGAAATTTCGGGTTTCTACATTATGCGTCCTGCAACTATGTATATCTGGAACGTCATCCGCAAATGGTTTACGGAGAACATCGAGGCTTTAGGCGTTGACGAGACCAACTTCCCCATGTTCTTATCCCAGAAGTCGCTAGAGAAGGAGAAGAGCCATGTCGAAGGTTTCGCTCCTGAACTCGCATGGGTAACAAAAGCGTGAGTCAGAATATTATCATCACGGGCATGGTCTATGTCGGGTAGCAGCTAATTCTAGGTCGTCACAGTGGTGATAAGAACCTCGAGGTTCCAGTCGCAGTTCGCCCTACCTCCGAAGCAGTCATGTACCCTTATTACGCAAAGTGGATTCGTAGCCACAGAGATCTTCCTTTTAGATTGAACCAATGGAACTCGGTCGTGCGATGGGAAGCAAAGCAAACTACCCCTTTCCTAAGAGCGCGAGAGTTTTTGTGGCAAGAGGGCCACACCGCGCACTTAACCGAGGAGCTTGCCGGCGAGGAAGTCTTACAGATCCTAGAGCTCTATGCTTCTATATATGAACAACTCTTGGCAGTCCCTGTTGTGCGAGGCCGAAAGACGGAAAATGAGAAATTCGCCGGTGGGTACTACACGACTACAGTAGAGGGTTATATCCCTTCCAACGGACGAGGTATTCAGGGCGCCACATCGCATTGTCTTGGTCAAAACTTTAGCAAGATGTTTGACATCACCGTCGAAGATCCGAACGAGAAGGGAAAGCACATCAACGTTTGGCAGAACTCATGGGGTCTATCAACGCGAGTTATTGGCGTGATGGTCATGATACACGGTGACGACAAAGGCCTAGTCCTCCCTCCACGAATTGCCAAGATCCAGACAGTTCTGATCCCTGTCGGTATCACCAAGAGCATTTCCCCTGAGGACAAGGCCAAGCACAGCGATAAACTCGCCGAAATCAAGCAGACCCTCAAGACGGCAGGTGTACGCGTTGAGATCGATACGAGAGAAGGATACACCCCGGCTTGGAAGTTTAACGACTGGGAACTAAAGGGTGTGCCTCTCCGTCTAGAATTCGGACCAAAGGATGCGGCCAAGGAGGTTGTCAGCTTCGCTCGCCGAGATACCGGTGAAAAAGGTACCATTCCTCTTACCGAGCTTGCTACGAAGGTCCCAGAACTCCTTGAAACCATCCAGAGCGATATGTACAACAAGGCAGAGAAGGCTTACAGAGAGCACCGTGTTATCGTCAAGAAGTGGGATGACGTTCTCCCTGCTCTAGATGCCAAGAACGTGGTGATCATCCCCTTCTGTCTCGATGGCAAATGCGAGGACAAAATTAAGGAACTTACGACCGGCCGCACTGATGAAGACCCTAACACCCCAGAAGCACAGAAGGCCCCATCGATGGGGATGAAGAGCTTGTGCATTCCTTTCGAACAGCCAGAAGGCTTAGTCCATGGGGAGACCAAGTGTTTGAACCCAGAGTGCGAACGGCTGGCTGAGAAGTTTGTCATGTTTGGACGAAGCTACTAAGCAATCAATTGCGAAAGAAATCCTTATATCTCACGACGGAGATTTATGCGGAGTCGGTTAGGTGGGCGGGGTTAAGATATCACATGTAGCAGCGACATGAGCTGTCAAGTTACAAAGTATGGTAGTTCTGCTTTAGGAATCATAAAATGTTATTGGTCGGACATGTACAGCTTGGCGCCATTCCGTTTAATCGAGCGTAATATGTATGTCCTCTAAAAAAGTAAGAAAAAAGAATCGGAGTTCCAGATTATTGGATGTGACTGAGTTCCTAGACTTCCGATCTAAGCCATTATCACATCTCATCTAAATCGTGTATCGGCAACTGCCGCTAGACCCTCATGGTATACCTAAGCTATAATCTCAACTACGAGCGAGTATGTATAATACAACTTGTAAGGTTGAATCTATACAGGCGACCGAGATTTCGGTTATTCTCTACATCATCAGGTAGTAATATATTGACGCCTAAACGACCATGACGAGATGTAAAATTAGCACTTGCTAAAGAATATCACATCTCACATGAATATATCCATTGCCAGGGTAAGTATATAGGGTTAGCACAAAGTGATAACTCCCGAGGTTACACAAAGAGTCACTGAAACCCCTTTTAAAGTCCAATTGGCCTGGTAAGCTTTACACCACTCCACAAAGTGGCTGATACTAAACTTTTCATCAATATCTGATTGGTCATGTTTTTAGAGAACTCGGTAGGCTTGTTTATCGAGAGTTAAGCTAGGTTAGGTAATTACACTGATGTTAAGATATTAATAGGAATCTCATTTCATTTGTCCACAACGAGTCATACACGGTAGTTAGTCTTTATTGGGATAGTAGGCATCCTATTAAATACGCCACCTACGACACAATTGTGTATGGCCGGCGAGACGGGCGATGGTATAAGAAGACATCGTGTCCGACGAGGAGGTTGGGTACAACATTACTAGTGTCTCTACTGCCATACACACAGTTAGTTACCCAAGAAATAAACGTCTATCTATATCGCCTTTAATATGCCGAGTCTTATGAATATACCAGCTGTGAATACAACAGCCGACTCCTTTTCACTTGCCGGCAAGACTGCTATCGTTACCGGTAGCGGCCGTAAGAACGGTATTGGAGCAGCAACAGCAAGGGCATTAGCCCGTAACGGCGCTTCCGTGGCTATCCATTACGTCTCCGAGAGCTCGGCTCAGGGGGCGTACGAGATAGCCCAGTCGATCCGGGAAGAGTACGGGGTCGACGTAGCATGTGTACAAGGAGACATATCCACGCCAAAAGGGTCCCGGGGAATCGTTGCCGGGACACTAGGACAACTCAAGGTGAACCATATTGACATCCTTGGTATGAAGTCTCGCGTAACGTAACTATAATATCCCCTACTAGATTGTCTGCTGCACGACAAATAGTCTCCCACTAGAAATACAGGATGAAAAATATTAGTATTAATGTTAATATGATATACTCCCTAGTCAACAACGCAGGCTACGCCGTATCCCAACTCCTGCGAGAAACCGACTTCGAGCTATGCCAGCGCACCTTCGCCACCAACGTATACGGCCAGCTATTCATGACCCAAGCGGTCGTCGACCAGGGCCGCATGCCGCCAGGCGGCCGCATCATCAACATCGGGAGCATAGCGTCGAAGACGCACCCGCCGCAAGTCGGGCTGTACGCGGCTTCGAAAGCGGCGCAGGACAGCCTGACTACGTCGTGGGCTGGCGAGGTAAGGGATCCTTTATCCCAATTTCCCAACATACATACCTCTTACGTACCGTACCTGGCTAGGTAGTTTTAGTTCCCGGATAAAAGACGATGTTGACCATGAACCTATCTATCTATAGCTCGGCCGCACCCACGGCATCACGGTGAACACGGTGGCCCCGGGCCCCGTCATAACCGACATGGCTAAGGACTCGCCCGAAATCATCGAGCCGATGGTTCTGCTGCAGCGGGGCGCGGAACGCCGCGGTATGCCGGGGGATATTGCCGATGTGGTGCTGCTGCTTGCGTCGGAGAGGAGTCGGTGGGTGACGGGGCAGTTTATCGCTGCTGATGCCGGGATCACGGGGAGTAGGTGAGGGTTAACTTGCGTGGTATTATATCAAGGAGGAAAGTCTTTGTGGTTTAAGCCGGGCTAGATATAGATCCTAAGAGCGATGGTAGGAAAAGCGAAAAGGGGGGTATTCTGTCTAGGTAGGTACCTAATATATTTAATATCAGCTGAATAGGGGTATTCTCATTTCTCGCATGAACTATTTCATCATCCCTCCTAGAAACCCAAAGGCACAACATCCCCCAGCCCTCGCAACATACTAGCTTCCAAATACCCATCGATCTCACGACACAGCAAATCCGACTTCCCCGCATCAACCGCATCCACCCAGATGATCCCCCGCGCAACATCAACAGCCTGGCCACCCGTCCGCAAGCCCATCGCCTCCATAATGCCCACGATCGTCAAGACATGCCAGGCCCGACTCGGACTCTCCTCCTGCATCGCGCTGGTGATATGGGCCCAGAGATTCAGCTCGGGCACCACGCCCCAGTCCACGAGCGGCAGCTGCGATATCTGCGTGAACGCGTCGAGATGTCTGGCCATTTCGAAGGCGCCCGCGCCCATCCTCACCTTGACCGCGGCGAGTAATACTAGCGCGGCGCGCCGGAAGGCCTCGCGCGCCGCGGTCGCCGAGTACGTCGGGTCGGCGGTGTCGGCGGGCAGGGCGCGGCCTTCCAGCGACAGGATCTCGTGGAAGGCGGGGCCCAGCAGCCGCGCGATGGTCACGTCGTCGGTCCAGAACTCGTCGCTTGCGGGCCGTCGGTTGATGTAGCTGGCAACGGCGGCGGTGGCCTTCATGGCGCTCATGATGTCGCCTAGGGCGGGGCAGTCCGCGTCCCAGGAGTCGAGCAGCTGGTCCAGGTATTGGGAGTCGTTGCCCGTGTCGATTTCGCGGATGGAGCCTTGGGGGAGGCTGAAGCGAGGCTTGATGTTGCAGTATGTCGCTCCGATTAGATCGAGCCTGTGTTAGGTTAGGAGGTAGGTAGACTCTGCGAGGATATTTGGGTGTAGAGGACTTACCAGGATATCATAAATCGCAAGAAGGGACTGCTTAGAGTGTCCAAACCACCTTTCTTATTGATGATGCGCTGCAGGCCTTCCATGTGAATACGAAAGCGGTCGAAGTTACCTATTGTGGCCTAGAATCTCTCTCTTAGTACCTATGGCAAGTATCTAACACCGTGGTATAAATATAAATAAATAGCACGTACGTCGTGGCATATAAATCCAGTAATAGCAATTATAAGCCCCTCTTTGTCTTTTTCGTTAGGATCCGCAAGCCTCTTGGTAATGGAGGCAAGCGACAGCGTATACCACTTCATAGCCTCGACGCTGCAGCTATATTCCGCTGTAGAGCCCGGTGGTAGCTGACTAGCAGTACGATAGGAGGCGGCATTTGCGAGAGTGATATGCCAGGCGGCGGTATCCGATAGTCCCATTGTCAGCCATGTGAATCGAAATGGTCTATAGTGAGATCTTGCTTCGTCGACAACTGGTATCATTAGACTTGAAGATCTCCGTGGCTTTTTTATGGATTCTTTATTTACTATATCGGATCAGACCTAATCGTTCTTCATTCATATCGATTGGATACGGTAGCGTCTGCAATATACTGTCTCCCCTTGGATCTGGGAGAATTAAAGTTGTAGATGAGCTGCTTCTCTGTGGTGTATCCCCGTCCGTACCAGCGGGCAAACTACTTTCCCCGATAACTACTTCTCGTTGCGTTTTTGCCCGTGGTTTTCGACGCGCCTTGCCGATGTCTTTCATAACGTGGCGGCGGATCTTGGTAGAGTGACGTTTTACGTCACCGGGACGAGCCACGTTCACGAATTCGAATTCGGGCATGCCTGCCACGGAATGGGATGAGATATTCTCGGAATTAGTCCTAGTGTGATTTCATATAAGTTTAAGAAAAATATAGTTATATATATATAATTAAGTTAAGCTCGTCTTATAAAATAGGTAGCTGAGGTTTTAGGGTAAGATGTCAGTCAGATAATAGTAAAGGAGTCATGAGGATCAATGGATAAGATATACAAGCCAGTATTGACCAATCACCACCCCCAATTGAGGCTTTCACATTAGGCAATGATATCACCCCTAGTCCCGGGTCCCTGGTCTATATGTACATAAGTTGCAATTCGACTAGCATACGATGTCTATATGGGTCGTGGCAAATTACCGGTCCAACATTACCCCGACTGACTTGGCGGTGAAAAGGGAGCAAACGGCAAGAGGCTGAATAGCTTCGTTCTATACTACGAAATGTTTGACATTGGAAATGGACTAATCTAGTTGATACCATTGTACAAGACTTAAGATATAATTACATCAGTGTAAGTAACTCATATACACTTATATAAAAGCAAGAGATAAGTATTTCATATCATTCACTTACACATATCACATTCAAAACCCAAAATATTCATCACGAAACAGACATCACATTGAATTGAAAGCGCTTATCCTCATATATATGACCCATCATAAAACCCCTATATTCTCAAAATAGACTTCTCATTTTTATTTTCTCTCTTAAGCACCTACCGCAGCGTTAAACGCATCAGCAGCAGCCTGTCCGCTTAACGAATCCGCCGCCTCCGCGCCCTCCTGGCACTGGGCAACAGCAGCAGCCGATGCGCCACACTTGCTCTGGAGCTGGCTGCAGATGAAGTCGGTGATGACAGCGGGCTTGAGAGCGGATCCGTGGTTGAAGTCGGCGCTGTTGACCGGGGCAAACGCATCCTCGTCGCCGCGGTCCTCCTGCTGTCCGAAGGAGATAGCGGGCGAGCCGCAGGACCCGGTGTCGACGGACTGGCGGCGCTTCTTGCCGTTCTGGGCAACGCACTGCTGCTGCTGGGCGTCGCAGTCGGATACGCTGATGGTCTTGTCGCCGCCGTTAGCCGCGTTAGCGCAAGCGTTCTTTTGTACGTCGCAGGCGCGCTGGATGGCTGCGCCTAGGTTGAGGAATTCGGCGCCGTTGACGGAGAAGGGCTTGTCGGCTGTAGAGCTGATTACGGGGACGGGGGCGGAGCCGACGCTGCCGGTGAAGGCGTTGACGTTGGCACCAGTCGTAGCGGTACCTCCGTTGGTGCTGTCGTTTCCGCTGTTGTTGTTGCCGGCATCGTTGTTCGAAGCGTCATCAGCAGCACCATCATCAGCCTCGCATCCTGTATATCCACATTAGCCTTGGCTCTAATACTTCATGTTCCAAGTATCAAGCAGATTTTTACTCACCATCATCAGCGGAATCGTCAGCGGTGTTGTCGGCATTATCAGCGGAGCCATCGTCAGCCTCACATCCTATTTATTCCTATTAGTACCAGTTCTAATATTCAATGTGCCACGTAAAGTGTTACTCACCATCATCAGCGGCATCATCAGCGGCGTTGCCAGCATCGGCATTGTTGTTACCAGCGTCGGCATTGCCACCACCCGCAGCGACGGCAGCATCAATCTCATCTGCAGTAGCATCTTCAACAAGGAGGTTCTGGGTAAAGATGCAACCCTCAGCGTCGTCTGCGACGTCACAAGTGTTACCAGCACCGGTCTGATCTCCGACATCACCAGGAGCAAAAGTTCCCGATTGAAGGGCGAGCTGGGGATCAGCGCCGATAGAGGCAAGCTGGACAGCTAGGTCGAGGGTGATCTGCTTGTTTAGAGCAGCAGCGCCTGAAGAGGCGGGGTCCTGATGCTGCTGGATAGCAGCAATCTCAGGGTTCTTTGCGGTTTCGGTACACAGAACGGAGGCCAGACCGACTGAGCCAGTGTTTCTTTCGAGAGCACGGAAGATCAGCGCGTTGGTCATGCCCTCAACATCGTTGGCAGCCTTGGCGTTGGTGAAAGCCTGGTCGGCAACTCGCTGTTGGAGGCAGTCCAAGTCCTGAACCTGGCCGGCACCCTGAGCAGCAGCCTTGTTTCCAAGGAGAGCGAAGACAGGATCTTGGACCTGGTCAACGTTGTTCAAATTTAAGGCCTGGCCGACACCCGTAAGGAACTTCTCGTGGGAATGCTCCTCTGCAATTGTGTTAGTCTTGTTCTTCTCTTATATTCATTGACCAGGAGGAAACTTACGAGGAACCTCACGCCTAAACTTGGCAGATGCACCGATAGGAGTGTGGGTCTTCCTGAATATCTTGACGGCATCAGGGCGGGCAGATGCCACGCTCAAGAGAGCGAATAAAGCAGCACTAGTTTCAACCTTCATATTGTCGGATTTGGGGGTATTAACGATTGTTCGTAACTACAGAGATTCGTAAAGTCTAAAAGAGGCCCTGCCTAGTAAGAATGTTATTGCCGAAGCGTAAAGTAAAGAACGTTAGAATAAACGAAAAAAAAAGAATTAGTTCCCAGAACTAGAAAGAATGTAACAGGGTCAGAAAGCGGTGCTGTCGTTGAATGAATAACAAGAAAAGAAAAGAAGAAGAAACATCTGTATCGTATAGGATAGCTATGTCCCTATATACCTAATAGCGTAGAATATTCGAAGCCGTATCATAGACGCCAAGAATGACCCCTAGCAAAGGTAATACGCCCCTGGTGAAGCTCTAGCGTGGCATGCCGGGCGGGTTTTTCTCCTGTCGCCAAGAACCGTCCAAACTAACTGTCTCACCAGAAGAGGGTATATCGACCCTGGCCCCATAGATCTAATCGCCCCAAGATGAGATGTTGGACTGGAGTAGAAACACCATGGTCTTAATCTAGAATAGGCGGTTAGGATAGCTCGCATCGGCTCGAGTAGAAGCCGGAGGGAATGAGCTGTCTAGGGTTAGTAGGGTTAGGACGAAATGCTTTGCATATGGTATTTGCACGCAGGAGATCAGACCCAGGATGCTATTATCTATGCTGGGATCTAGGGCCGGTGAGCCGTTCGTGGTATGTGCACTACATACATACCATAGTACATAATTACGAAGCGGCTGTCAATAAGAGCAGATCAATAGCCTTGTCATCAGCTCATCTGTTCTACAGGGGGGAAATTTCCCATCTCGGGTAGTGAATTGATAATACAACATACAACAGTAATGTCAGTGTCAAAGCTGGGGGGGGCTAAGTGGACACAATAATACTCATTTTCGGGTTTGAGACCGACGAAGTTGGGATGAGACTGACTATCCAACTTGAAGTGTCTCAAAGTGGTCGAGCCGCGTCCGGGGGTCACAGGGGTTATTATTGGTTAGACTAACAACTTTGAAAAGGAAAACCCCTGGCGCCACTTGGATCGCCTCATGGCTCAACTCCACACAGCTATGGGACTTCAATCAACAAATGCGATTCTGGGCTCTGTTTTCATATCCTAGATGTCGTGTGGTTATCAAGGACCTCGGACAAGGGGCTCAACTTATCCATATTTGTATATAGATCTCCAAAGTGTAAACCACTTCCTAATTCATTTAAAAAAAGGCGATACGAGGTTGACTGATCTTAGATCATGTACTGGTAATTGAGTAATTAAACTTGAAAAATTATAGGGGGAATCCATCTTGAAGGGGTGGTAACTAGTTGTAATTATGTCTAGTTAGTTAAAGACTTATTAGATCGGTTAGCTAACACTTAAGAATACCTAATGTCCGAATATTATATTTCATATACTTTTTTGCTTTTTACAGACATGTCACTATTCCGACATTCCACGCGACTCTATCAAAGCAGTTATCCCTCCTGTGACGACGCCAAGTTCAAGAATCAGATTACCGCCCGGCAACGATGTCCTCCGGGGTTAGGTAAATCTTATGATGTTGAATAAGGTTCCATCCATAGGGCCATAGATTATCTCACCATTGCCGCTGCCGGGTCGTCATCCCCGCATAAATATCCTACGTCGCTTTGATGTGTGGGATGTGGATGGCACACAGGGTTCGTTCTTTGACGTTGATTGATCGCCTCTTGGTGTCTCATCCGAATGGATCTTGCGGCTCTTACGTAGGCGGTCTACGAAGTTATCTTTATGGCATTAATCATCTTGTGGTAATCCACTTCGATATTTACACCCAGATGTCTTTAGAGTCAGGCTCAAACATAAGACTCAACTCTAACCACAGTGTTATATCATATATATAATGTGAACGATTCTTAGTCCTCATTAAGATCCCTATCAAGAAATAAGCATACAGATTTTTCTACTTCCCTATAAGCGTAGGCTCAGATAAGTTTGCTTATAATGTAGTGCTATGGCAAGCCAGCTGTAAGATATTAATACGTCTCAACCACTCGCTCAAGCAAAAACGATATAATAGTCTTAGAAGTGATGATGCTCTTTTAATCTCAACAAAGTTTCGAATTGTTTGTACAGATTGGCCTTGGCCTTAGCCACGCCAAGGAAACTTCTAAAGAATGCCACGATGAACCTCAAAACGATCTTGCCATTACGTCTATCAAATGAGGCACGACCCGCCGCCAGTCTAGGTAATTGGTAATTGTACAGCGTAAGCTCGCTTTAACCGATAATTAGCTTGTCCTCCTCGGGGAACTCGTACGAGGGGATCTCGAGGTTGAGCGGCGCCGGTCCTTTCCTTATGCGTCCCGAGATGTCGTAATGCGATCCGTGGCACGGGCAGAACCACCCGCCGAAGTCTCCCGCCTCGCCGATGGGCACACAACCTAGATGCGTACAGACACCTATAATAACCAATTGTTAGTCATATATATATCCATAGATACCTAGACTTAACAACTAGAGTATCGAGTCATCGGTGTAAAACATAGTTGAAAATAAAAGACAGCCGTACCTAACATGACCAGCCACTCAGGCTTCTGGACACGGTCCTCGTCGGTTTGGGGATCACGCAACGATGAGACGTTGACGGAGTTCGCCTCGTTGATTTCGTCTTCGGTACGGTGTCGGATAAACACGGGCTTTCCTCTCCACTTGATGATGACATTCTTGCCCTCGGGGATAGCATTGAGGTCGACCTCGACCTTAGCCATAGCCAAGACGTCGGCGGATGCGGACATGTTCTTTAGGAATTCTATGTCGAGAGAAGGTTAATTATTAGACAAGCTTCAATTATACCATAACCATAACCATGACCATAACCATAACCATAACTATAATCACAACCAACATTCGGAATTACGGAGCTACGGAAAGTAACGGGCGCGCAGCGTACCTTGCACAGTAGACTTGGCCCCGGCAGCAGTAATAGCGCCCATAGTTCCAACCATGAAGTACTGGAAGAGCAGATTCGTATTGGAGCTGTTCTTAGCCATATAGTGGCCGAAGTCGGGGATCTTGGTAGACTTAGACTCGCCCTTAAACGGGCTGGAGTAAGAACCGGCGGCATCGTTGAGCTGAGTAGTAGTGCTGAGTGCGCGGGCGGCATTTACACGACTACAGGATTTCGCTACTCCTCGCGCGAGCGCACGAGACGCAATCGTCAGAGGCGCCATGGCGTTGTGGACGAATCAATTGATCGGAATCGTAGGGAGAGTCGGTAAGTATAAAAGGTTGAGGTCTTTTTTTTTTCTTTTCGTTCGATATCGAAAGACTTCGGCAATGTTTCCCCAAAGCTACTAAAATGTGGTTCTGCGAAAACGTTCCGTAATTGGCCTCAGGCAACGAAAAATTCAAGAGCTGCGAAATTCCTGTCCATTGATTGGTTCAATTCTTCGGGTTAGCCCGATATCATCTGCTGAGTCAACTTTTTCTACTAACAGTCATGTGACTAGTATTTTATACATGCACGTAAGTGACGTCGATATGTACATACCCAGTATGTAGATGCAAACCCGCAGTGAGGGTACTTAGGTACTTAGGCATTTACCTTACTTCAGCAACAGAAACCCGATCTCAATTGTCACAAGATACATGATGCATACCTATTTTTTTTGTTAGCAACCACAGCGTTGTTTTTGCTATTTCCATAGCAACCTAATGTATAAGCCTAGTTCACTCTGGGGACCGATGCTTCAGAAGATCTAAGTTGCAACCAATTCTTGAATTTATCCTAGTTAAAACATTTACATATATCCACAGTTTGACCTTTTTACTGATTGATATCTTGCTCCCTACAATCATCATGTACACGAACGGACCGATCGTGGACGTCGTCTTGACGAGCATGTACAACTATGATACGTGGTTCCAAGGTCTACAATTTGAGGCTCGTAGGATGGGAATCTGGGAGAACATTGATCCACGTGTATCCAGAGAAAACACCACCAATGACCTAGACTTTCTTGCACCTATGGATCGAGAGCCTTATGAAGCCGCGCTTAAATATCTTAACTCCTCAACACAATCATCGTCAATAGGTACACAGTACCTAGATCAATCAGACACGGAGGCCGTCCGTATCCATGAGAATGTAAAAAGGTACTACATGAATATCTGGACTTGGCTCAAGATTCATGTAAAACCCGAGATCCTTCAAAGCACAAAAGCAACCTGCAACCGGGAAAACAATCATACACTTGCTCACTTCTTGAAAGTGATCCACAAAACCCAGTCGCTACCGGAATCGTCCTACTCCCGGGGATGGGACTATTATGATTAATGTATCAAGCGAGCTAGATATTTTCAAGGTTCTCTAGACCTGTTAGATCTAAGAATGAGCTGGATGAAAAGCAGCTTTCAGCTGATGGGGGGATCACAATATAAGGTGTAATTGTTAGCGATTACAGCGTCATTATCCTCATGTCTTATACTAGATGCAAAGTAAGAGCTCTCAGATATGACCATAAGCTCGCAAAGTCGTGTCAGCCATCTTTGCATAAACGCCTACCCTGCAAACCCCTTCAATCCACAAGTACACCAACCATCCCTCTAAACTGATTCGTGTAGATAAGAGCCCATCTCTTAGTGAATTCGTTTTAACTCCTCGACAAGATTTCGCATAGCTTCGACGTCAGGGCCTAATCCTGCACATACCTCCTCCTGTATCTTCTCATCAATGTCCAAGAATCGCTCAAGGAACTCTCCGTCTATGAAGCGAAACGGCCCTTCCGACTCGCGCTCCTCGTTCCTAAAAGATCGATATCTAGAGAAGAGTATGTTACCCGTAGTCTCCACGACCTCTGCAAGCTTGATCTGGAATCGGATCAGCAGATCCTGGTACTCTGGTGCAATAGTTCCGAACAAGTAGACGCCCCCTTCAACCTGTGATTTTATTTGTTAGTAACAATGCTGTTTGTAAAAGACCATAAGATAACTTACCGTGCCGAGAAATGCGCGCGGGATGACGACGGCATTCTCGCTAGCATCTACTACGACCTTTCGGATCTTATTCACCATTTCGCCAAGGTTGATCTCACTCGTGATTTCCATGCGGCGTTTGTCCTCTATCGTGACGCCGGCCAGGTTTCGCCTTAGTACCAGTAAGTTGCCCTGCGCGTCCGACTCTAACCATGATTCCTGGTCTATATGACACACGGCGGTGGCCCAGAATGCTTGGTAATGTCTTGAGACTTCCACAAGCTTAGCCGCTTGGCCATCAGCAGGTGGGACATACTCAACTAGCGTCATTGATTTCATCAGGTCAGCGACCGCGATGATGTTGCCATCGATTGCCAAGTCAACAGGATAAGCAGCTGGTCGATATGATGCTACTTTCCTCAACTCTACAGACGTTGAAGATATCTCATCGTATGAGTACAAGATAACCGTCTTTGCTAAGGCCGCAACAACCATATCTCCCATGACGGCTAGACACCTACAAGCACCTTTCAAGTCCTTGCTGCTTATTATGTAGGGGACTCTTTCACTGTCAACCCCGATAACTAAGATTCTGCCTCTGATAAAGTCCTCTGGTGAGGTACCTTGCGGTCTGTCGAGAAAAGAGGTGCCAACTAAAAATCTTTCAACCGGATTCCCATACGAGTCGGGAAGCTCTGCTCGAATGACAGCCTCTACCGCTTCCACCCGTGTCGAACTGCTTAAAACAATACTACTTCCAAGCTGCTTGAAAGCAACTTCATCTACCAACTTAAATGAGCTAGTGAGAATCTCCGCATTGTTCTTAACCTCCCTTTTCAAACAGCCCAGGCCAAAGGCCCTCTCGCTACGAGAATAGGCTATGCGACGAATAGTTTCTCCCATTGGTAGTGTTTGCACGTGTGTTTGGCGTCCTGTATCTATTTGTGATATTTTGATTTCTTTTTCTGTTGCAACAACAATTGAGTCTGGAAAGGCTTCGGTATCAAATGGACACACGCAGGTTGCATCATCGGCCGTGACTGCTGAGTAGACTATTCTGCCTTCGGCCGCGTAAATCATACTGGGATGCTCGCTTGTGGCGAATACGTTGTAGATTCCCTCGGCCCGAGGGATCAATTGCAACCCAGCCTGTCGTGTCCCTAGAACAACACTCTTCCGCCCAGATAGAGAAAAGTCTGCCTTGGATATGTTGAAGGTGATAACAAAACCATCCTCCATGGCTATGAACAACGTTGGTCCAGCTAGGTGTGGGGGAAGAACTTGCGCGAGCACGATGCCTCGCGGTATAGAAGCGTTATTATCTTTTCGCCGCAAGTTCTCTCCGTGGATAGACTGTAGTGTCTTTAGATCAATAATGGATATCATGCCCGATTTCCAGAAGCCGACAACGCCAATGGAAGGATAGTCTGGAGGTAGGTGTACACAGGCAACTTGGTCTTTATCTTCTAGATCGTTATACTCGACTCTGACTAGGTCTTGTTCTATTCGTATAGATAAAAGAGCCGACCCGTTAACGGAGAGCAGAATCCACTCATCACTTGCTGATACGTTTGTTATGTGCCCTTCAGCGGGTTTCCATGTCGATACAACGACACCACTCTCCAAATCTACAAGCAGTGCGCTGGTCGTAGTGACCTGGAGTATTCGACCATTTGGGAGATTTCGGGCTAGCAGCGTCTGCTCGTCAAATATCATTCCTCCGAATTCCTCTAGTTCTTCAACCTCGGCGCCAGGCGTAAACTTGAATATTCGAGTTTCCGTTAAGAGAGAAACGACCAAGGTATCAGTCTTGGATGCCTCGTGGGATTTAAGGGGAAATAATGATCGAACATTTTCCATATCGGAAAGAACGCCGATGTCATCTAACCCAACACCACTTCGTACACTACGTAAGCTCCCATCTTTATGAGCGCCGCTACCTGTAACAATCCTTGCTTGACCAGAAGAGTATTCATTAGTAGTTTGACCTTCCCCTTCGCGATTTCCCAAATCCATAATATTGAGGTCCAGAATCGGAGCAATATTGTTCAAAGTCTGGATTAAACGTAGCGACTTCGCTTCGAGGTCGACATGGAAAACCTGAGAGTCCCCGTATTGAGATCCGACAAACAAAACATTATCCCCCACGTAGACGAGGGTGTATGCCCTCGAAGTCTCTCCGATCTTGGTCATTTCCAGGCCGGTTACCACAGGTCCGTCGAGTAGAATCTCGAGAAGCCACATGGCTCCATAGTCGTCTCCAATTAAGTAATGTGAAACATCATATTCGGCCCAAGCTACGAAGATGGATGATTCCTTCAATGGAGTTTCAACCTTCTTCTTTGCGGCGTCATCGTAATATACTAGCCTGGTCTCCCCAACAACAATTAACCCGCCGAGTTGAGCTCGCGCGGTAGAGGCGTTTCGTATTATGTAGCGTTTTTGGTCCTCTTCGCCTTTACCAACTGGGATCAAGATTCTCGCGCCAGGATCTGGGATATCTATACGATCAACCTGATCTCGGACTTCGAACCTAGAAACCTCTGTGTTCTTGTCGTCGGCTGTTAGACGATATGTGACGAGCTGAGAGTCGGGGATATCGGTTCGGGTTTGATAGAGGAATGCGATCTTTGGGTGACCAGTTTCAACATGTAGAAAGGTTGCCCCTTTGATATAAAGCTCTGATACTCGGACCTGATCCATCCAGTGAAGGTTTTGCCTCTTGCTCTTTACAGTGTGCATTCGTAAAACATTAATTACTCCTTCCCAAAGGAAGACTACCATAAACCGCCCTGTCGGGTCCACTACACACATATCCTGGCTCTGGGCATCACGCATGTGTTTCTCATGGATATCGAAGAAAGAGTCGACCGTTTCTAATCTTTTAGTTGTAGTATTCCATCCGAAGGTGAAGTAATGAAATCTATCAGTTCCAATAAAGACCAACTCAGTCTTGGTATCTCGAGGTTGGAGCTTCTGTAATATGGAGATGGTACCATTTACTCGTCTCGTGTCGGTATGCACCAAAGTGCCGGACTCGTGAAGCTTCCATATTTCTAGACGATTAGTTTTGCTGGTAAAAGTCAGCTTTCACATGGTCGATAAACAGTCTATTTGCTTAGGCAAACCCACGCAAGAATCAAGCACTCATCCTCACCAGGAAACAGGTTGACACGAAGTGCGTGTCGCACACTGTTAGGCCGGTGAATAGGCGCTATGTATGCCATTTTCGCGAAATTCGCATTGTTTGCAGGGACTAGAACATGGCAAGATGTGAGAAGCTTAACCGTTACTTTAAGTTGAATCTCTGAGCTTCAATAATAAATAATATGATGCAAAGGTCCGGCAATAAGCAACTGCCTCGCGGGGATTGGAGATAAGCGATAAAGCTTATATGTGGGGTTGCCGCATTATTAGCGTAACGCTAGTATTAGCGCTATAACATTATAAAGTCCCAGTCTGCCAGTTTATAATGCAAATAAACAGTTATCACAAATTCTACTGGAAAGCAATAGGAGAAATGCAATTCACCGACGTGAATAATATTATATTAAGTGCTTTAGAGTTATAGATTTATAGAGTTAAAGAAGATTACTTCTTATTATATTAGAACCAGCTTGCTATAAGCATATCTTTAACCAACACATCAAATATTAGTATTTAATTAGTCTTTAACTTATACAACGAATGTGTAAGTTCAAAGACATATAAGTATAAGCAATAAACTTAGAAGAGTTCGATACTAAACTATAAAAGAGATATCGGATAGTTAACTAGTGAGTTAATAAAGAATCAATGTCTAAGTTCTATATAAATTTCTCATGTAGGTATTATAGACTATTAATGGCTACCACCCTTATATGAGATAAATATAGGTACTCTAACTAAAGAAACATACATCTCGTGGCATAAGATACAATGCAGAATATGTGACGCGTCAGGATGTTCGGACTGTTATATTCTGAGCCGAGCAAGAGACTGTAATCGAACTCCAAGTCACGGACTAGTTGAAGGTTAGAAGTATTAGGTACTTTGTAACAATAATGCCCCCGAGATTCGACCCGAGTAAAATTTGCATAAGCCTTTGGCAATTCTTCAGTAATAGATCGTAGGGTATAATGGCTCACATGCTTGGCGGAGCTCCTGCGCTGAAGCTAACCTACTGAGTGGTTTAACACTGTGGCTCGCAACGGGATGATATACATTGAAAGTCTATGATGATGATGATGATGATGATTATGTCCTGCCTGATAGCGACGACGGGTATAAATTGTATTGGTTGTATCTGACATTTTCTGTTGCCTCTAAGTTTGACTCGCTTGCTGAAAGTTTCAGAAAAGTACTTTACGTTCAACTCTTCCAGAGCAAGGGACCTTATGATCAAAGATTCAATGATGCTGAACTTCACGCATGCCTTTCACAGGCCCTAAGTGCTTTGAAAATATCACAAAGGGGTTTTGTATAGAATAAGAGAACCTCGAGTGATTTCAAAGTTCCCTCTCAGGTTGCCTGCTTCTCATTGTAATCGCATCTATTATGTACAATTGACTAAGATCCGGACCGGGTTGAATCATCCGATTAAATCTAATGCTTCGCTGCCTTCTCGTCCGCATCGGCTTGTTTCAAGAAGTTCCTATTATCGTCAGTTAGCAATGGTTCGTCGCGGGATATCCGGGATAGCGCACTGGATGAAATCGGCCTCGTCGGGGCTTGATGCGTTGATGGGAGGGGTCTGAGTAGTCTTCTTGCTTCCACCGCTGAACCCGACGTAGCTGCCGGTGAATAGGGTAGCGAGAACACCCATTGCGAGCTGGAGAGAGCAAGATAATTAGCATGTTGATGTCGACTGTAGTAGATATATATTGCGACGCACGTAATGGGAGCCGATCTGGCGGCCGAAGATAGTGTACATGGCAACCATATTGACGGTATTGACGAATTGACCACGAGCGAATGGATATAGGGAGGTTCCGATACAAGTCGACGTGGGCGTAAGTGTCCAAATGGTATTTGTATGTAAATCGTCAAAATACTGCTCAGAAGCTCCGAAGTTGAAATCCCCAAATCTGATCTAACTTAGAGACGTTAGCTTTAGTGGGTCCAAAGGCGCTTTGTTTGATTCGTTAGACGATGTAGCCTATGCCGAGGTTTATCCATGAAAAATATCCCGGACAAAACCCGGCCTGGGCAAACGGATCTAGCAGCAATACGGTGGACTATTAGTCCAACTGTGCCAAAATCAAAAAAGTCAGTCGCACTATATCAAATAAGGTAATAGTAACATGAGGATTACAGTATAAGTTCGGCTATTTCTACTATATACACAATTTATAAGGTAATACATACCTTTTATATGAGGATAACTTTACTAATATATATTCGAATTACTTAAAATTGGTATTGGTATTTTTATTAAAAGACAAAAATTTTAACCTAAGTCTTCTATAACTCGACCTTGAATTCGTAAAGATATTAAAAAATATAAGCATTATTCAATACATTGCAGGCTACTTTCGCTTTCCCCACGAACTAGAAATAATAACCAATAAGATTCAACCTTTACTTTAACCTTAAATATATACAAATACGTAAATATACAGGATACAACTTATACACTGTAATAACTTCGCGAATATCCTATTTTAAAAATTATAATTGGTATCATTTTATAGCTTCAATTAATGCGAAAATAATTATTCAAGTTGCATCTTTATATGTCTTTAAGCTGGAGTATTATATCAATATCAAATAGGTGTTGAGAGGCTAACACGTGATACCCTTCAAGACCAACATCTTGAAAAGGCCGCAGATATTTCAACAACAAACGAACTATCTAATACGTATCTTATAAACATGCAAATTGGACCATTATTTTCGCATCAATTGAAGCTATAAAATGATACCAATTATAATCTTTGAGACAAGATATTCGTAAAGTTATCTTGGTATATAAGTCGTACCATATATACATAATAATAAAAAATAATAAAAATAATAGAAAACCTTATATTTCATGTATTTCAATATACTGTGCACCTAGCGTTGCTTATTAAATTACCCTTTTTGGACAGCTCCCACCCATTTTCTTGATTTTGGCACAGTTGGACTAATAGTCCACCGTAAGCAACAAGCTTTGAGCCGGGGTAACGAGTAAGAAAGACCGTCCGAATGCCGATAGGTAGCGACGTCACCAAGAGTGTCGATAAGCTTCCACACTTTCCCGATTTAGGTTACATTTAAGTATGCTAGGCCCCATTCTTGCGAAACTTTGATATTGGGTATTATAACTGTAAACTATTACCTCAAATAACTAGTTCTACCTAGGTAGATATATTATAATTTACCTAGTTATCGCTTCCCTTGGGTTTGTAGCCACGATGTTCTGGAGTAAAGGACCGGACAAGACTGAAGCTGCGAAGGATAAGAAACCAGAAGCCCCGCCATCCGCAGTAGCCAACACCAGCTCGCGCAGCGATGTCAACGAGTTTGGTCCCAATAAGCTCCCAACGCAGCGCAAGCTGCCAAAGGACTTACAGAACATCGTGGATAAGGCCGACAAAGATGAGAACTTCTTTGATGAGCTCGTAGAAGGATAGTATGTTGCGCATGGTATAAATGCAGTTGATACATTGTTGGGCTAATATGATTTTGCTTAGTGCGCCTGATTCTACCGAGTCCAACCTACGATATGCCGCCTACGCGAACAGACTACGAACTATTATGCTCTCGGCTCATCGTTATGTAGCATATACTTCGGATATAGGAGAGTCCTTCAGGCCTGTCGCACATCCGTGGCTAGTCAGAAGCGCATATGGTGTATCTTGGGCATACATCTTAGGTGATGTCTCGTATGAAGGATATAAGGCCTACTGGCAGAACCAGCGGACGTTAAACCCGCAGATAGTCTTGTCAGAAAAGCAGCAGAAAGCTACTGGTTTATCGACTGTAGCACCTGCTGATGCCAAGCCTGGAGTCGTATCGCCGTTGGAGGATTACCGCACCGTTATGGTCCAACGAGGTATCTTCCAGAGTCTGGCTTCGATGGGATTACCTGCTTTCACGATCCACAGTGTTGTCAGATACTCGGGGAGGGCATTGAAGGATGCTAAGAACAAAACGGTTAGGGTATGGGGCCCTATAGGGCTTGGCCTTGCTATTGTACCATTCTTACCGACGCTTTTCGATAAGCCGGTCGAAAATGCTGTTGAGTGGATGTTCCACAAGGGTTTTGCGGCATACGGTGGGCAGGGGTATGTTGGCGAATCTCCAACGACAGGCCGGGAAGCCGCCTTGGCGCAGAGGCCAAATACGCAGTCGAAAGAAAAAGAATTGTAGGAAACTGAATAGTTACAAGATAAAAGATGAACTAGCATATACGGCGTAAGGAAAGGCGTCTCCACTCTCTGGAGACATGTTTTGATATCACTACAAGGCCTGAATTAGGGGTGATGGGGGGATCACCATGGAATGCGTGTATACATTGTGCTTCAAAGTGAGCTGTGTCTATATAGCACATCCATAAATATAAATCAGATGCTCTGCTCCTATTAATTGAGGTATCTCTTTATCCCGCTCAAAATGCAGTTCTAGAAACGCTATTTCAAATGCAATGAGTCGTAATTCGTAAGGTTAGGTTTACATTTCGATAAGATCAGGCGGTGGCCCTATACCTCGCAGTAACACTACCGTATTACCACTCACAAGCGCAGAGCCAACCTTTTCGTTGAACTCCAATACCCGTCCGCCTTCAACGTGGAATACCCGAAGCTTATCCCTCTCCTCAGAAGACTGATTGTTAACATTCTCGATCTGTAGACTCTTGGCCGCGGCATCCAGTACTCTGCCAACGACCCAATCCTTCGAAAAGAAAAACTCGCCCTTATAATTCTTGGCCGTTGTGGTTTCGGCCTCTGCTTCTACATATAGGTATACCCTCTTTTCAGGCGGCAGCTTCGCGTCTCCCTTAGCAACCTTCTTTAGGTTATTAACGGCGACGAGGCGCGCCGATGCTGACGTAGGCTTGGGTTTCGGAAGCGCCCGACTTGCTACCTCTCTCTTAGCGGCGCCCCAGGCCTTCAATTTTGCGAATGCGGACTTCGTTTGTTCGGAGACGTCGAACTGGGGGCGCGCGCCGATAGGTATTTTATTTTTGCAGTCGTGTTCCTCCTTTAGCCGATGCTTAAGACAGTAATCGCGATTGCATGTCGAGCAGTGAACACCGGGGACTAGAGATGTGCCGACTACAGTCTTGCAATCCGTCGCGGCGCATGGCTTTTGCGAAACGAGGTCGCGCAAGCGCTTCCCCTCGCCTACGGAGGGTTTTGCCAACTGAGCTTGGCGTCGTCGTTCGGCCCAGGCGCCGGCATTAGCGCATTTGTGAGAGGTCTCGCTTCGGTGGTCGAGGCAGAATGTCTTCTTGCAGCTTTGGCAAAAGAAGGGTAGAAAATCAAGCTGGTTGCAGTATTCGAGTTGGCAGTGCTTGCCGACAAGAGATACGTCGGCTTCTTTATCCATTTTGACGTAGCTTGTATCTTCAACGTCGGCTGATGAGGATGCCATTTTTAAAAATTGGTAACGAGATCCTCTTATATAACTTTCCCCTATTTAATTAAAAAAGAAGAAAAGAAAAGAAAAAGACGGTAGGCAGATAGCGACTCGTAAGCCTCGAAGATGGCGAGGCTGATGATTAAGATGTCGCGGAATAGTCTGGAAGGAGCTGTGAGTTAGGGAGAGGCCGATTTTAGGTAAGTTAGTGGCGGGGCTATAAATGCGCTGCGGCTGAATTAGGTGGGAAGCTTACGCTAGAGTTTGGGTACCTACATACCTCCTTAGGTAGCTTTTACTACTCGGGCTATCGGGGTTCACTAACTAGTCCTAGTTAAGGTTTAATTGAACTTTAAAGGGCCATGATAAGTCACGGGGTTTCGTGTTTTCGGCGCATTTCGATGACGACAATTAATTCGTGCCTTACAAGGTTCTGTCTTACATAGCGAAGTGTCGTGATGTTGTAAAATACCCATGTATAGGTAAAGTCCGGTTTAATTCTAACTTAACTACATTCTTAATGTTATCATCAATATGCCTCCATACGTACCGCGCAAGCGATTGCGCACCCCGCCACAAGACCGCGACAACCGGGTTACAAAAGAGCCAAGTAGGGGTAAGAGCACACCGATAGCATCCGTGCCGCCTCGCAAGAGTACTTTATTCGATGATCTAGATTCAAGCGCTAAGAAGGGCTCCGCTGAAAAGACTAAGTCGGTTATACAACAAATGCATGAAGATAACGATGATAGTGATGATAGTTCACTCACTTCTCTTTCAGATGCTGATTTCGAGGATGTGCCGGCTACTAAGCGACAGAAAGTGAATCATGATCCAAAGGAGTCGGAAGATGAGGATATGGAGTTTGAAGATGTCCCTTCCCATGAGATTCAGCAGCAGGATCCAGATTTGGGGGGTGATTTAGAGTTGACATTAAACCGAGAAAATGAACTTCCATTGACTAGCGAAATGGGTAAGAAAGGGCCCTCGAAAAAAGAAAAGGCCATCCGTATTTCAATACACTGTATGCACATTCAACTCCTACTCTGGCATAACGCGATCCGGAATTCCTGGCTTTGTGATAGAGAAGTCCAAGCTATTATGATTTCACACTTGTCTCCGAGGTTATGGGACGAGGTAGATCGCTGGAGACGAAACAGCGGCTTAGACATACCTGAAGACACCCCAAAGAAGCCTACAAAGGCTAAAGCTGATCCAAAAGGAAAAGGAAAGGGGAAGCAACGGGCTTCAGTATCGACGAGAAATTGGAGCAACGCAGCAGACAGACTTGAAAAAGGCGTCCCTGACATGAGTCATGGTGATCCTTTATTAAGACTTATGAAATGTCTCGTGTCATGGTGGAAGCAAAGATTTCGAATAATTAGCCCTGGGTTGCGCAAAGTCGGTTACATGAACGCCAGAAGACTAGGAAAACTAACTTCGAGCTTCGAAAAGGAAGGCGACGATTCGATTCGGTTTGGGGAACGGATTAAGGATCTCGAGGAGTTCAGACAGCGCGCTCAGGATTGTACTGGTAGTCGCGACGTCGGAGCTCAACTCTTCACTGCGCTATTAAGAGGACTTGGACTAGAAGCACGAATGGTGGCAAACCTCCAACCACTGGGATTTGGCTGGAGTAGGGTCGAAGAAGCAGATGCTGAAATCAATGCCCAAAAGGCCCAAGATGATACAAGCACGCCTACCGAATCTACGCCGAAGAAACCGAACGGAAAGAAGAAAAGGGTGAAACCAGCAACCCGTCGAGCAAAGAAGAATGATGAAAATGCTCTAAAGATGGACTTGGATGATTCGGATGAATATGGCGATCCGCTCACAGATGAAAGTAATGACGACTCATCAGTAGTTGATGTTACAGACACTGTTCGTCCAAAGCGGGCAGAAACAAAAGTTTATGATAAGGACCTTGAATTTCCTCATTATTGGACTGAGGTTCTTTCCCCGGTAACGAAGGAATTTCTTCCGGTGGATCCCATTGTGAAATCGGTTGTCGCTAACAGTAGAGACCTAATCGAAACCCTAGAACCACGAGGAGGCAAAGCCGACAAAGCAAAGCAAGTTATGGCTTATTGTATTGGTTTTTCTCAAGATGGCACGGCCAAAGATGTGACGGTACGGTACCTCAAGAAGAACATTTTCCCTGGTAAAACGAAAGGGTTTAGGATAGTTGAAGAGAAAATACCAGTATACAACAAGCATGGCAAGATCAAGAGTTACGACCAGTTTGATTGGTTCAAATTAGTTATGCGAGGTTATACCCGGGGCGATAGGAAACACCCAATCACAGAAGTAGACGAGACAGAAAACTCCACTGATCTCATGCCGGCGAAGGCAGAGAAGAAGGAAGTTAAGGAAGGAGAAGAGACATTACAGTACTATAAGACTTCAAAGGAATACGCCTTGGAGCGTCATCTCAAACGCGAAGAGGCTCTTCTTCCCGATGCTATTCCTGTCAGGGTGTTCCGCAACAAAGGGAAGGCATCCAAAGTTGAAGAGGAAAATGTATATCTGCGAAAGGATGTGGTGACAGTAAAGAGTGCCGAGACCTGGCACAAGCAAGGCCGAGCTCCCATCGAAGGCGTCCAACCACTCAAGCATGCTCCATATAGGGCGGCGACTACCAATAGACGAAGGGAAATTGCCGAGGCCGAAAGGGCAACAGGCCAAAAAGTCATGCAACCCCTATACAGCTTCGACCAGACAGATTGGATAATACCTCCTCCTATTCAGAATGGCATCATTCCGAAGAACGAATATGGGTATGTTAATCCCTTGGCTTACAATACGGCTAAGGCTAATATTGATGCAGGAATATCGATATGTTTGCGGAGCACATGTGTCCAGAAGGTAAATCATGCCGTTTAATATACTGAGCTCCATAATTAACAAGATATAGGTGCCATTCACGTCCCATATCGCGGCGTTGTTCGTGTATGCAAACGATTAGAAGTTGATTACGCGGAGGCGGTTGTTGGGTTCGAATTTGGTCATCGGATGGCTGTGCCCGGTATGCCATTTATCTCCTCGGTATATAACCCAATATGATGATTACTAATTTTTATTCTTAGTTATCCAAGGCGTAGTCATTGCCGAGGAAAACTATGAGCGTGTAATGGAGCAACTCGAGAAAGACGAGGCAGAACGGGCGAGGAAAGAAAATGAGAAGCGGCGCAAGGAGGTTCTATATACATGGCGGAGGTTCTTAATGGGTTTACGAATCGCAGAAAGGTTTAAGCAAGATTATGGCTATCTGGATGAGTCGGTGGAGGTATTTGGCCACGCTCCCGACAATGATAATGAGAAGGGCTTCGAGGCCATGCGCGAGAGAGACGAGGACATGGCCGGCGGATTCTTACCTGAGGGGTATGAAGAAGAGGACGCGGTCGAAGAGAAAGAGGTCCCTCGTCAAACCTCTGGGTTCTTCCCAGGTGGCGATGAAGAGGAAGATTCAGATGACGGGAACGATCCTTTTGAGGTAGACTACGGGAAGCAGAAGGACGTAGAAGATCCTCCTATCGAGGAGTCCCCCGAACCGGAAGTTCCAGCTAAAGTAGCACCTAAAAAGGCTGCTCCAAAGCCGAAAGCGAAACCGAAGCAGCCTGCGCGAAGGCGGACTCGAAGGAAGCTTGCGGTATCTTCCGACGAGGACAATGAGCAGGATGACGAATTCGTGGCTGAGGATGAGGATAGTGGTTAATATATATAATGATGTTGAACAGTATACGTGGCCTGCAATACAGCAGTTATTGTTGCGTCTTGTTTCTAAAAATACCCCGTGTGATAGTTGGCGCACATGTATTTACTATAATATGTAAGGGAATATGAACACTGACAGGCTAGGTAACTAGTGTATACTACTTGAAGAACTAAAAGGACAATGAAATATTATTGGTAAATTTGGTGATAATACCTGTTATTCCCCTTTCAAAGTATACCTGATAAGTTCATTGACACAAACATTCACACTTGCTATGTTTGTATTGCGCACCTAACAATTATAATACACCTAATCGTACCTAGTTAGTTATTATAGTTAGTAAACTACCTAGCTAGAGTCTTTTAAATCGAGCAGTTAATTACTTGTAACTACAAAGTCATCAACGCAAGGCGATGGTGGCCGCGACGACGATACGTCATTTCAGTACGGTTCAAAGCCAGTCTGCGAATAGTAACGAGCATTTAAGTGTATTGACATTCTTTATCTATTAATCGCGCGCACATAATTCCTCGGGTATCTATCTTGATGTGCCTGTCCGAGATATAATAATGTGGTATGTGATATATGCGTGCAAGATGGCCGAACCGTCTGCTCGGATCCGTACTCCTTAGCCACGAGTACATTACCTTAAACGTCATTTCTACGACGCCACTAGCTTCGGCGTCGAATTTATATATAGGTAAGTTAGGTACCTAGGTAGGTTGGGTACCTAAGCAGTAGACCTAGTTCGTATCGGGTGGTTGCAGGTCGGATCGTGTCTTCGTCCCATGAGAGGCAAGGGGTAGCTGCCTTAGCCTCTCTGGTAATTGCAGGATCTCGAAGAAAAGGGACTGGTCGGTATATTTGGATTAATAACTAATGGAATATTTAGATCTCGGAAAAGCAAGGGGGGGAAGTAAGGCATCCCCCAGATCTCGGTAGTGGTCACACACGAAGGGAGTACAGATCAGTCTAATCTGACATCAAGGGATACCTGATCTCGCTTGGCGATATTAAATGCGTCCAACGCATGTAGACCCATGTAGGCACGATCTGCGCTCCACGCAATACCTTGGTAATGTAGCTAGTGTGTCATGGAACTACGCTTGAGTAGGTTCCTATCTCTCTTAGGGGACTCGTACATGCTCAGAGGTCGAGTTGTTGATGAAGATCTCTCTACCCCTAAATACTTAGGCCAGACACTTGGTACCAGTTAGATAACCGTTAGGCCTACACGTGGCGCATAACGGTGAAGAAATACCACGTAGTATATCGTATCTTTATTTGGAATTTTATTACCTTTATGCCCCTTTTCGTTCGGGTATCTCGGAAGGCATCAATAGGGGCGGGCCTATAACAGCGGCCGCATTTGCATATGCCCTTAGACAAGGTTGATTCGTGAAGATGGCATAACTCCTATGCCGCTTCGTCGAGATACTCTACCGTAAGTCCGGGTTGTTCCATAGGACCTCGTAATTGATGCTAGAATGGGGATGCCGGATGCCTGCATCTACAAAAGCCAATCGTAGTTCATGTGACGCAACCCTTTTACTCTCCGAATAGCATCTCGGAGACAAGCTAGCCCTCGGTAGACACTAGTGGAAAAGAATAATACTGATGATTTTGATTATATACCCGTATAGTCAGTTTCTCTACCGACGATATCGAAAATACGATTATACTACGTTCCAGCTAGCCCCCATCAAGTACTACACGCTGACTGCGAGTGTATCGTTATAAAGCCCTAAGAGATGTGACTTCAGGATGTGGTGGTTTCGTGTCAAAGCCGAGCGCTCCTCTCGACGACTTCCCCAGGCCAGTTCCACTTTGTGACACCGAACCACGAGGCTTGTGCACGTTAGAGCAGCGTGGATTGGGCCTCGTGTAGTGTAACGGGATACATCCGTAGAAGGTTGAGTCCGTGTCTCTTTAAATATCCTTGAACCTTGCCAAGCATATATGAGTTCTGTACTGGCCCATACACAAGGCTTTACACTACATGATCTTATCACACCTCCCTTTCCTTCGCACGTCAGTTGATATCCATGACTAGTAAAGAGGACTTGTTCTCCTCGTTCTGGGAAGTACATCTTGGCAAATACAAGGCGCCTTTCTACGAGATTATTTTGAAATAAAAGTACAGAAGACATACTAATATTAGCCCAGGTTGATAAATATCTTGATAGGCTCGTATAATTAACTTTCAAAGTAATTTATGGGAACTTATAACTACGGAACTTCCCATAGAGCTACCTAATCTTGCAGATACCATTCAAAGATACTCCATTAATAACCTAAGGCTTAATATGGAGGTGACATAGAAGCCTCCTCATGACATGACTATGTTGAATCCTCCTGCTGTACCGTTTGAGCGTCTCCAATGCCACACCAAGATAAAGAGAAGTGCCATGAGCGATTATGTACTACAGGGGTGAATCATGTTCTTCACTCGCCTGTCAAGGAACCCAGCCAGTAGCGCTGGTAGAAGTCCGTATGCATGTGGCAGTAAATACATGAGAACGACCTTGGTACCTACAGAGAGGGTTGCTGATAGGACGTTGTGAGGTAAACTATGCAAGCTTGAGCTATCGCCATGCACACCGCCTCATATAGACCACTTACACCACCCGAACTATTCTCACTCCTCGCTGTCTCAGCCCTAGTGAGATACATATTCAAAACTACGGTCGTGACTATAATGGAACGATCTAGTAGTTCAAGAACTTGAGTAACCACTCAGTCAACCATACAAGCCATCTGTTCGCAGATTATGACGGGGCTCCCCCTGTATACTGAGCTGTTGTGTGCTATTGTTAGCGAAGACAAAGAAGGCTTTTTATATAAATCATAATATAACTTCCTACTTGCCTTCAAGACATGTCTGGTCTTTCAATAACGCTGTCAGTGTAACAGATATCTAATAGACACTTCTAAATTTAAATAGTCCACTAATATACAGTAACTTTAGCTATGTCTTTGACGGCATATATAGCCCTACTTCTCGGGGCCTGGACCGTGGACATTCTCCGGAGCTGGTATCGACTTCGACATATCCCTGGACCGTTTTGGATATGCTCTACCAAGCTTTGGCAAATTACGACGCAGATAAGAGGAAAATGGTATCTCGAACTAAAAACGCTTGGGGATCAATACGGTACGTTTATCATTGCCAGACAGCTATTTTCCCCCACCCCCCCCTATTTTACTAACTTTCCCAGGCGACCTCTTCCGGATCGGCCCAAACCAGATCTTGACCACTGATGTAGATATTATCCGTCGAATGGCCCATCCCAAGTCGGAATATACGAGAGGAGCGTTCTATCAGACGTTTAGGTTCAACCCTACGCAAGACAACTCCTTCTCACTCATCGACGACAAGGAACACACCCGCCGCCGAACAAACTTGGGACTCGGCTACGCCGGTAACTCTCACGTAGAAGCCTGTGTTGATCGACAATGTGCGCGACTGGTAGATCTCATCGAACGCAAGTTTATCTCAACCCCTAGCGAGTATCGGCCACTGGACCTAACGGCGGCGACTTTTTTCTTCGCGATGGACTGCGTAGGCGATATATCGTACGGTCGACCGTTCGGATGCTTAGACGAGGGTGAGGACGTTCATAAATTTGTAAAGTGGAACGAGGACTTCTTTTCAACCGCTATTGTGGTATCCAACTTCCACTGGTTAACCAAGATCTTCTTCAAGCCCCCTTTTAATAGGATTTACCCGTCAACCCGCGACGTCGATGGCGTTGGCAAGTACATGGCGTAAGTCTGAACAACATATCTTCCACAACCGTATAAGATTATTCTACTAACTCCTGTGTTAGACTCGCGCAAGCTGCAGTTGAAAAAAGCCTCAGTGACGGCGAGGACCGACGAAGAGATGCCCTTGCCACTTTCCTTGAGCATGGCGTTACTAAGGAAGAAGCTATCAACGAATTGATGCTGCAGGTGTATGTATCCCTAGTAAAAAAAAAACCCCCGCCCAAAGATTATTAGAACTAACAATATCGATATAGTGTTGCTGGAACAGACTCGACTGCAGCGGGTATCCGCATGACTTTCTTACTCCTCGTTGCCAACCCGATGGCATACAACAAGCTCAAGGCAGAGATAGACGACGCAATCGCGAAAGGGGACATCGGTTCGCCGATCAAGGACACCGAATCCCGACAGCTACCGTACCTACAAGCCGTCATCAAAGAAGGTCTTCGCGCATTCCCCATCGTAACAGCCACGTTCTTTAAGAAAGTGCCCAAGGGAGGCGACACCATCAGCGGATATTTTGTCCCCGAGGGTACCGAAGTCGGCCACAACGTCTTTGGCATTATGCGAGCGAAGAAGTACTGGGGCGACGACGCGGACGTCTTCCGGCCTGAGAGGTGGCTTGAGGTCGACGAGAGTACCTTCGAGATGATGGAGGGCGTCCTGGAGACTCTTTGGGGAGCAGGCCGGTATAAGTGTCTTGGTCGGACTATCGCCCAGATGGAATTGAACAAAGTATTTGTTGAGGTATGTCCTGGCGTTGGTAGTTGTGTATAGTCGACACAACTCTAACATTAGCTTCCACCCTGTTAACATCTTTTCTTTCTATAACAAAGCTCACTAACTAACCTAATCTAATAGTTACTTCGACGCTTCGACTTCTCCATCGTCACCCCGCAGAGCCCGGTAGAGATTATAAACTCGGGGTTCTTCCTCATGTCCGAGATGAAGATGCGAGTTACGAAAAGGGAGAGCACGCACGAGGAGAAGATAGAATAAGATGAAGGACTCTAGGCGTGGCCGTATCAGATATTGAGAACTCTGGATTCAAGAGTTATCTCTCACAACATATAATACTTCGAAGAGTTGTAGATACGTATACCCAGTTGATGTTATGAAGACGATGATTATACCCAGGATCGAAAGACTCAAGCATTGGATACCCACCAGCAGTTTTTATTATTTACTTTCCCTTTAATCATAGATAGATAATCTTAATATATTATTTCTATCATAGCAGACTTGAAGTTGAAGTAAACTGTAACCCCTATTAATAAATAATAGACCAGTTATCCAAAGTCTAACTATAGTAGTCTGACTAACTATAGTATAGTGATAGAGTAAGTATCACTAACACTTCACTCAGACAACCCCATCAAGCGTCAAAGTTCCCTTCAACACCACAACCGCCGTCCCACCCAGCCACAAATCCACCAACTCAACCCCCCCATCAGCACCCTCCCTCTCCCTCGTCGTAGTCTCAACACTAATATCGCTCTTCCGCCCCATCTCCACCCCCTGCGTAACCCTAAACCTCCTCCCCGCCTTCCCCTCCCCAAGCGTAAGATACGCCGCCAGCGCCGACGCCGCGCTCCCCGTAGCCGGGTCCTCGAACCCCACCTCCACCATGCGCGCGCGGATAACCCTGGCGCCGTCGCCGCCGTCCTCCTCCTCCTCCACCTCGCCCCCCACATCCACGTAGTAATACCGACAGACGAAACTATCCCCCCAGGGCCCCTCGTCCAACAATGGTTTAGGCAAGTTACCAAAGTCGAGCCTGTACCCCGTGCTAACGCGCGCGAGCAGTTCCAGCGACGGCAGCCGCACCAGCACAAACGTCATGCCCTTAACAACGCTAAAAACCGGGGCCCGCAGCTCCGCCTCCCGGATCTGCGGGTCGGGCGAGAGCCCCGGCGCCGCCGCTACTTCGCCGACGACGTCCGCGAGCGTCCGCGCGTGCAGATGCACGTCATGCGGGATCTTAGCGCGGACGCGGTTCCCCGGCTGCGGAGCGATGCCAATGGGGCCTGCTTTCGTGACGAGAGTGTGCACGTGGGGATGGAGGTGGTATTTCGCCAATACCGCGGTGCCGATGGTCGGGTGGCCGGCAAACGGGATCTCCTGCTCGATAGTGAAGATATCGATGTGGCGCTCTTGGTTCCCAGCGTCCGACTCTGCTGCCTCGTGCAGAAATACCGTTTCCGAGAGATTGAACTCCTGCGCGATCTTCTGCTTGGTGGCTTGTGTAAGGCTGTCTTTGAGCGCTGCCGGGACGGTGACTACGGCGAGGGGGTTGCCTTGAAGTCGATGGGACGTGAAGACGTCGAGGGTGACGAATTGGAGAGCCATCTTTTAACTGCCTGGGTAAGTATAGTAACCTATTCAATACGTCAAGTCTCGAGAAATAGTTGATAAATAGGTAGCTTCTCTTCTACTATGATAATAAAGACTATAAGTACCTAGGTAGGTACTTATATGATGAAGTTGACTTCGATGAGCTGAGTCAGGATTAAGAAAAATTGCCGCTTTCGGAAGAGCTGCTGAGTCTTATAGGTGGAAGCGCTAATAAGCTGCTGCCTATTAAGGGGTGTGGAGATGATGGTATTAATTATGAAGTCGATTAAAGGGCGCGGAGACCCACTAATTTCAGTATTAAGAGTTCGAATATATTCATTGATTATAGCCCCTATAATAGAGGACAATTTATAGTTATATATGTATTCAAGCCAAGTGATTGGATTACTCTCAGACCCAATTACGTTCATTATATGATATGCTCTGTATGTCGTGGTTTCGAAAGATGCAAAAGCAAGTTTACACCTGTTGGTGGTTCACGATAGTGGTGCGAAAAGCCATGTAGGCATAATACATAAAGTGTATATGTATTCCGTACAATATTTGTCACCCATTGGTGATTTCAAGTCTCTAGCAAAGTTTTCTGTATGCAATCCATATGCCATAGACTTGTCAAGTTCGGACCGTTTCGATACCGGCACCAGACTGTAACGCAACAACCAAAGCAGTAAGTCGATCAATCTTGGCTGCCAACTCTGAGATTCGAACCTCCACATCGCTGGGTGCATCTCCAGCATAATCCTCAAGAACTCGCTGCTGAGGTCTCGGCTTATGAATCACCTCCGCGCTAGTAGCACGCGGTGTTGGCATACGTGGTCGATATCCCGATTGTGGTCTGCTCCCTGGTCTACTAGGTGGTGGTGCGGCGTTTCGTTTAAAAGAATTCTGTCGTGGGCCGCGGAAGTTATCGAAACCGTCGGGGTTAATCTTATTAGTGAACCACTCGTAGACCTGAATAACTCCGACGATTGGTGCGTGCGTTGCCCGGAGAAGCAGGATACGTGCTTGCCGGAACTTATCGTCCGAGGGTAGGAATAGACGTAGAGGCCTGAATATTCCCAGCGCGATGAGATTGAACGGAGCTTATAACTCAAGTTAGCACAGTATATATAGATGTAATAAGAGGAGCTACTTACGGTAAAAATGCGTGAGCCTGTTGCTGGTTGATGCCTCAAGAACGTATACGCTGTAGACATAAAGATATTCTTCACGAGCGTGCGTAATCACTCTCGAGAAACTATTACTGAGCATACCCGTCAGGGAACCCATAAGTAAAATTGAACTCAGCGTGACAAATATCAACATGAGAGGAGGTCCTAGAGAAAATGTTAGAAGAGATACGCCGATTAAGTGGAAAGGAAAAAAAATACCGAAGATAGGATCGATTTCTTCCATAATATCGAACCCAACGTAACTGGACCCAAAAAAGATCTTGGTAACGATCATGGCCATGTGCGAAAATGAGTATGCCTCTCTCCCGACGAGAGAAAAGGTTGTTAAAAACCCGACATATACAATGACTACTAGAACCATGAATTTCAAGAAGTCCTTCCCCATCTCTTTAAGACAAGGTATTAAAGTACCCCAGTATGGGGACAAGCTAAATATCGAGCAGACTCTAGGTACCATGAAGAGGGCCTCAAGCGACAAGACATCAAATCCAATATCCACAAGGGTATAATCAGCCCTATATAAGCCAACAAATCCTATCATCGAAGATTAGCTCATGTTGATTTATGTTGAACGGCAAGAGTAGAATATCAGATACTCACTCAAAACTGCAAAGACGATTCCAATGGCAATCATGATCATATCAAATAAATTCCAGACATCTGCCGCATAGAAAATCGATCCAGCATCGATATATTCGCTGACCTCGTCGTAGAAGAAGGCGGCGAACCAGACGTAGAGTAGTATTTCTAGAGGTGTAATGGCGTAACGATTCTGTTCGATCAACACGCTATAGTATAACATTAAAAATCCAACGAAGAACGCAACCTCATAAGCTTTGAGATACTTGGGCACTCGAAGTCTCGAGAAAGGGTCGGCCGTGCTGGGGTTGTAAAATCGAGGTTTCTTCTCCGAATGGACTGAAAGACGATCCCAGAAGATAATCTCGCCGTTCCAAATGCCTGTAATGATCTTCTGCACTACGTGCTGGCTAAGAAACCTCTTTGCGTCAGCAATAGCCGCTATTTCTAAACCATTCAAATGCGTAAAAGGTTCAGTAGGGTCATCTTCCAGTTCTTCAACCTCAGTAGCATGCCGGCTTATAGTCAGTTTCGAGATTGACTGAAACAATTGGCTTCGTCTCGTAGACCCAAACCGATTGTCTGAGCGGCGGTCTGGTGAGGGAGATCTAGAAGGGCGGTGCAGTAGAGAGCTACTCTCATTGCTTTCACCACCATCTGCAGGCTCATCGGTAGGGGATGTATCTCTTTGGCTGCCATCCGGGATCTCGTAGAGACAAAACTCGACAGCTTCCCGCTCAGATAGACGAGTTAAAAACCTCCAAGCAACAATCTCGCAAGCATTTGCACGAGCTTCACTGATACCTCGGCCGTCGCTTATCGACCCGTAATGCCATCTCAGTGCCCTATGTTTCTATTAGTAACGATTCTATGGCTTGTGAATTGGTCATCTATTTGAGAATTCCCATCATTACAATGCGTCACCGTGGTGGAAGCTTAGCAATAATTAAGCAATCGAATAAGAAAATAACATTGGACATGGTAGTTAAAACTCATATTAATGAAGCATCTCACAGTAAAGCGTTTACGATTGCGGGATTGGTAACACGAGTGCTAAGATGGTTAACAAGGGCGTGTAGATCGTCACCGGCCGATGTTGTCCTTAGTTGTTCGAAAGTACTTGGCAAATAAACTACCCCAGTTACATATCTACAATATTGATTAGTGAGAAGAACTTGAACTGAGTTGCCGAGTAGATCTAGCTTACATAGAAAGCTTCTTAACGACATCACGGAAGACATCTTCATGTGCAATATCAGGGAGGGGAACTTCAGTGGGGTCAGAAATAGGCGACAAGGCACGATCCGGGGTCGTCAAGGGACGCGACTTGACGCGAATTGGCATGGTACCTGGATAATTAGATGCTTAAATCAACCCCTTTACACAGCGTATAAATGTTAAAAGTTCGTTATATATGAGTTAGGTTTGTTAGAAAGTCGGAAGAATATTAATGTGTGAAAAGAGTATAAGGGCAAAAATGCGGAGGTTAAACTGGGTACGGAGTGGTTGCGGGATCAAGATATCGACGGCCCGTGCTTTTGCTTGATTCCTTCGTCATATCTCATCACTTTCCTAGAAAGGGAGATAAGCGCTTTCACGATGGGGTCAACTGTAACTAAAATTTAGTATCCTTTAAACTCCCCGCAAAACCTGATATCGCAATAGGTATCGTCACTAAGACCTTTAAGCTAAATTGGTAGCACCTGGTGATCAGATGAAATGTTGTTGGTTCGATAAAAATATGCATTGTCCCTGCAGGGTTACCTCACTGAGCATTCAGGGTCCTCAATACCTTACATAAACATAGGGATACTTCAGTTAGTTATACCGAGGCTCATTGCCACTCCCGCCACATATCGTTATCAATCTGTGGCGGTGCTAAACTTTGCAGCTTCGGTACCCAAAATCATGAATCTCTAATCCTGTTTTACATTGCAACACTTTACATTTTCCACAGGTAACTCGTAATAGAAGGCGACAACTATCCTTCGGTTAACCATTTTCGCCTCTTAACTAACGAATAACATTTTCCCAAGTTGTAACCCTAACTACCTTACCAAATAAAAATGACCGCATCCCTCGAACTCGTTTACAGATAGCCAATGGTTTAAGACACTAGATTCGGAATTCTTCGTATCCATTATCCATCACCGCTTATTTCATAATAGCGTCAAGTCTGCGGGTCTTGTCTTGTCTGCCGCCCATCTGGATGAATTATCATCTAATCGGATAATTGATCGACTTAGTAGTCACTTACGATCACGAGCACGGTTGTTGACCTTGTTTCTTCTCCAATGGACATCCGCGAAGGCCCACCGAATTCGCTCCACGTCGCTGTACCACACTATGCTCAAAGTTTACAAGTAGCGGCGTTTAGCTGCGCATAGCTGCGCAGGTAGTCAAGAAAACACAGGAATAACCGCCATGTACGCATGATATGCGATACGGTAGCTGGATCATTGCGTGGGCCCTCAATAGGCTCCAGAAATCGCATGTCCCACTCCTAAATAGATGCACTACGAGGGAAGAGGACAGGTTAGAGTGCACCGATTCTCGCTACTAGCAACTCGATGTCACCTACGGCGGGATTCCTCTGCTATATTGTTACTATTAAGTACTACTAAATCGATGCAGGTACAAAGTCATCCTACGATCTGCTTGCATTATACTAGGCGACTTAGCATATGTATTCGGTCTAACGTCCCGGGAGATGCCAGACGTTGTGCACAAATAGCTGGCCCAAGATAAAGTTGCTCAGAAGAGCCCAACCCGATTTAGGTTGCCTCAATCGGAATCCAAAACTTCCTCGGTTCTCGCAGCTAGATTGGCTCTTAATGGGAGACCGAGATGCAGGTATGCGGTAACTAACAGCCCGGAATAGCTTCTTATACCGTTCGGTCGGTATCACAGGTATACCTTGTTTCACTTTTTGTTATCCAAACAAACACCGAAGCTGTACAGTTACTACACTTGAATGCCGTTTTCTTGGTCACGGAAGCGAAGACCAAGTTGCTCAATCACATAGAAAGTGTGACGACGGCAACTATCCGGGGTGCGTTCCTCAGGGTTACAGTCACTATGTCATTGATTTAGCAAGCCCACTTCTACAAGGTAAAATCTAGACCACAAAAAAGATCTTACCGAAGTCGTTGAAGGGTGGGCAGTACCCCTGCGGCCCTGTCACCCCTTCACCCCTGGAGCCATTCATCGTCTTCCCGCCCGTGGCTGTGTACATTCTACCACATCTACCTTAATTGGCCAGACATATCTATAAAAAGCTATTTTAGCAAATATACACTTTATGATTCGTCATAGCCTTCCCCATAAACTACCTGGCGCCAGGGCCCAGGGTCCGGGCGGCGTGTAGCGAAGAACCCTGGGACCGATTGGCTTTTTCATAGATGCGCCGATCGTTGGTATACCTATTGTGTTGGCATGTTGGCGAACATGTATGTAGAGGGAACTTGATTCTGCCGGTGGCAATGCTTCTGCCACAATTACCGTTGATAGGCATTCTTCAAAAGACCCGAGAAAATGTTTCAATGTTTCAATGTTTCCATGTTTCCATCAACTAAGTATCAGTTTACTAAAACGAAACATTCTTTTTTATTTTCGTTAAACCCTTTTTTCATGCACAGCTTACAATACTTATGCCGCCTGTGCTATGGATAGGAACTACTGCTAGATGCTGTAAGACAGCACGACGCTATAGGTGTACCTATTTCTAGATCGTGCAGACAAAGAAGCAATCTTGAGCAGGTCTCAGCCTTGTTGTGTAACACCCTGGTCACCCATGCGCAGTACAGTAGTTGACTGCTACCTTGTCTGCCTTCGCCTCTTTTTCTTTAAAGAAGTCCCTTCTCATCAACATTCATCTTTCTTGTTCTTTCTTGATCTTGATGCCAATTTGGGTTGAAATTTACTGTACTCTCTTATGATCCCAACTTGGCCGATCGTCTGGTCGTCTGGTTCTGGTCCTGGATTTGAATCATGGCTCACTCAGTATCCAGCGCCGGCTTTCTACGCCTTCCGCCGGCTACTGCTGCTCTCCTTCTCAGCGCGGCATTTGGGTTGACGAGTGGTCATGTGCTGCCCAGACAGACGAAAACTGTTGAGCTGCATGAGTTGAATGTCGTTCCTTTTCCACGACCAACGGAAGCTCCAGTCTTACTTTCCGACTTGTTGCGAAGACAGGGACAAAACACTGTATGTGGCTTCATCGGGGGTAATCCAAACCTACCTGCGACATGTTTGGCAGGGTCCCATTGCGTATTGGAACAGGATCATGGTGTGGTGGGCTGCTGTCCGGACGGCGGAACTTGCTCGACGGGTATATTTACTGGTTGTGTCGACCGTAACAGCGATCTGCAAACCGAAATCAATCCTTACGTGTATACGTGCCAAGGGTCGGACGTGTGCTACAGGAATAACTTTGCTGGCGGGTATTTCCAGTTTGGTTGCGGAACCGCATCATCATTAGGTACTACTGTCGAAACATCCGTCGATGGCATGACAAGCCTAGTGTTCGAAGAGACAGCAGTGTCGCTAACGGCATTGCCGTCAATTCTTCCCGAGCCTACTTCCATCGGGTCCCAGCCTTCGAGTGCAACGGAGGACCCTAACTCAGATCCTCCCCCTAGTGGGTCTGATACAACATCACCAACGACACAAACACCTTCAGTTACAACAGACTCTTCGTCTACCTCTGAATCTTCGCCTTCACTGTCACCATCATCTTCTGTGTCCTCCTCATCACGATCTTCATCACGATCTTCATCACGATCCTCTTCACGATCCTCTTCATCGTCATCAACATCTTCAACCTCTACTTCATCTTTGCTTACATCTTCGTCTTCATCCACAATATCGCCTTCATCGACCACTGGCACGACTACATGGCCGAGTATAACATCGTCATTTGGCGCCGAAGCACCCACCGATTCTAGCTCACCCACGGCGGCAGCCGGAGCCAGTGAGACTAATAGGGGGGCTATCATCGGGGGTTCCATCAGCGGAGCCGCAATTCTAGTAGCGATAATTGTCGCTATAGTCCTCTTCTTCATGCGGAAGCGGCGTGGTAATAACCGCGAAGGTCCTGGGCCTTTACCAACAGACGCGCCGCCCAGGACGGAATATATCAGGTAAGTCTCTAATTTGTACTACATATTAATAGCCTAGCTAACCCATCATACAGTCCGAAAAGTCACGGCGCTGCGTTTGCACCGCTCCCCTCGTGGCAAGATGAAGAGGAAGACAGGAGACCCCTAACTCAATACACTAACCAACCATACCGCTCGATCCCTGAGCCGCCACCACTACAAGCAAAATCCGACATGGCGCCCGCAAGGACTGCCCCAACAAATCGTGGCTTCTCTCAGCCGTTGCGCTACCACCCACCCACCGTACGCCTAGTTCCCCCTATGGGCGTAGGAACAGGGCTCACTCCCGTCGCGGAAGAAGAGAACCCATACGACCAGGACAGCCCCAGCGAGTCCGACCATAGTATCAACCGAGGCCCCACGCCGACCGAGATCGACGACTTCTCGCGCGCGTATATGAGTGCGGGCATCGGCACCCAGGAGCTCGAGGATGACCGACAACCACTTACCGACGGTGGAGGGATGCGCTCCGGCGCCGAGTCCCCGGGCGGAAGCCAGAGCCCACCCAGGGGGAATGGTATGGGGAATAGGCCGCTGTGGCAGCAGAATCGGCAGCAGGGGAGGAATTTGATGTGGCTATAATAGAGGCGGTAATTATTGGCCTGCTGCCGACGTGCATGCGTATCTATACATAATGTCTTTTTTTTTTTTCTCTCCCATTCGTTAAGAATTGGATATTTACTTTTTTCTTTGTCTACCCTACGACACGATACTACATTACACAACATCGCATCGCGGAATATAGGAGTTCTACATTTAGCTGGATAGGGGTAAAGGGGGGGATGGCTCAGGTATCATGACGAAACTACTTACGATCCTAGGTATACTGGCTGGGTGGGCGCTTGGTGGGGTGTTGCGGCTTGCATGTTTGGGGCGTTTCGGGGGCAGATTTGCATACATACATACATACCTACCTTGGGTACCTACCTACATATGTCGCGGCTATAGCGGCATCGGTTTAAAAAGGGGAAGATATTGGGGGGGAGGGAATCAGGTTGGCTGGTGGTTGGTTGGTTACTTGCTTGCTTGTTTTATGTACCTATACATATATACCATACGCGAACGGGCGGCGTTGTTTGGGTTAGATACGGAGTTTGGTGGGTTCGGTTCGATGTTAAATGGTAATGTTGAGGCCATCGAGAAGAGGATGGATCTTGGACATATTATCAAGTAATTATGCAACTTATGTTATAACTAATAGAAATGAAGAGAATACCTTAGGTACCTAAAGCTTAGCTTAAGTTCTTACGTCTTATGTTGAATAAAGCAATGGCACTTGACACATTAAAAGGTTATGTAACTATTCCGTAGGTAGTTTGGGGTTTGATTATTGAATGCATGTATGTAAACCATACACAATAAAAAAAATAATAATATTGAATATTCATTAAACCAACAAACCTCCCCTCCTCACCCCCATTAGAGAAGCTCCCAGGTCTTTGGTACCCTAAACAGGATCATCATGCAAGTTGGGCATACCTATGCACTCCTCACCCGGTAAGACTAATAAACGCCTAAACTACAGGAAGTCAAAAGGAACATACAAAGGTATCAAAGGATCTCAAACATGAAAATTGTAAGAAGCATAAATCAAATGGTATTAAAGCCTATCCGAACCGGTGATGCACACGCCCTGCCCGCCGTCTCCTGCTTCCTTTCTTTCTTTTGAGACATATCACTTTCACCTCCAACCACTACAACCACCACCACCACCACCACCTAGCATGCGCGCGAGCAGAGCGTGTAATAAAAAAAAAAAATAGAAGCAAGCAACCCCCCCTTTGTGCTGCCAAAAATGACGAGCCGAACGCCAAAAAGTGCCATGTCCCCCTCTGTACCCTATAACGAGCTTAGGCCTTAAGACCTTTGTGTGTGGATTGTATGTCGGTGTGATTGCGTATCATGTAGGCCCGCCTCGTCCTACACGACAAGAAAAGGCAAAAGAAAAATCCCTAACGCCTCATGGTCCCTAATTTCGTGACTGTGGTCATAGTTGTACAGACAAGGATTCCTGTTCTGAAATGTAGTCACAAAGGACCTCCCATTAGGGATATAATAATGCCAGTGGAATATGCTAATAGGGTTGAAAATGCCGAAGATAATGCTGAAGATACCCCATATAGTCATCACCTTCCTAAACGACAACATGGGTACTCATATGCTCTACTGCCTCTTTGATACTTCGAAGCATGCGCTGGTTGACGCAGAAGGGGCATCGAATAGGACGATCAGCACCACCCAGGGCGTTGCCGCTTGAGATAGGCGTCAAGGTTAAGGCGGGGTCTTCAGGTCCGGCAGGAGTAAAGCGTGCGCTATTGCGCTGCTGAGGTACGGGTGTTTGCAGGCTGGGCGCGATAGGAGGGAGACCCTGTTCTTGTCGCTCGCGCTGCTCACGGACGGCAGCGGCCTCTGCCTCGGCGTCCTCTTCTTCTTGCTGCATGGCACGTAGGGCGTTCTGAAGTACCACCTCAGGATCTTCGGTGCCTGCAAAAGCGTTGGGCTCGGCAGGGTTGATAGTTGCGCCGGCAAGGGTGGGGAGAGGGGCCGGAGAGGGGTTCTCGAGGCGACGAACAACTTCGTCACGAACCTGAGCACAAGTCGATAGACTAGCTTCGACGCCGACGACGCGAAGAACCGCGTCGCGAATGGCAGCTGGGCTGGTCTCGGCACTAATGTTCATGAAACGTGGAACCGCGTCGATGAGGTAGGGAATATCATCAGCAGGATTAGAGGCATTACCATGGCGGCGTTGGCGTCTAATGAGTAAGCCGTAACGTTTCTTAAAGCGATGAATCCAGCCAGGGGAGAACTCGGGAGGAGTTTCGTCCTTGTAACGGGGCAGTTGTTGAAAGATTGATTTTGCTTTTTCGGCAAGTTCCTCGTTAGAAGGGTTGCGACCAGAGGCGACGACTTGGCTGTGCCATAAAAGAACAAGCTTCTCTACATCAGGCCAATTACCGAAACGCAAACGTGATCCGCTGAATTGATTATCGTTGTCGAGACGCGCGTATTTAGGTGATAATGAATGACTGATAGTACTCTGGCTAATGTTCTGACCGTATTGACTATAGAACCATTCAATGCAGGCTTTGTGGGAAGGTCGGGTAGTTTGAGAGTGTGCCCAACGACGAAGAGCGCGACGTTGATCAAGGGTAAGAGAATGTCGTTCCTTAGGCGTGGTCGCGCCGGTAGGAGTGTCCGGGACGTCGGGGACAGCGGGAACGTCCGACATATTGGATAGATCGGTAGTCAGCTTTTAGAAGGGTTTGATGATGTGAATTCTCAATTGATTCAATGAAATTCGCCGGCTAATCCTGTAAACGAAGCACAACCCGGGTTTTGGATGTAAAGGGGGTTAATGAAAGAAGAAGAAATCGGGGCGCGAAGTTTTGTGGTTTGAGAGGTTTTTTTGTGCAAGCAACCGAAGCAAGTGTGAGGGGGGCAGGGGCCAACTGCGCTTTCTATCCAATTGATAAATGGGTCTACTGAATTATAGGGCATAAAAATCCATGGTCTGTGCATACATTGCATTGAACGACTTTATGCTTAAAACTTTCCAACGCTCAGAGCGCTATTTCCTATGCAATCACCGTCAAGCTACACCGAACGGACCCTCAGTTAGGACATGCGCCCTTAGTCACGTACCTGATAAACACTACTGTACATCTGTACATAAGGTGGGTATAAGGGATTCTCCATGCATAACTCACTACACCGTTATCAAGAATGCTCACCTCACCGGACATTGGAATAGATAAACCTAGCATAAAAATATCGCCATAGAAGAAACACGAATGTAGCCTCCTGATCTGAAGATAAAATGTGCAATTAAGCAAGACTAAATGATTCACCTCGCATTTTACTTAGACGCACCGGTTTATCAGTAATATTTACGGTTAGAATGATTTGATGATTCTCAATTTTGACATGTGCGAAAGGGTTATAAGGTATTTGCGAGGTAAGTAGCTAACAGCTAGCATCTTTTGAATCAATAGAAGAATACATCTCACCTATATGTAGATGTATTATCTTTGTAGGGAGAGATTAATACATATATTGCTCGTAGGATAACTACGAAGAAACATAAATCATATAGGTAACCTCCTTTAATAGTCAATACCATCACCATCACCACCACCATCACCAATAGCAAGAAATAAATATTATTTAACGTTCATTTTTATTCGTTCTTTAGAGCTATCGTAGAAGTGTCTCGAGGCAGGAAGCAAATATTCACGTTACTTCATGTCTCTTCGCTACCTAGATCCCCGGTCACCCCATTCGTTTGCCCAAGGGATTGCCTGTAGTTTCCCCATGTCCTCAAGAGTAAATGTCCTACGACATGCCCTCCTCCCCAGGTTCTACTGGACACCTTTTGGCCACCTGATAGCTCCGTCCTATCGCCTGTTCCATTATCCCATTCCATCATTTATCCATCTCCGCGACCAGTAGATAATACTCGGGGGAAGGGTTAATAAAAAGAAGTTCAGAAGTTGCAAATATAGAAGAATAAAAAGCCCGAATAATATTGTCCCCGTAAGAAAAAGCAATCGTGTCCACGCCAAACCGTAAGGTATACCGTATAAAAAATAGAAGAAAGGTTGGCCTAAAAATACCCTCTTCGACCTAGTCCGGTGCTGAAAGGAAATATTTTTGAAGATTTCAGAAGAAAAAAGATCCATGTGTAAGGGGTTATGACATAGAAAACGGTATTAGACAGTCGCAGTAAAAGTAACTCATCTCGAACCATTCAGTCATTCAACTACCTTAAGCGAATGCGCGTACCACTAGACAACACTACTCTAACCACTATGAGGTAGACTATTGCTACTTATTCCAAGAACACAAATAGCATCCGTGTACTGTAGGTTTGGGTAGGTATGTTAGGGTAGCACGGCTAAGGGTTGCCGGAGGGTTCAGGATACATCCTGCATCCAATTCGAAAATTGCTGCCGAATTGTCGTGTGTAAATGCTAGTAGAACGAAGCGCATTGGGTATATTGTATATGGAAATATTCTGGGGGTATCGACCAATCCTTAAAAGCCTTATACCTGTTCAACAAAAACAACTAGCTTTTCGTTATGCTCAAGAGCATAGTTAAGATCATTATTGCTCAAGAGACTGAGCTTGTCACCACTCTGCTCGTCTCGGTAGAAGAGCTGGATTTGGTCTGGGCTGGAAACCTTGGTTCGCTCTTTAATTCTCTCATATAATTGTTGAAAGTTGGTATCAGATGGTACACGTATTAAGAACGTGTCGTCGTTGAAGTGTAATTTGACCTTTAGAGATGGTCCTCCCTGACTGATCCCTGGTGATAACGATGTTTGTGAGGGTTGGGAAAGCGATGACGCTTGTCGAGTCATCTGGGGCTGGCCATTTTGCATCTGTCTTGGGGCCGCCGATAACCCAGAGTACCCATTCCCATTCAGGTTGTTCCTTGACGACTGCCGCGAGTTATCATCTCCTGGTGAATCTACCGACGAGCGGGACCCACCAGATAGTCTATATTCGTCGCCGTTCGGCTCGATCTCATAATCTCCCTCTCTCGGGGCAAAGAACTGTTTTACTAAGTTGCACTTCGAGATATATGGCGGCTGTCCCAGTAAGTTCTTTACGTATGCATCTAGATTGTGCAGTCTTCCTTCCGTAATTGCATCGGTCACGTAATTAACAGGACCGGGCATGTACGGTAATGTGCGCTTATGCGTGCCGGTATTTCCAGCTTCGGCGGGGAATTCGGTCAGAAGGGCGATTTGGAAATCGTAAAAGTCTTCGTAATAACGCGAAAGCTCCCAGTGCCGGCCGTCTTCTAAGGTTGCTTCGATCACAAACCAATATTTGTCCTCGGCAAAGCAGTATCGCGGTATCCGGGCTGATAAAGGTGCGTATAATTGTGAAGTCGATTTTGATTCGTACTGATTTTGTTGCACGGGATTTTGGGCTTGCTGTTGGGCTTGCTGCTGATATCCGTTAAATTGCTGTTGCTGCTGAATTATGTCAGTACATCCAGATGCGCACGTGCATTAAGTAATAAACGATTACTTACGAGTGAAGGGTTCTGCTGTTGGCTCTGGCGATTGGGACCCGGCTGTAAGCTCATCCGTTCCATGCCCTGTTCTAGACCCGGTTGACCACCAGCTTCAAATTTGCCTAGCGTGATGCTACTATTCTTGTAATCGGCTGCCATCTTCTTCCACTCTTCGACCTTAGGAACACCGGCTCGTTTCACAGCCTCGTGAGGATTCTGAACGGCCGTGTCCGTCGACATATCTCGAATTTCTACGAACGAAACAGGAATGAGGCCGGGGCCTCCTAGGCGACCGATCGGTTTTGCGACAAACCACTCGGGGTTAGATTGCGCGATCACTATGATCGCTTCGCCAGCTTTCGCTTCTAGTTCGTCTGCCCTCTCCGCCTGAAAGTCGTACATCACAATCCCATAAACCATAGCTCCGTTTTTAGTGCCTGACTTAGAACTACGCTGACTCAACGCCGGCGTAGGAGGCATAGTCGACGCGTTGGTCTCGGAGAATCCAGAATCGTGATCGTCCTTCTTCAAGGTCAACGGGCGACCCGTGTCTGATGACCCACTATCTCTTTCCGTACGCCCAAGGGCCTGGAAGAAAGCTACCGGAACGAGACCTCGAGCGTCAGGAAGCGCCGGGTTGCATGCCTCGTACCAATCCGAGTCGTTTTCGCGACCGATAACGTGAAAGAAATCACCCCTCGAGAAACTCAGTTCCTGGGCAGTAGTTGCCTCGTAATCATAAAGGGCTCGAATAACCTATGGATGTTTCGGGCATTAGCATCGTGTCCAATGTGACAAAAGTGGGTCAAGAAATAAATGAGAATTAGAAAGAAAACAACATGCACAGGAGCGAGTATCGCCAACCTTTTTAGGGGGAACAATGGCAACTGCGGACTTTGGAGCGATGGAAACCTGAGGTCTATCCTTTTCGCCCTTGATGGATCTTCTCAGAGCCTGAATAGAGCGCATAACGTTAGCCACGGCATTTACGGATGCGACCAAGTCGCCATGTAGATTGGAACGCGACATGATTGCGACCGATGGCCAGGCACGTTTAAAGGCATGTTTAGCAGAAGGGAAAGGGTAATTCATGCGATGAAATCAAGACAAACAGAGGAGGGGTTCTTAGGTTTAATGGCGCACCTTCATAGTTGTACAGATTCGGAAGCTTGTGGATTGCGAAGTCAAGCAGAAGGAGGCGGAGGCGGCGAAGGAGGATGCAAGAAGGAATGGGCGCAGGCCAGAAACCAGAAATGGCAAACTGGGCTATCCCCGAGGTTTAGGTACGGTTACGCGAACGTAGCGGAGTCTCGCGGTCCTGTTCGACAGCGGGTCTGAATCAGTGCGACAACGTGTAATCGCAATGAAGCGAAGAGAGTCGCGGGAGTTCAGCCGGTGGGATCGAGTAGTTAAGGTGCGTCAAGGTGAGACCTTTCGCAACGGAATGGAGAGGAAAAAAATAAATCAAATCCTCAAAAGTTAGGTAAGGTTCCCTTAATTTTTATTTTTATTTTCAGCTTGTTCTACTGGTCGGCCAGTCGATGTCGAACAAATAAGCAGCGAAAAAAAGGGAGCGATGCGATTATTTCCTTATCCTAGGCCGATAGTAGTCAATAACACTGCCTACCCTGCGATGGCCTTTTCGCTATTTCTTTCTTTCACGGATTCGCCGTTTCTTTATCTCCTTCCCAACAGTCACAATAGTGGGTCGGATATTAATTGTTTTGCTGGTTGATATGCGTGGCAGACACGCACGTTATATACTTGGCTCCGGCGTTAATGCTGCTAAGTATCGTGTTTTCTGATATCGTCAGTCCAGTCGCCGCCTTATCGTCCTGATAGTGGAATATAAGAAGTTGTTGACAGGCTATCTTTTAGAGATTGAGTGAGGTCAGGAGGACAGAAGAGGAGGAGGAGAGGAACAAGACTGGCTAGATTTGAGAATGACTGACTGCTTTGCGCTTAACTGGGATGGGGTGGATTTGACTGACTGGCTGGGAGAACAAGGTGGAAACGTCGAAAAAGTGGGATAAATTAAGTCGGGCGTTAAGCAGATTGGGTAGGCTGAGTTGTGGGTTGCTTGTAGGTGTGTGCGCCATGGGTTATAAGTGGCCCTTGACGGACATGCCTGCCCTTCAATGCATTTTGGACGGGCGGATAGTCTGCATGCCATTCACGTCCATGCCCACAAGAAGGAGCAGCAAGAGAGCGAAGGTACGTACCTAGCTACTACAACCATGGCCCAAACGGGACAAGGGATAATTCAATGTTCGAAAGAACTTTCACGCATGGGTGGTGGGGTGCTTTCAAAAAGATCCGACTAAAAGAGCTAGGGCGACCTGGACTGCCGGGTACTGCTAGAAGACAACCTTAGCGCATGCTCGCCCTGAATTTCAGGTACCTATAGCAAATGTAAGATGAATAATAAGTCATATTATCGTATAGATATATATATCAAATGATTATTAGCGTATAAGATATATAGAACAGAGAAAAGATGAAAAGTGACAAGGTCTAATATGACAAAAGAAAAGTCTCCAGGTTAAAAAGTCCGCTACGCAACCGCAACCGATTATCGCATCGCATAACAATCCATTCTAATAAGTGCATAACTACCTATACTTAAGGGATCCTTTAAGTTTAACTAGGAGGCATTAACCCTCCATTCGGTACCCTAGAATTAAATATTTTAGAGCTTGTTTTCAAGGTTGTTTGCCCCTCCACTTCCGTTTAGCCCCTCACCCCGCCATGGCCACTTATGGTCACATTCCCCTCTAATAAGAAAAAAAAAAAAAGGAGGCCCCAAACAATTTAACAATCCATTCTGCTTGATCGACTGACGACACATAGAGATCGCATAAATCATTCCGAAAATCGTATACACTTGTCGAACAAGATCCACGTACTAAATTAGTGTATAATCCTAGATCATATTCCTTTTTTTTTTTTTTTTTTTAACCTGTTTGCTTCTTACAAACCCAACCAATTCCTACTTTCATCACCTAGTCACCAGAAAAGCGTAACTCCGATAGGCTTTTATTACATCGTGGCTTCGTGGAGCAGTCTCCAATCGGTTAGGCATTGGGCATTGTTTAGGCCCTGATTGCCAGGGCACCCTAGAACAGCATCCGCTCTACCGCTCTACCGCTCTGCTACTATCACAATCACAATAATTACCTCTATTCTTTTTTTCTTCTTGCTTTTAAATCCGCCAGTCGGAGTCAAACATTTAGAAACGAAGCCAAATCTCTCCAATACCGGTAGCCGGGGAACCTTCCTTCAAACTTGGTCCTTCAACCCAAAACACGACGTCGCAATCAGAACGTTACCGGGACGTCGTGCTCCACGCCCAGTAAATGGAACCCATGGCTTGGTCTCGATGCCCGAGCTTCAGGAACCTCCCCTGTGCGTGCTCCACGGGCCGGAGAGATCTTTTCTACCATTTGAACTTCGACATCGTACCTTGCAGCGTGCATGGCCACTTACGTACATGTAGTACATATGCGTCCTGATGGCGGAAATCATCATTGGGGACCCAAGTTCCTAACACTCGGGCCGGATTGAGTTATCCTTCCTTACAATGGGTATAAAAATACATATACGACTTATCAGAGAATAGTAGGTATTATGATCGGTATCGCCAACTTCTTTAGAAACATCAGGATTATCGGTAATGCTTTTTATGCAACCCAATAAACGCGAGACTGAAGCAAATGCGACTATAAAATATGCAGGGCGGCCCCTGAAACAGCACATGGACTTACTACATACACGCACTCTCCCACTCGCCGTTCCTGCATACACTTTTTACGATTTATAACAGCCACTTAGATGCAATGCTAAATTACAAATTCATCGTATTATTGGTTGGTGAAACATTACTAATTATTCGCTAGATCCGACAGATCTTCTCGGTAGAAACACATACACCTACTTAAAACAAGTGGCGTTATCAATTCCGTAGGAGGCCTAATTTTATTATCTTCTTCGAGGTTTCACGCATATTGAGACTACACTTTGAGGCTTTTTAGGGATGAATATTAGCCACAATAATTTAGTTATTAAATGACGTACTTAGCCAACAGGTACATACATAGGTAATTATGCCAATATCCTTGGCTTGACTACCTTACCCAGCGTTCTAATTTACTATGTAGTAATGCATGAAAATAGCCCTTGTCCGGACCAGCTCCGGTCAATCCGGGACCCCTCCGGAATACTTCCAGAATGCCCAAGTTAGGTCAACAGCTACTTACACCAACACGTACTAGGAAGGTAATCCTTTGCAATAGCACGGATATATCTTACCTTAACAACTCTAGCTGCATAAAGACACGTGAATAGGGACACGTGAAAAAAAAAGGCTCCTAAACGCGGAAGAGAATAGTTCGGAAACGTGGAGGAAAATAGATGCCTTAACCCGTATCTAATATTTTCATGCGATGCGCGAAAGCACGGATCATTTCGTCCCGATAGCGATTCCCCGATATCGTGAAACTGGACCAAGCACTGAAACAAAGTGACGGCGTTGAAAAAAAAGACGGCCCGTCCTCGCAATAATTTACGTGAGGGATGGATATGCACGTCATTTGTTCCCTATCCTATCTAGGGATGAGATGGCTGCCGCACGTCTGTGCTCCCATTCCAGCCAGGTAAATCACCCCTAGGTATCCTCGAGATCAACATTTTAAATCTTGGTCAACTTGCATGTGATGTAGATTATCAGGCCACGCGATAGATATCACAGATCTCTTCCCCTAGGGAAACTCATGCTAAGAGATCCATCTAGCCGTAGGCCAAAGCTACGATCCGGCAACCGCCCCCAGATTTTCCCTTACTCCTCAGCTCACGGACCTCGATTCCATCTAAGCAGATATCAAGGTAGAATATCAAGAACTTGAAATTCGACAGTTCGGATCCATGGGACTCTCCCTCCCTCCCTCTCCGGCCCCCGCACACCTAAAGCTCGAGTCCTCATCCAGCCCAGCCTAGGCCTCTGCGAGGCGGCCAACCTGCCCCTCGCACTCGCACAGGCGGAAAGAAGCACAAGCTCGAGCAACTCAAGGCGCACGAGACATCGTACTCGGACCAACTAGCTTCCCGTGTGGCAGGTCGAGCCGCGCAAAAAGGAAATAGAAAAAAAAGAAACTTAGCTTGCGCACAAACGTTAGGTACGTAGGGGCACTTTCGCCTGTGCGCCTTCCCGTCGCGCTTGTGCCGCCATTTGCCAGGGTACGGGAGCACCCGCGGGTTCGAACCGGTGCCTTTCGCTGGTCCCGTATCGGGCCCTCTACCTCTAGCTCAGGCCGTGTCATCGTCTCTCTCGCGCCTGAGTCTGTGTAATGCGACGTTCACTGCTCACATGCACTTACCTCTCTCCCTCCCCCTCTCCCACCCTACCTCTCTACCAATCTATTTACTACCGCCTACATCCAAGGGAGTAGGCCAAAGGGTAAGTCCACCGGCAGGCAACAACACACAGGAAAGAAGAAGAGAAAAGAAAACCCCCCCAGCTCAAGTCGCGTGAGATAAGGTCATACGACGAAACTGCATGTCTTAGGTTTGTAAAGCTTCCGTCAGCTACCCTCGGTGTAAAAGCCGCCACCAGTTCCAAGAGAAGCCCCGTAGAGTGGACAAAAGGTAATAAATGGATGGGCTGATAATAGGGCGGTGCAATAATACGATATGTTACTCACTTGGTAACCACCTCTACCAAGAACATATATCCATGTTACCCGAAATGCCAGGTGCTAACTTCCAGGAAGAGTAGGTTTGTAAGCTAGTTATTTGTTCGTACCTTCGTTATACGTGAACTTCGGTAATTTATGTTTATCCTGGTACTCTTGTAAGTCATGACATCAAACGGTCCAAGTTTAATGAACCTCCTTTCACATAGCCTCCCGGACTATCAGATTCAAGATGTCAACCGTAAAGAACACTCAATACCTAAGAATACCAAGGCATGTATTTGGGTTAAAGTTATGGTATTCTGGTCTGACACAAATAGCACCTACACTTAACACTATGAAATGATAGAGACCAATACTTCACACAGAGACCAATGTATCGAAACTCAAATTATATTATGGACAGCATAGAAATGCTTTCCGTAGGCTAGCTTTACGAATATTTTATCTATGGCTCAACTGCTTCCCATCGTCGATCCTTTTCGCTAGATTTTCCGTGCAATCCCAACCTTACGGAAGCTGACGAGTGACTGATGCACACGACCAGTCTCTATCGTATGAGGGTATCGGTAAAGTAACTAGGCCACTCGGTCCAGAAACGCCAAACTCCTTACATGCTTAGAGCAGAACCAAAATGCGCCTCACCGATGATGACCGGAGTCCGCGAGGACTTTGTGCCGTAAACCTCGTCTCCGTGACCAACGCCAACATCGAAAAACTCTGAACCCCCCTCATCAAAAGTCCCACCAGGCACCTATGCCAAACCGGACCACAACTATGTTTACTGTGATTGAAAGTCAATGTAAGATATTTTCGTGGGTAAACGCGTTGCGCCTCATAAGATCGATCGAACGAAATGTTCAATAGCCGCGTCATAGATTCATACTCGGGGGGAAACCAAGTTCGATATCCAGAGCCGTCTATCTCAAACGACATATCTCGTCAAATCAACGAATGCTGCTTGTCGGAAATGTGCAAAGGAATATCTACGAGGGAGTGATGTGTAGTGATGCGATGCAGTCAGACCAGATGTGAAGAGCGTCGTGTCGGAGGGAGAAAAAACAAAAGATATAAAGAGAATTTGGCAGACGAATCAAATCTGGCCCTTAAGGTCGACTCTACGGAATGCCTCAGTTCTGGCTGTCTCGAATAACATTCCAGCCTTTCCGGTTAGAAAGGCAATATAGTCTTGTCGTTCTTGAAGCAGATCTTGGCCATTGCAGTCGATAATGAACTGTGCAGCTTCAGCATCAGACTCGAAGGCTAACTCCTCAGTGATGTAACGAAGCTTCAGATCGGGCTTAAATCTGTAACAAAGTTAGTATTCAAGCTTTTTCTATAGGTAGAGGATAATACTCACGCCTTGCACATGTTTGCAAGTGCAGCAAGTCGTTCACGTTTGACAAACATATCCATGAGATATGCTCCCATGTTGGGAACGTCAAGATATAGCTGGAAAAACCTATGGTAGTTGCCTAAAGCAAGGGCTGAACGTACGTCCAGAGCATGCTTAATCGGTCGCTCTTCTTTCTCTGCTGTAGTTAGATCTGCGATGGCGTCATTCAACGCCGACCGGTTTGCGGTATGGATGAAATACAAAATACGATACGCCTTGAACTCGATAGAATTGCCCTTCAGACCCGACTTATAAAGAGCACGTAGCTGAGTCTGGCACTGATTATACTCACCGAGATCCCCCTTCTCCAAGGCAATCCTGGCATGGATTTCATAAACAGAAACAGTGAAGTCATTCCTAATGCGTTGTACTGTCAGATCCTGGCGTAGCGATTTAAACTGGTCACAAATGTAGTTATAGTTGCCGTCTTTCCGCCACTTCTTCTTAAGTAAGTCTAGCGTCTGATGCAAAATACGTTCAGGTCGGACGTCGGCTGCTTTCGGTGCAGCAGTTAAACGCAGATATCTCTTCTCCAAGGATTCGTTGAGTCCGACGATAGGTCCGGTAAGGGGCGGCGGGCTAGGAGATCGGTAGGTAGACTGGTATCCACCATCACCGCGGCGCTGTCGCTTCTCGACATTCTTCTGGAACTTACTTTTGGCCGGTAACGGACCTTCCATCGACGGTTTGGTAATTCGATCTTCGAGGGAAAGCGCTCTGGTGCTACGCCACGGTACTGAAGCGGTGTTGGTCTGTTCGGGTCCGCTAAGATCCGTAGACTTCCTCTTCTTTGGGTTAATAGGAGCGATAACAGAGGTAGGAGTTGTCTCTGTCACCATGGGTGGTGCCATAGACTGCATCAACGCTTGTTGGCGTTCATTCTTGATCAACGTTTGCGGTAAAGGCATGTTGTCCCAATCCGTAGTGTACATGGTTCCACAATCCTGAGTGTACCTGATAGTATCCTTCAACTTGGTTTCCATCTCGGCACGGGTTACGCTAGGATCTAGATTTGATGATTGGAAGGACCTTTGCACATAGCTGCGCACTGAATCTGGCCAGTCAAACTTCTGCTGCTGGGATTGCTGATTCGATGAAGCAGCCATAGTGGTTGTTGATTGAGGATTAGCAGGAGCGGAATAGTTATACTGAGATGGAGCTTGGTATGCTTGACCAAAGCCTTGACGAACTGGAACAGCAGTATATGCGGCATCTATCAAAGAGACCAGTATTAGCATCAGGCTTATTTGGAGAAATCATTAGATAAGGGGGAAAGCACATACTGAGAGTAGTAGGATAGGCGTAAGGCGTTACTTGGACGCCAGGCGGAGGTGCTGCCCAAGACATTGTAGTCAAGATGATTCAGTACGTAAATTACTGAGAAGGATTTGGCAGAAACAAAAAAGGTTAGTAGCAAACCCCAAAAGAACTCTGAAAAGAGAAGAATATGGATAGGCAAGTTAGTGTTATCGTGTTATATACTCGATGGAGTAAATGGACAAGGACATTCACAGACGCAACGGGGCGAAATGTAATATCTTCGGTGATAACAAAGAATAGATGTGAGTTGTGAATGTGCGTGAATAGGGAGGAGTTGGGAACAAGGGCGGAAGCAACGGCAGTTTAATTTGGGCGGTCAGATGAAAGCGCAGTGGCCCGAGCGCTTAACCACATAGAACCTAAATTACCTAATCTACAGTGTGCATTCCGTACCTACCTAGGTTAGGTAGCATGGAATTTGCTGTGTTGGCTTTCCCTGTATGGTGCCTTCGGAGTATCATCGGAATGAATACCGATATGTGGGTCCAATCTGCACGGACTATATTCTTTCACATGTCATACCTAATGTACTTCGTACTCCGTACCTACCTCATGGAATCTACATGTATGTATCAAGGTACCTTTCTTATTGTCGGTGATCTCAGCTTGCGTCAGTTCAACTCTTTTAGACATCTTCTTATCAAAATTCACAAACAAGTATTCCCAGCTTGTTATCCTCCCAGATTTCAGTCTCTGGCTCAAGTTAACCGATATGACGAATGTTTTTAAAACAAATCGACCTTACCACTGCCCTCAGGCCTTCCTATCTTCCCGACGAAGTGCTTCTCTTTGTCCAGGACAACGTGGGGCTCTATGAGGGGTGAGTCTGCTAGTTATCCAATATCGATTGTAACGCCAATGTCTATGGTTCTTCAGTAACTAATCACCATTGCCCTATTCATTTTTATAGGAAATACAAATTACCGAACCAACAGAATGGTCAAGTCTATTTGACCTCGCATCGAATATGCTACGTGGACAAACAAGAACCCAGAAAGTACTCTGTTGCTTTAGACTTGAAAGATGTAGAGAGATATGAATTCTATGTAGGAGTTAGGTTATACCTTCACGAAACGGAATCCTTTTGCTAAGAGCTTTCTTTATAGGCGGGATTTCTAAAATCTTCCCCGAAGGTAACCCTTTTCCCTAAGCCAGCCAAACGAGGTTCTCTTCAGTCTAGAGCGGCCGTAGCTACGTCGACCGTCTCCCGTAGTAATGGCGCTTCACCTCTACCAACGTCCGAGTCTACATATCGGTCCACCTCTACTAGTACACCACAGGCCAGTTCAGCAACATGGATTTGTACGATATGTAGCTTTCCAAATCCCGTTCCATCTAATTTCGACCCGACAACGGCGAATGCTCATACACCGTTACCATCATGTCTAGCGTGTGGTATCAAACCAGCATTAACTCATATGCTTAAAGCTGCTATATCAAATGTTACTAGTAGACAAGTGACTTCTTCCGGCTCCACTTCACAGTCGCCATTTACACTGCCTTCTCGACCGCAAAGTCTGGGTCTAGCCAACGATCAATCTCGGGGCCCGGAAGCAAATCGTTTATCACGGGGCACTGCAGCTGGTTCGACGAACTCGGATGGCTTTGAATGCCCCCGCTGCACCTTTTTGAACCACCCCTCTCTCTTAACTTGTGAGATATGTGGCGCCCCCCTCATTTCTCACGATGTTCCTATGGGAGTGGCGCATAGCCAACCTAGGACAGACTCGCCGGGACCTATGCTTAATTTATCTAGTGCTACCGGCTTAGAGAACCCGGAGAGTGTCAAGCTGTCTTTCCGAAATGGAGGAGAGAAGATATTCTACGAGCGACTTAAGAGCTCTATGACCCAGCGTAAATGGCTCTTACAAGAAGCGCCCCCTATTCCGAACGGGGGTTCTACCGACGCCCGCACGGACTCATCGTCGACATCAAGGCCTGGCGCTAGCCGGAACAAAACCGCGGGCATAGCCGGGTTAGAGAAGATGGGATTAGATAGGCGGAAGAATAATGAGTTAGTCATTGGGAGCGCCTTTGAGGATCTTGAAGCCTTGATGGCCTCTGCCAAGGAAATCGTAGCGCTTGCGGAATCATTCGCCCGGCAGGTCAATGGTGGCGCAGAAAATGCGACATCCGAAGCAAATGCATTACTTGCCGAGTCGGCTAGTCAGCTAGGACTCGTGACCACCAAAGACATCGTAGGTGGCGGAAGTAGCTCAGGATCGGAGTCGCTTTACTTGTCTGAACTATCTCGTAACCTTGCAGAGTTCTTAGCAGACGATGCCCGAGGAGTACTCAGGAAAGCCGGCGGCATTATTAGTCTGGTTGACTTATGGGCCATGTTCAATCGCGCTCGTGGAGGTGTCGAACTTGTTAGTCCTAATGACTTTGAAAAGGCGGCCCGTTTATGGGGTAAATTGAGACTACCAGTCCGGCTACGTACGTTTAAGAGTGGCGTGATGGTAGTCCAGAGCCGCGACCGTACAGACGACACGACAGTTAAGACACTACTAACGTGGCTCCGGGACCTGCACGACATACCACCAGATAGAGATGTCGCTTGGGATTGGCAGGAGTTCGGTCGTGGCGTTACTGCGCAGGACGCTGCTGAGCGATTCGGATGGAGTATTGGTGTCGCCGAAGAGGAGCTCGAGATGGCCGAAGAGAGGGGTGTTCTCTGCCGCGAGGAAGGTATTGAAGGGCTTAAGTTCTGGGAGAACTACATCGATACGGGAGAATACCGCAACAAGCCACGAAAGACTCCAGACGCAGAAGAACAAATCATGGAGGCCCTTAGTGCGGCTGGTCTTCTATAAAGTTTAGGATAGACGGAATTTATAAGTAGAACATGTCTTGCATTAACTTATATCATTTACCACGTTTGTTTCATAATTACCGTCATTGAGACCTTCTAATACACGAAGATAGAATATCACCATTAACCGCCAATCCCAAAAATCTGCCTTGAGGTCGCTCGTCCAAGCTTGCCGTCTAATATAATTTGTTTCTTTTGATTTCCGCCTTAAACCCCCAAACCCGTAACACCGTGCCATAACACACTTCTAGTAAAAAGTGCAACCGTTATGAAGCTGTCTACTTGTTTCAAGCGAGCTTCTCCATAAGATTTTTCCGTACCTTTGTGTTCACCGTCCCCCCTAGCCCGAATGCGGGAACGATCCTGCATATCCTCGCTACAGCACTTATCGCCCAGTTCTTCTGTACCTGCATCCATCGGTCGCGTCTGGACACGAGGCCCCCCGTCCCTGGCCGGTTGTACATGTCGAGGCCGAGTAGATGGATAGGCGTCGAGAATAGCTGGACAGCGGCGGGAGCGGCGAATTGGGCGATGGTGGTTCCGCTGACTTTCTTCTGTAATTCAGTGCCCATACGCTCGTTCAATATAGGCCCGAGAAGTGGCGGTACGTTGAAAGAGGCGAAGATGGTGAAACAGTCGCGCAGCGTGAACAGCACGTAGCTCGGCATAGGCACAGGGCGCGGGGGTCCACCAGGACCGAACATCTTGACGAAAACCTGGTCCTTGTAGACGCAGAGCCCGACATTGGCAGCGCTGGACGCGGCGAACTTGGCCGTGCCGGTGGTGACGTGCGTAGCGGGCTTGTTCAGCGCCGTCGACGTTGCGGTGTCTAGCGTGTTCGCCGTCCAGTACGTGCCTCCGTACAGCATGAAGATCAAAGCGACGGGCTTGGAGAAAAGCATGGTGTGCGGGCGGAGGAGAAGGGCTCGGAAAGAGGCCCGCAGACTGTTGGCGAGCGTGTTCCGCCCGGATGCGTTTTCCATTATGGATCTAGAGCGAGGATGTGGTCAGCGCATATGGGAGCCGGGCGGGAAACTAGCAACGTTCCTGTCAATAATGGATATGAGAGGCGCGACCATCGACGCTGCACATGCGGCGCTCGTCAGGTCCACGCCTAGTCTTAAGCCTAGGTTCTTCGTGTTCCATCGCTGTTGTAGCCCGGACGATGGCATGTCAACGGCGTCTTTTTTGCGCGGGAGAGGGATTGGCGATGCTGGGTTGACCAGCGGCTTTCCCGTGCCGACGTCGTTTTTCATCGTGGGCTTTAAACGGATCTTTTACTTTATATAGTTTACTCGACAACTGGGTGTATACTTGCGTACTCCCTCGCAACTCGAAATCAAATCACAGTAAGATGAAGAACTTCGGGGCGAGGGGGCAAGAAGCGAGAGGAATTAAGTTGTTTGATACATCAGGTCTGATTAAATGTATGAAAGAGTCTAAGAAGATATGAGGGAATTCTAGTCCTGCAGGTTACACTAAAGTCTATCGCGCTCTTTCTTTTCTATATAATGAAAAAAGTGATATGTAAAAAAAAGAGGTGATAGGCGCCGCCCCCTCGGTGTACGGAGCTCAGCTTCTTAGTTCCATGCATCCTATCCATTGGCAATCGTCATTTTTATAAGCTTAGACCGAGTTCGGAGATGGTTATCCGGGAATTCTGATTGGATTAAACCTTGATTTAAGCTTTCTTTTTTTTTTCTGGGGAGATCTTGACCACAGTGAGAGGTAGTTTGGTACTGTAAAGGCGTATAAGTTAAGGTACTATACCTCCTATCTTGACCTGCAGGTACTCGGCTAATTTTCTGCTATGTAAGTAATATATAGCTTCTATTTTCAACAGCTATAAGCATAATCGAAGAAATGAGGCGGTGAGTACTAATTATTATTTTTGTACTTATAATAATTGCTGTGACATCATCAGACTACTTTTGTAATACTATTCTAGTCTATATTTAGTTACTAACTATATTAAATATAGAAAACTTAAACACGTAACTTGCCTTGCTTATACCATACAAGACATCATGGAAAGAACTTCGCTGTTCCGCAATGAATTCTAACTACCTATCTAAGAGGCTCTAAGTCTACCTATACATACTAAACCAGAATCCAGACACTTTGAATTTTTAGACACGTGTAGCGTATGTTGCCAGTATTGTTATAAGTAAGGGGTTTACAAGTGAATAAGTCAAGTTCTAATCATGTTATTATTCATCTGTTTATCCTCCCATCTATGGTTGGAATTTGGTGAGTATTACGTATTACTTATATACTAAGTCATGTTTGATCCGAGAATCACTTCAGAAGAGCTTGACATACCTATTGAGTTTGGTATAATGTAAACTACGTGACTGTATCTACAATTTATTCACAGTCGAAACAACGAGGTACACTGGTCTTAATAAATTATATATAAACAAGATAGTATTATCCATCTTCCCCTTCTCTTTCTTTACATCCTATCACCAAACCCTCTACCAATACCAGTACTTGATACTCATCTAGGTATCGATGGCAGGCAGTATGGATCCCCAACCCACCAGCAAGCTATTTACCCCCGAAATACTGTCTGAAGACCCTATTCTCGGTGGAGCTCGACCCAACCACGATGGAACGCAGGTTCTCTATTCAGAGCGGAAAGCCAATTGTGGTGGTAGAATAATGACCAAATGCTGGAAAATTATGGATGTCGCAACTGGAGAATGGCAAACGCTCATCACAGATCAGGAGGTATTTGAAGCAATTTGGTTGGCAGACGAGCCTGACACGATAATTACCCTGAGCTTTGACGAGTATGCCCCGTATCAGACCCAGGTCGCAACGTACGATCTCAAAGGGCTGCAAGTCAAAAGGCAAGTCGCTTGTCTATTATCGAAAGTATCTGACCTTAGAGTGGAGCGTCTCAAAAACGGCAGCATTGCGTTCGCAGTAATTGGTAAAGTAGGGATAAACGGCGAGCTGCGTTGGGAGAGAAATTATACGCGGCCAGACCATCACGGGTTGGTATATGACACTGATGAAGTGCGAACAGTAAGAGACCCTCCCCTTAATGATACCCCTATGATAACTTCGTCATTATTATTGGATTAACTAACTAACGACATGCGACTATTAGGATGACGAATATATGGATAATATAAAAGAATCAATATTCTTCTCGATCTTGACGAAGTCTGAGGAGGGATGGGCGTTAGCCGGGCCCCTACATAATGCGCTTGCCAATACAGACCTCAAGCCACATAAATCTTACAACATATCCCAGGACGGAATCGTATTTATAGCCGAAGATTATAGCGTAAAACATGTGCCATCGCGGATCAGGCACGCCTACCTCCTTCGACTGGATTCCTTCAGCAGTGCTAGTACTCACGGACCTAGGAAAATAGAAATACCGGATGAGAGCCCGGATGAAAGCGATGATCATAGTTCAAGCCCCCATTTCAGCCCCGATGGCTCTCAGGTCATGTTCTTGAGAGGGGATAACATCCACATCTACCAGATTGGCGAAAGCAAATCCGTTAAGGTGCTTGATACTTTAGCGGATGGGAAATGGCCGTTAATTGCGACGGAGATCCAGTTTGCTCCTAGTGGCAAGGCCATATATGTCAGTGCTGAAGACCATGGAAGAACCAATCTATACGAGATCGACCTGCAGTCAAAAACAAAGCCCAGGATGCTTTTCCGTGGCGGTACCGTGACTGCATTCTACCCCCTTGGTAAAAGCGACGGGCAGATCCTTGTAACCAGCTCAAGTCTAGTAGACGGTTCGCTCTACAGTATCATCTATACCGACGAAACCCAAGACCCTAGACTGCTTTTATCGCTTACGAACCACGGCGCTCGACTTGGTATTTCCTCAAGTCAAATCTCGGAGATACACTTTAAAGGTGCTGGTGATTACCAAGTCCATGCGTGGATGGTAAAGCCTAGCTACTTTGACGAAAGCCGAAAATATCCCTTGGTTCTTCTTGTACATGGAGGACCTAAGGGCTCCTGGGGAGACGAATGGTCCGCTACCGTATATCAACCCTTCATATTCCCGTTTCTATTATAAGTTACCTAACTTACATATGTTTACAGATTAATTTGGCACTTTTTGCTGAGCAAGGCTACATTGTTGTAGCTCCGAATATTACTGGCAGCACAGGCTTTGGCCGGGAATTCGAAAGAGGTACGTCGCCAAGTATAATCTTACAACATCGAAAGCTCACATAAAATATAGCGATACAAGACAACTGGGGCGGTCGTCCATATGATGATCTAGTCAAATGCATGGATTACCTAGAGCAGAACCCTAATATCGATATTGATAAAGCCGTCATGATAGGCTTCAGTTATGGAGGATACATGTGTAACTGGGCCCAGGGTCACCCACTTGGCCGACGTGTGAGTATTTCCTTGATTACAACAGATATATATATATTACATCAGTGACTAATTTGTCTTTTCGGATCAGTTCAAGGCCATGGTCTCTTGGGGCGGCGTTTTCCACTTGCCAACCTACTTTATGGAGCGGGATATATGCCCAAGCTTGAAAAAGACCTATCGCTTCAGCGGTTCGGAAATCCTATGGAAGAACCCCGAAGGTTTAGAGCGGTTTAACCCAGCACGTCCAGATCTCCTCCCTAGCTGGAAGACACCTATGCTTGTTGTCCACGGTAGCGATGATTTTCGGAGCCCAGTTACTGGGGCTATAGCTGCATTCCGTACGCTACAGCTACTAGGAACACCATCCAGACTCCTTATATTCCTTGACACAGGCCACTATAAATATCAATTCAAGGACATCCGCAAATACCACCAAGAGGTTTTTGCCTGGATCAATAAGTATACCGGTCTTGGGAAGGAAATGTCACGAGACACACATGAATCAGAACGCTTCCTTAGGGATAATTATCTCGGTCCAGGTTGGGGACAGCACGATCATTTGGTAACAGGCTGAACAGCTAAGTCCTGGGTACTGAGTACACACAGTCCCACGGTGGATATATCTTATAATCATTAATAGTTCTTTTCTATATAAAAAAAGGCGCTTGCCTACTACGTAAACCTAAGCCTAATCCTTTGACGTTGTATTTACTTCGCTTGCAAGTGTTGACCATACGAGGTCGGTAGAATTAACACTTCTGTCTTAATATCTTTTCATGTGTCCATATCTGTTTATAAAATATGAATGGAGCTTATACCTTATATTCCACCCACCCTGTCAAACGTAACACCCTCTTGAAATTTTCACGACGACACCTCTGCCAACACACTTGAGGCCATTCTGCAGTACTAGAGTAGACTCCATGGGGACCATTCCTTAGTAATTGAAGAAACTATCTAAAGAACCTATCCTGCCCCAACCAAATAGCCTGGGTAAGAGCCAATAAACACTGATCCACGGCTTTTGTATCCAAGAAAATATTTGCAACGACCTTCGGTCGATAGACATATATATAATGCTGATCGTAATACGCCGGTTTAGCAAGAAACGTCTCCCTATACAATAGCAAAAACGATATACAATAAAAGATTAATCAGAGGAATCGTGTACATTACTCCGTTGAATTCTCTTACTAGACCTAAAATTTTTCAACGAAAATCATGTAACCACATGAACTGCCTCGACATAATTGCAGAATATCATTTTTTTCCTTAGCAGAAGAGAATGTACTTGATCCAAATATATCTAGTAGATGGAGCACTCGCCAGATAGTAGCCGCTGTGCACAGTTTGGGTTTAGCCAGCTCCGTTCAAAAAAAAAAAAAAGGGGGGGGGGAGATCTTCGTTCTTCTGTCTCTCCAAGCTGACGCCTTTAGCAAAAATACAATCCTTTCTCCAAATTCTACTTGATATTAAATCTTGAATTAAGCCGTTCAATGGTCATAAAACATGATAAACCTAAATACGAATAGCCCATCTCTCATACCTTGAGCATGTAGGTACTTGCTCAAAATGTACCTAAGGTACCTAGGCCAATTCCAGCACAAATCCAACCCCCTTTTCACAAACCTTCAGCACCACAAAGTGTGCTAACCCTAAAATACACATTTATTTTTTCCCCTGGATAATCACAGCGAGGTTCAACCAATAAAGTTAACCTACCTATGTATCTGAGCCACCTTTGTCATGTAAGGGAGGACGTTAAATGAACCTAAGTACCAGCGTAGGTTTAAATTTAGCTGCCTCTAAAAAGAACTTTAGGACAAGTAAGAAGTACATCTAGTTAGTTAATTTAATCACGCGAGCAGAAATATTCAACATAATGTGATCAATTCTGGGTTCCTAACCCTACCAAGTTGCAAGAGCGGTGCGGTTTATGTAGGTGCCTAAGGGGTACTTACGGCATAGGGGGGAATGGCGTATGTAGCACAAAATCAGCAAATCAGTGTCCCGAGAGCTTGGGATCCCCACATCAGATCTCCGTAGATCCCTGTATGTATCGCTTCCGAAATCTGGGGGTGAAGAGCAGGGGTATATATACAGGTACTGGTAGGTACCCAATCCAAGATAGAAGGAGCGAGCGAATTTGTATGGGTTTATTCTTAAGGTGTGAATCAATGTTATATTATTTATTCGCCAATGAAACACAAGATCAGTGCTTAATACTTTATTTTTAATATTTTAATCACGGACTCTTATTGGTGTAAGGTTACAAGAGACGGATCAGGTACAAAACCCCCCTCCGTACCTGCATTAAAACAAACCGCTGTATATAATTAGAGGCAACCGTCATTGGAAAATCGGTTAACAGGCTCCTTCCCTTGCAGTATTAGCATCAAATCACTGCGAATCACCCCGCCGCCTTACAAAATATATATACCTAGCCCTCCCCCCGAGGCCTCCAAATAAAATTCCATCGATAATTCATTCACCTTATTGTCTTGCACCACCAGTCTCTTACATGCTTGACCCATTGGCTACCATCACGCCCACAAGTCCAATCCCTTATTCATCCTCGCACTCAAACTCACTCATTGCTCCACCACTTGCGACCACTTGCGACAGCTTGCGACAATTAGTCAAGATGTTCTTCACAAGGCTCCCTGCATTTGACCCTATTCGCCCGACGGGCATCGGATCGGTTCCTTAGGACAGAACCGAATTGATCACCCCCTGGCAGACGTTCCGCGAACGTGTGAAATCCTGGTGTCGCAAAGTATTCTCTCGGCCCAAGGCACGAGAAGAGGAGAAGTGTAAGTTCATCCAAAACCTGGATATTGCGATTAATTACTGACTAGAGCTATGCAGCAGCTAGTCCAATCTCTTCGCCCGAAGCTTGCGAGCCCGGAATCTTCAACGACGATGGACCACCGAAGCTTGATGTCTTGAGAGGCCCTACCCTCAGCGATAGCCTGTCCGATACCGGCTTCATCCTGTACAGCGAACCCGCCAAGAAGAAGAAAAGCAAGCAAGCATCCGCTGACAAGTTCCGCTATTCATTCCGAAGCGAGGGTAGCCGCCCTGTATCGATGATCATCGAGGAAGGATCCAAGTAAGGATCTGTCGCAACTTGCCACTTCCAAAAAATGCTTTACAATGCTCTATCTATAGAATTCTGTGGACCGTTGTTTTGGTTCGATATGTTGCATAAGTCAAGTATCATTAGGAGGAATCATTAGGCAGAATAGGAATGAAATATTCTCAAATTGAAAAGTGACGATCTTGGGCATTTTCTCCTCTTCTTGCTTTGCGGACTCCCATGAATTGTGCTGACGTAACTGAACCTGACCTGAGTGAGCAACCCGATTCTACCAAGGTAATGTGTCGGTGTATTGCATGCGATTTCCCTGGCATTGTAGAAGTAAATCGTCATAAAGAGTTTAATTGATGGGTAATTCGTTTTTGTTCTGTGGTTATGTTCTTTGAGAGGCAGTTATTGCTGTTGAAGTGTATCGGTTTGAAGTTGTTTTTCCATATTCTTTTAGTCTAATGTCTCGTGTTGTGAGTGCTGTCGAACTCTTGGGCACTTCCGTATGCGCCCTGGATATTATTAGTAACTTTCCTCGCTGGGCCTTCGTCTAATATTTCTTTTATCTTACCTTTTTATAGCATATGTTAATTACGCACTTGTTGAAGTGACGCCCATAGTCCTCACAGGCCAAGACAAGTCGGAAGGTAGTGACACCAGAAGCAATAGTGTCGGCCTTAGAATTTGGATCGCAGATGGAGCTATGGCACATATTGATGCGTTCCACAAGATGGTGGCTGTGTGACGAGGTGATTCCGTTGGTGGCCGGGACGGCTCCGGGCGATTCCTGTCAGGATTCTAGATGAGACATCTAGAACAAAGAACATGTTTAGTATATAGACGTAGAACCTTCTAGGTAGTTAGAGTTCCTTGCGGAGCAACGAAGTTGTTTTCATGCTGTTTGGTTCCACCCCGTGACAATTCCGGACGGTTCCGGACGATTCCGGACGACTTCGGACGACTCCGGACGGAGCAGTGTTTTAGGTCGACTTATGAGATAGCTTTTTGCACCGCCCAACTGACTTAATAGGTAGGTTATTTTACCTATAGGTGAAGATATGATGTAGGAATTGGTTGTTCTGATTAATTATACTTCAGGTTTAGAAATAATGTTGTTTGGTGTCACTGCTAATGTGATAAGTTTGCTGGTGACTGTTGGTTTGACTGTTGGCTGGTGGAATGCCGGCTGTTGACGACTGAATGAAGTATCTTTGTAGCATGCTTAATGGGATGTTTATCTGCATGAGTCTGGTTGAATGTGTAATAGCTACACACACAAGCAAGTGTGAATTGCTATGAGTCGTCTTGGCGATGGTTCACACTACTAGTTATTGGTGTGAATAGTGCGTATTGCTGTTGCCGAGACGATAGAGGTTAAGAATGGAATAAATTTCCTATTTGGTGCTGCAAAGAATATTGCTGGTGAATTTATCTTTATGTTATGGTGTTTTTAATAGTTGGTTGCTAGATATATATATTGTTGATAGGAGTGAATGAGAGAAAGGGTGGGCAATTATTGTAAGTGAGCAGGTTTGTTATCTAGCTCTAGGCCCATAGAAAAAAACCTTAGGTAAATAAAGTAAAGCACTTATTCCTATAATTTGCTCTACACCTTCCTATGTTCTGACATAACCTAGGACCTAGATATAAAAGACAGGTAGGAGCACTTGTTTGTTTAAAGAAGTAGTAGAGTTAGTCAGAAATTGTATTTCATCCTATCTCAGGAAAGTAAAGAGCAATCATGTTTGTTTGTGTACAATTGATGCCATTAGTACCCGCATATACAAGTAAAGTATGACAGGACTGGCAGTTGTCATATATGGTACATGACAACACATATTCAACTTGCTGTGCATGTTTGTATCTCCCATAATATTTACAATCATGAGGTTTTTATGAAAAAAAAATTGTGGATGAACTTTGAATATTCGTCAGATATGGATTGGGCTCCTGGTTCGATTCTGTATTAACTTGGTTATGGTAAGACTTACTTTTCCTACTTCCTACATTATATTGCGTATCATTAATCGATCTATCTAGGAACTTTAGATCAATTGGCCATTGCCGTGTTACCATAGTAGAAGACTTAATTCTCTACCAGCTGAAACTCGTAAATGTCGCTTCATGATATCTGAAAGTGGAAAGGAGATCAACGGCTGAGTAAACTAACTTTAATATCTGACATAATGCTGGAGGACTTGATGTTGATCACTTTGCAAGTTCAAAGTGATTAATACGAAGGTCTGATGGTAGGATATTAATATAAGTATCAACATTATTTCCTCCAATTCCACCCTCATATCATCGCATACTACAATAACATCCCAAGCAAAGAAACGAACCACCTACACATCCTGCTAAACTTCTAATATATGTAGGTCCATATCACCAGTTAACCTTCACAATATCACAGCTACTAATAACTCTCCTTCTAGTCACCCTAATCGCAATGAAGTCCACTTTCTTCACCACCACCCTTCTCGGCCTCGCCACCAGCGGCGTGAGCGCCTTTTCCCTGACTGATTGCGCCAACACCAACGACTACCACAACTACGGCTCCAACGCCGAGGGCTCCTGCAAGACCTTCCGTGTCAACGCCGCAGGGGGCTGGTACTACTCCAGCAAGGCGGGATGCAAGCTGACCGTGTACGCTGGCCCCAGTTGCGACGGCGCTAGCTTTACCACCGACCAGCAGCATGTGTGCCAGAACGCGGGCTTTAATCCGCAGTCTGTGAAGTGCGTCCTATAAGCAAATGCTCTCCTTGCCTACCTAGTATACAACTAGCTAGAGCTAAGATCAAGGTCGGGGCTGGTGTGGGAACACAATCTATTCGCCTTGGAACACTTTTTTTACAATTGTCGCTCGTTATCAATATTAAACATATATTATCACATTCCTTTAGCTTTACGGAATTTATATTCTTGCGAAGGTTATATTTCACATAGCCATGGCAGGAATCTATAGTACTACCATATCTTATTGCTTTATGCAGTTTATATACGATAACTTGACAGTAGAATACGAACTATCTAGTTATAGTTATTTCACAAGACAAGTTCAACGAATAAAATATTGCACCTGGGAAACTCTATTCCGCTAAAGTCTATACATTTTAAGATTACTTGTTGGTGTGAAGGTGATTGTTGAGCCACGAACTTCCAAGACATACGTCTAAACACCCTGTTGGACTCAATAATGTTTCTAGCCTGAGTTGATAACATCACTTAAGTCATACCCGGCTATAAGTCTCATAATATTGTGTAATAGCTTGGTGATATTACTATAATACCCAAGAATCTCACATCCGCAATACCCGGTCAATATCGAAGAGACTTACACCTATAAGGACGCAAACTTACTATCACTATCAAACTGCAGTAAGGCTCTGCATAAACTTAGCATGTTTTCTTATATTATCATTATACACAGTGACTACATCCCACGGAAGTAGAACAAACCGTCTAATCGCGGCTCATTGCACATCAAACACACCAACACCACCATCTCCATACCCCTATCCACCCACCCAACGCCCCTTTCCTTCCCTTCCTCTCCTCCCATCCCCATTCAAAACAACCCCTAAAACCCCCCCGTCCCCTGCACCCTCTTAACCGCGCCCACAACCCCCCTAGCCCAAGCCAACCTCCCCGCATCCACACCCGTCGCCCCCTCCGCCTCCCTACCCTCGCCATCCCTCCAAATCCCATCCCTCCCCCCAACTCTCCCATACAAATGCGTATTCTGATTCCTCCTTAGCCCCGCAATCCAGTTACGACAGACCAGTCCGCTATCAACTAGTACGTTAACCTCCTGACTGTGAAACCAGCTCTGCGTATCCTGGTTGCCGTTCCCGACGACGCCGATGTGCTCGTCCGCGATGAGAAGTTTGATGTGGCAGGACCGTCGCTTCTTGCTTGCTACGATGGGAGACGTCTGGTCTTTGGCGGTGTACCAGTACCAGTGCAGATGTTGCTTTGCGCTGGGGGAGAGGAGGTCGGTGTAGAGGTGGTGTGCGATGGCTTCGTTGTGGCCGCCTTGCATGGGGAGCATCTCGCCCTGGGGTAGGAAAGGGGTTAGTATTTTACGAGTATCGTAAATTTACTCTTTACGTAGCAGTAACTCTCAATAGGGGTGTTTGTGGAGTAGAGATGAATAGGAGAAGACTTACCGAGTCATTATATCCTAGGCAAATATAACAATAAACATCCACGCTACGCTCACAAGCCTCCACAATAGCCGGGATAAGCGGCTCTGCGTTCAGCGTTGGGGATTGGATGAACACATTCTTCTGCGCATTTCTCAACGCCGACAACCAGGCCGCGTTTTGGGGATTTGAGACAGAGGAATGATTCGGTTGGCCGTAAGGGGCGCGGCAGACAAGAGCCATTGGGAAGGGCTCGTGTATTGGGTGCGGTATGTACGGTGTCATCTCGTCCCGCGGATCACACTCGGGAGCGGTTCCTTCGAACCCTTCGTTAACTGTGTGATTGAGGTGGCGCGACACAGCTTGCATCCGCGTTTCGCCTGGCTTTTGGCTTACGGACGCTTGTACGCGGCGGATTTCCCCGGCGAGGTCTTCGTCGTAGTGGGGAGCGTCTGCGGTTTGCTCCGGAAGTAGGCCTTGCGGTGCAAAGTTTCCTCCTTCGGGATTTTGAGCAATAAAACCGTCTTGTCCTTCATGGCTACTGGATCTATCACCAACCCCATTAAGAGAACCCAGGCTATTTGATGTCTCTATGCTCGATCTACCCGTTCCATTAACATGGTCTGTCCATCCTTCCGTTCGTTTGGTCTCAAAAGCGTTCAGGCCGTAGTTATCTCCTCCCGGGAGTTTATCTGTATCTACAATCGCAGAGTAGCCTTTGATAGCTCCTTCAGGACTGAATATATCAGCATAGCTCGAGGTAAAACTTGTACTTCCGCTCTCAGCTGCAGGAGAATTGAGATATGGCAACGGCGGCTCTAATTTCTTATGCCAACTCAAAAGCGCCATATCGTACAACGAGTCTACAATGGGGCCTTCCACCTGCACCATCATCTCTACATTGTCGTTGTCCTGAATATTATTGCTCTGTACGACGGCTATCTTGCGGTCGACGATCATGTACTTAGAATGAAACGTGCCTAGCAGCGGACGGTGATAATTAATGACTTGAAGATCGATATTAGGGATCTCATGTGGAGCTGGTAGTCCAACGGCACTACCGGTGTATTCGCTCTCGGGGACCATATAATGCGGCTCGAGGAGTTGCTTTGGACTCCCGCGATCATATATGATCTTTACGACGATTTTCACTCCTCGCTCCCCTGCGCGACATGAAAGCTCTCTTATCGCATTCGTGATGTACTTGGAGGCCACTCCGTTCTGCCAAAAATTGGTTGCGAGGTATACCTCTTTTTCAGCGCGGACGATGAGGTTGGACATGTGCCTCACGATATCAGGGATGCTTTAATGGGAAATTAGAATATAACTGCGCGAGTATACCTCAAGTTAACTTACACGGAAATGATGGTTAATGGCATAGTCCCGCTGCTACCCATCAAAGAAGGGCTTACCATACCGCACTCCAAATTCTCGTCAAGTGTAGATAGTGCATCGTGATAGATCTAGTTGTATTAGTTTATTATTTACTATAATGAGATTTTTTTTGGGACTGACTCTGAGAAACAAGTCGCTGGGTTTTTGTGAACCCCATTTCCCACAGGCCCTGGCTCTCTCCAGTTCTTTAGAGCTAAGAGAGCCTTTTCCAATGTCGCGGAAGTCCCCCTTGGAGCCATGGTCATGAGTATACCAACCGAACAGCTTCTTCCATGCCTCACCAGGAGTCAATGTCAAATCTCGGGCGAGAGCTGATGAGACGCTCTCAGATGATAGACATAATTCATATAAGTGCTCACTAATTTTGAATGGAGACTCGGTGGGCACATTCGTATCTTGCTTCGTTGGCATGATGAATCTGGCAACTTGTTACCGGGATTGTCTTTAAAGGTATGTAAAGATGACGAAAGAAAAGTAAAACGAGATCATTCAAATTCTGTGTATTCTGAATCAAGGCCATTGCAGTATTTTAAGAAAAACTGCATCCTGTATAGAATTGCGCCTCTGTCTACGGGACATATCTAAGCTACGTATTTACATGCAGCCTCGAAAAAATGTACGACATGTATTAGACTTAGTCTCGGAGGTTAAAACAAGGCCATACGAACTATGATGCCAAGACTTGAGGATAAGTAAGATACAAGGTGGTGTGGCTGCCAAGCTGCATGTAATAATTGAACCTGAGTGGCTAATTCACCGACAAGAATGACGCAAGTTCCGGCTCCGAACAACCCAGCTCGGATAATCGGCTCAAAATATTACACTCAAATCATCCATAGATCTGCCCAGATGCTTAGATATTTTACACTAAAGTCTAGATAGTACGGAAATAATAATGGAATTAAACTTAGATTTCTACTCATTCTAGTGTAGTATAGCAAATTGCATGTGCTAATCCAATACCCTCGTATAAGAAAATGTTCGCTATAGTTCTACCCAAAGTGTTCACTTTGTGTTCAAACGCCATTAACCCATGTATGCATTCGACAACCAATCTCATTCATTGATAAAAATAAAAAGTGTTAGTTAAGAGACCCTCATTCTTACAACTCTCCCATCTCGTTCTCTGACTTCAACTTCTCAAAATCGGTGAAACCCAACTCGTAGACAAGCGAAAGAGTCATCCTCGCGTGCTGAAGCATGTGGTCGAAGGAGAGATACTTGATCACATCCTCGGTGTTGTGAATATGCTGGTTGGACTCGGGGAAAGTCGACTCGATAACAAAAGCAGAAGGATAACCAGCCTTGGAAGCAGATGCGTGGTCCGAGCAAGCGTATCCACACTTAGTCTCAACCCAGGGGACCTCGCAGTACTCCTCGATGACCTTCTTGATGAAAGCTGTTAAGCCGGGGTCAACAAAGTCAGTGATAACACCCACGCTCTCGGGCTTTCCTGCATCAAGCGTTCCCTGGACGTAACCAGTCATATCTTGCTGCAGCATAGCCTTGACGTCGCGGCTCTTCTTAGCGTAGTCCGCGAAGACGGCCTGGCTTCCAAGGAGACCGCCTTCCTCGGCACTGTACCAGTGGAACTCGATCGTATTCGGAGCATTTCCTTCAATTACGCTTTTCGAAGATAGAAGAACGCGGAAAGCCTCGAGGATCGTAACAGTACCACTTCCATCATCATCGGCACCAGGGGCCGGAAGCATGGAGGGGAACCAGAGGTTGATCGAATCCTGGTGGGCACCGATGACAATAGTTGCATTCGACTTGCCAGGAATCGTTGCGATGATCGAGTTCTGGCCCCAGGAGTGCTCGAAGTGCTTCGCATTAACCCCGTATTTATCAGCACCTGCCTCCTTAATTGTGTCTTGAACTGTCTTTAGCAGCCACTCAGAAGACTGGCGGCCATAGTCTGATTTGTAGTATCGCGTATGGAAGCTCGAAAACTTCTCGAGATGTTCTTGGAGCAAGTCCTTGGATAAGTCCTTTAATAGGGGATGGATTTCGGATTGGAGCTGGACCTTCTCGGGGAATATGGGTGATTCTTGGGAGGTAACACGTAACTCGGCGAGGTCGACGTTGTCCGTGATATCCATGAACCGTAGTCCTTCCTATAGTAGACCTGTTAATGGCTGCAAATATACTGGAATCTGTAAGTCAGGAGAGATAAACATACACGACGAAGCTGCCATTTCTCATCCTCAGTTACCCATGCTGTCTTTCCAGGAGACAGCTCGATAAGATATCTTTCCGGAACTTCCACTTCTTCTAGAAGTGCATCTACGGTAGGGAGAAAGCGGTTGACTTCATTTGCTTCGATGAAGCGAGCACTCGCTGCCGCAGGCAGGAGAAATCCAATAAGAGACGCCTTCATGGTTACAGATCTGTACTTATAGACAGTCCTGATGAGTTGATGAAATGTTATTGAAGCGATACAAGACGATGATATGAAGATGAAATAGATCAACTCTTTCAACTTGGGGAATGTAACTTTGAAGTTCAACTATGACTGGTTACTTTGGAGCTGGCATAGCAACAGCTGACTGATGACCAATCTGGAAGCTGACGCAGTTGGGGTAGCATCCCCTTGTCCCTGAGGCACAGACCATATCCCTTATCAGTACTAAAAATGACGTACCCCTACTCCAAATTTCTGCACGCGCCAAAAAACTTATGTGTGTATGTACATGCATGTACTATGCAAGGGGCACATGTGACCATGAACTAAGTTACATAATCCAGCATAAGAATTAAAGGCCAATTATGTAGGAGCATGCATGATGAACTACTAGAAATTCATCATAATTTGATAAAACGGAGTATAATTCCAAAGTGCTCATTGCAAATGCTATATGCGTTCCTAATTGGAATGCATCACTAAGACAGGATTGAACAGCTCAAAATGAGAAGTATTGCGACATTGCAGCATTATTGTCTTGGGTATTAAACATTGGTCGCCAGGTCTACTATTATACAATTAGGAGTGGACAGCCCTGGTTGGCTTGTCGACCTGCTCTCTCATACAAGCATCATATGCCCCTCGTCTGCACTGCACGACATCCAATCTTGACGATCCTGGTGCCTGCTTGAATTTGTTCTCATGAATAAGGTAATAAAATAGAAACGGGGATTCGTCGACAAATCAACAGGTATCAGAACCCCATAAACCATATGCGGAGAGAGGACCGGAGTCTCGAATGCTGTATGATGCCATGGATGAAAACAAACCGCCCCCTGAAAATGCCTCAATGCTCTCGTGAAATCAGAAGCCCTATACTCGGCTTTTCCTGAACGCCAATACACCAAAATTAGATAACCACAACTATAAACGTGCTCATTCGATGCTCTCAGATTTTATCGGGTGGTAGAGCGTTCCTCTTAGACACATACGGTCCGATCGAGATTCCTCCATCTTCTTACCGCCCTCACCATTCTCCTTAGCTCCGAACCATCGTCGCCACAATGCACCGCTGAAACCAGCATTGTAGTAGAAACTACCACCTTGCATGTTGTGCTCACCCCAACCAAACGGGCTATCTTGCGGGGTAGGTGGATAGTTAAAAGTTTTGTCCATGACATCTAGCGGCCATTGTCTATCAAAGTAAACCGGGTGTGGCGCGTAAACGGCTTTGTATCCATGGTGAAGAGCAACCGTCGGAGGCCACATCTCTGGAAACATAGTGTGGTGCAAACGGAACGTCTCCTCATGCATAGTATTCAATAACCCTCTTGAAAGTCGTGCAACTGTAATGATTGCTACTCGGCGAGGCGGTGTCTCAAGGGACGTGTTATATCCTGATACGTCATTGCGGAAGACCCAGTTTGTCTTTGACGGATCAAATAATGGGTCAAAGACGATTAGGTCCGCATCTTCACCTACGCCCCATCGGTAATCATCATCTTCGATCTTGGTTGGTGGTGTGTTCTCCTTAGGAGATGGGAGCATACCACGGTCGGAAGTGGGAAATGTCACCGGACCCCAAACTGGTTCCTCTTTCCTCTCTATCGTCTCTCGTTCAACTAGTTGAGAAAACTTGGACCATGAACCATGAATACCAGGTATCCAGAATCGAGAACTTCTCTCCCATAGTAGTTTTCGAGGCTGTTCCGCTGCCCACTTTGAAATACCATTGTGGAATTCGTAGTAGTGGCCCGTGTATCTTAGATCCATCTCCCAATTCCAAAAGAAATCGTATTCTTGGTGCTGCTGCGAAAACCACTGCAGGGCGAAATGAGCACTTCGGTAAACACCATGGATATCAGACTTGGAATGATTCTCGACGTTGTCTTCTTCAGGGAACGGTCCGGGATAGTAAGTTCGCATCTGCTGTTCCGACCACAATGTCGTAATGCCCCAGAATTCTTCAGGCACATTATCTCTTATTGTCTGGTTATAAACTTCGTCGGACGCCCAAATTGGTATCGAGTTATCTTTGACATGAACAAGCAGATGTACGTCATATTCGCCGCCTGATTTTAGGGATAACTCGTTAATCATAGCTCGTAGAGATAAGAGTTGGATGTCGGTATACTGGTAGCCGGTCCAAGTTCGTAGTACATAAGCAGAGCGTTTAACTACTTTCTTGTCTTCAGTAGAGCCGTTGATACGTGCCGCTGCTTCAGTATCAAATCGGTTCTGGTTCTTCTCAAAGCACTTTTTCTGCGCTCTGCCCCAATTCACATTGCGATAATCAACCTTGGTAAACATCTCTTGGATCTTCTCGGCACCTGCATGCGCCGAATTATTCGATAGTCCTAAACCCCCCTCGGCAGGATTGTAGCTATAACCGTAAGGACCGAAACGACCAAACCGTTCCCAGCATTTATCTGGCGCAACGCCGATGCTCTCGTACGATCCCCAGAACGGAGCAGGCATTCCAGCAGGTATACCGGGATATGCGAAGATATCAGGCGCCGGGAACTTCTCATTTTCATCCACATAACATCTTTGCACAGGCTGGTGATCCTTAAGATACTCGCTAGAGCTGAAGTCGGGATACGGATTAACAACAACTGGGTCCATAGGAGGGGTCTTGTGAATTAGGGGTTTAGTCTTTTCCGTGATTTGTTGTTCGGGAATCCAGTCCGTGTAGTTCACAAGCGAGCGCACACCATTGTAAAATCCACTTAACCTGAAAATGCGTGTTAGAACCATTGTTACCTCCTTTGAGATACTTTCAAGACATAGACTGTATGACTTCTTACCTGGGGTATTTCTCCCAGTGATAGGGGATTCTCTCTTCTGTCTTAGCCTTCTCGACGTAATAACGCCTAGCTCGAAAACTTCCTCCGGCAAGTAGAACAAACGTGACAAAAATAGCGATTGTGAAAAGAAACAACTTCTTTGGTGATGTGCGAAGTAAACCACCCAGTCGCCGACGGGGTGTTGAGAACCCTTTGCGCCAAGTATCCGACATGATGGGCGATCCGTCTAAAGGCGAACTAGCATGGCTTGAATCGTGGGAAGGTAGCACCTCGTAGACTGATCTGGATCCCGAGGACCGAAAAGAGGGAATTAAGGAAAGGGTATTTTTTATCGCGCCCATCCTAATTAATGAGAATTGGGACCGAAAATGATTGTGTCGCGATCGTTATCCTTCGCGCGTTTAGGTCCACAAGTAAGTCGCACGCCTTGTTGTTCTTTCAGCATTACGTATAGTCCCACGATGGACTGAAGAAAATAAAAGATTATGTATCGTAGGGAAACACCAACAGAAAGAAAAGGAGAGGAAAAAAGGAACGCAGCCCCGGAAAGGCCAAGACAAACTTGAGAGAGTGGAGGTGATATGAAATGCCAGGCATTAAAGCTGGATTAAACTGGACTCCACCAAGAAGAATGACGGAATTCTCCCCTTTTTTGGTGTGGCAGCTGTACATACATAGTATGAGTAAGGGTAGGTAAGGGTGGGTAAAGAACGACCTAAGCAGAAGTCGGATTGGCAGCCGACTAGCAACAAACTTCTCTTCTTTGGTGGGAAGGAACGAACCGTCTTTGCAAATGATCTTCGCAAATGATTGCACCCCACTAGCACCGACATGGGAAGGTCCCGTCTAGGAAACTACCTAAGATTAACTCATCCGTCTTCTAGTGTATGTAGTGTAATACCCCCTAGGTAGGTACGCTATTCTATAGTTGGGGCATCTAGATTTCCTATAGCATGGGAGTAGCGTATATTTCAAGACCTGATTGGTCCAAATAGCCAACCATCTGCCGCCCAGTAACTATCTGCGAGGTTTTCACATGACATTTTCCATTCACTTCATCTCTTATCACATCCTACCCACCCCAACCACTATTATATATATGTTTATAGGCTATCTAATTGTGCTTTGTAATATCTATCTATACCTACCTAATTCATTGATGTCATCAAAGCTTTAAACATTCGGATGGATTTATAGTTATTACCTCATGTAGGTGCCGTCTTACAGCGTCTCTCCCCGTGAGGCTCCGCAGCTAGAAGAAGCCACCCCCACACTTACATAGTGAAAAAGGGTCATTAGCGCTGAAGAAACATTGTTTCGAGATTAGATGAATAACAATAATGTCTTAGACTAGCAATGGCGCGGAATTTTATACATAAGCACTTCCTAACGATTAACAACGATATCATGGTGCTCATGCAAGTCATGAATAGAGAGCTTTACAATACCTGCATAACTAGGTATTTTCTTCCCTATTTGAAGGATCCAACAGGGGTGGCTTCTCAGCCTGTTCCAATCGAAATTTGCATCGGTTAGAATCCTACGCTAGAAATTGCCGCTTGAGATTAGAACTCCCCAGTAAGATTCTCTACCAGCCGAGATGCATACAACCATAGCACATAGGGGATGCACCCATGAATACATATGGACGAACATGTAGTAGTAACCCCTGATCTACATAGCAATATGGTAGCTCACCGCATCTATATACATATAAGTTTTAACATATACCCAACCATGTGTAAGTATCTCCTAACGTAGCAAAGAAGTTTCGCAGATTCTTCTGCAAATTACCATGATTTCAATTAGGTATCTACCTATATATAGATAAACCATCTACAAGGAGCACTAGCTAACTACCTATCTAGGTAGTGTATGTCCTTAGGGGTATGCATTGAAAGTAAAAAGAACACCAAGATCCCCGGTTGAGTCTAGGCCATCCCCTAAAGAAATCGTCTCCCTAGACCCTGGTTAATCTCAACGTTCCCTCCATGGTTGTCACGGTCCTTCGGTCGAGCTCCAAGCGGGAATTTGCCCGACTATGCCGGATCCATGTTCACGGCGCACTAAACCACGAAATTGGACGTCCCAACGTCGGCGCGTCGCGTGCATAGGTAGATGTACATCTATAGTAAGTCGGCAATTGTACGGCGTAGGCTCCCAGCAGATGCTGTGTAACGAGAGCAAACACGCATGAGTGAAACCTCGGATCGTTCATCGACTTCCATTAAAATGCAAAGAACAGTCGCACAAATCATCGTATGCCTCTATATTACACGACTTCTAAATAGATATTTAGGTTATACATGTATGCACTGACCTCAAACATCGCCAATCAGCTCAATCATCATCTTCAATTAACTAGCGCAATAATACATTGTACTACTACCGTACGCCCAAACCAAGATAAAAACCTGTCATATCACGCAAACAATAAACTTGGATAGACTAATGAAGCACAGCCCAGCGGATTCCATGATCTCGTATCTTAGCGCAAAATCTATGTAGCAAGCAATACACATAGTAAGTGACTTCTACGATGTAAATGTAGGTATCAATCAAGCTCTCTAGCCACAAAACTGTAGCCCACTCGCCGCCATTCTATGCGTCCCATAGCAAACCGTCGAGCCAAGAATAAACGCCAAACCATGCTAGTGTGCAGTAGGACAAGCTCTTGTCTAATCCGCATTGCATCACATACTATCCTCCATCTGTCGACTACGGGCCTTTGCCCAACCGTCCCTCTCCTCTTTGCCCCCTGAACTTTCTAGACCCATACCGCGCTCAACCCACTCCTTGCTAGACATCTCGCTCAGTCTAGATAGCGCCCGCGCAAATGCAAAGCGCTCTTCATCACCAGAGAACAGACTTGAGTTTTTCAACTGGTCAATGTTACTATCCACGTCCTCGAGCATGTGCTGCATGGCGTGGCTAGTCGATTCGTCATCGTTGTCGTCTACGGGCTTTCCGTCCCTTTTCAGGGACTCCCGTAATTCCTGGGGAGAGATGAATAATTCCGTCAGGGGAACAGCTGTAGTAAGGACAAGTTTCGCGCGTGATTCGTAGACAGCGTCAATAAAAGTAATAAACCGTCTTGCAAGATCGCGCTCTCGGAAAGTCATGCCAGGCACATCAGATATGATAAACGCATCGTAGCAGCGCATCAGCTCGAGGTAGTCAGCCGCGCCTGTCGCACGGCCAATCAGTTCTTGGAAGGTGAACCAAGCGCAGCGACCGCTGACTCTTGGAACGTAGATTTCGCGGCCCCAGACCTTTTGTGTTTCTGGGTGAGGTTCTGGCGCATCGGGATCGCCAAGAAACCGGAGCCACTTCTCTACGTGCAACGCCGCTTGGTTGTCGAGCGGCGTGTGGTAGACCCCGGACGGCGGCCGGGGGATTTTGCGGTAATCGGTGGGGGAGTTAAGATTGATGACATGTAACCGCGACTTCAGAAGGTGGATCGCCGGAATAAAGGATTCGCGCTGAATCCCGTTTTTATATAACTCATCCGGATGTCGGTTTGATGTCGTCACAAGAACAACTCCATGAGACATTAACGACTCTAGAAGTCTTCGTAGGATCATCGCATCAGCCACATCGGTGCACTGGAACTCGTCGAAACACAGAACATTCGCCTTCTCTGCGATATCTGCTGCTACAAACGGGACTGCATCGATATCGTTTCCGTGCGTCATCTTCATCTTATGCAACCTCTTGTGCACATCCTGCATGAAATTATGGAAATGTATTCTAGTCTTAGATTGGACGGAACTGGGTAACGTGTCGTAGAAGAGGTCCATCAACATCGTCTTCCCGCTCCCGACGTCGCCGTACAAATATAATCCTCGCGGTAGATTGGATGGAATCTCTTGTATGGTTCCAATGGCCGGCTTCGGTCCGAACCACGAAAATAATGATTTGGTCGGTTTAAGAGTCTCAAAGTTCGGGCGCACAACGGGTTGCGCTCGGTAATGAACTAGTTCGTCGTGCAAATTTTGCAAATTTTGGATAATCCCGCGTTGGTGTTGGTCCTCTCGGAGGCGTCCTTCCCGCACTCGCCGATCGTATTCTTGAATTGGGCCATGATTATCGGGTAGGTGAGCTATATCAAAATGTTAGAAATGAAAGCAAGTGAAGATTAAATTGGTGTTCTGACCATTCTGTAAGGAGGGTGTCGCAACGGTCGCAAAACGTCTGGATGCGCTTGGCGAGAAAGCGGGCCATCTCAAGATGGTAGACGACGGCTTGCGACTGGCTGCAGAAGAGCTGATCGTGGTTCGTCGGCTTTCATCTGCCCTCGTTATCAAGCATCGAGTGCATATGTGGCGTCCTAGCTGAAGTCTTACAATGATCTGGGCAGAGAAACGTCGCACGAGAGGAGTATGAAGCGAATAGCAGCGCATTCTTAACAAGTCCTCCTCATAAATAAATATCTTTTGAAAGACCTTGATGCATCATAGGCCGAGAGTATTCTACGTAGGTAGGTAAAAATTTAAGAAGGTCAAGGGAGTATAGGTGAGATTCAAGTCGAAATTATTACCAAAAATAAGAAATAGTAATTAGCCTTTACTTGTCTCTATTCGGAGATATGTAGGTATTTAGAGCGTTTACATATATGCGCAAATGGCGAAATTACCGACCGTCTCCGGCAAGATCCCGCTCTAAAGATAGATTATTCTTATATCCTAAGATCTATTGTTAAAACGAATATTTCCGGCTTGATCTGATAAAACGCTTGGCCGAGGCTCATGTCTCTTATATAAGATAAAAATGGGACCGCTCAAGCACGGCTATTCTTTAACTCCCGTACCATCACCAGGTCTTAGTCAGTTACGCATGACGTAGTTGAGGTACAAATCAACCCAACTCTATGTCTTATCCCTAGATTTTCTTCAGGTTTTTGCTTTATTTGTATGAAACATGAAAGACACTAACCTAGTGACCAGTCAGTTATTTATAGAATTAGCAATTAGTTAGCGAATTTCACTAATATAGGGATAGAGGGTATACTTTTACTTAATTAGTGCCTACAGGCTACGACAAAGTGTCTTACACGTAAAAGAAACTACCATTACCCCAGAGTTTAATTGAATATCATCACATGCCAACAGTCATCAGATACCCATATAGGTGGTGCAATAAGGTATATCCAAAAACTCACAAGATCAAATTATGCTTGTCTCGTCGCCTACATTGCTTATACTAATTACTCCAAACGAATGTAGATATAGGTATGACAACTTTAGATAGCCAATATAAATGCGTAAGACATCTTAGATCATGAAAAGACGAACATTGAAAAGAGAGAAGCGAAAGAACTAATAGTCCAGATATCAGCAGATAGATAATAAGATAGCTTAGGTAACGTATGAGGCTCTCTGCGGGGCAAGAATAAGCTTGACGCTGATGCTACCTAAATAGCGACCACAATAGTCACGTGGCACCCTTCGTAGAGAGTATCGATTCAGTTATTGCTCAGAAAGACAACATTTACAGCCGCATATCTAGACGCGACACGTTAGTATTATAATGTGTAGTAGACTATTTATCCAGCAATACTTACGCGGCCGTCGCTGCAAACACCTCTATCCGTCTTGCATTGGTCATTAGCGCGAGCGCGAGCGCAAAACAGGCGGAGAAGATGATGAGAATCCCCAGCCTGATCAACTCGGCTTTCACCAAATACAACACCACGATCGACGAGAGGGGCAACACGGCCGCAACAACGGTTGTGATAATATTGATGACAGAACTTATCAATGATTCTTCGTACGTGTATAGCCCGTCTCCCACTTCGTTCGAGTCGGCTATCTTGTATGTTCGGTACGCGTTAGCGAGGCTGGCAACGTGCCTTGTGAACTTTGGAACTTTCTTACCCCGAATTTCACGCCGAATACGCGGTGGTATAGAGGGAATACAATGTTCGTAATCCACCAGGAAAGCGGATCTGATGGTACTCGAGGCTTTACGGCGACTAGGTCGTTCTCAGATCTCTGGTCCCAAGCCTTAAAATCGATTCCTCTTATCGGAAAAAATCCCATAGAAGGTCTCTCAAACCAACTACGTAGAAATTCGAGGTCGTGCGGATTTGGACCTTCAAGCTTCGATATGTAAACCTGTTGAAGCAGAGTCTCGTCTAACAAGTTATTATGGGATGGCCCTTTTCGCCTACCTAGGTAGGTAAGGGTACGTCCTCTTACTGTATTCTTTCAGCTTTTTCCTTATGCGGCGTATTTTACGCCACTGAGCTCTTCCGGCCCCCTTTTCTCCATGAGCCAGCCTCCACCAATCTCGGAGATACTCTTTCCGTTCGGGATCAATAGCGTCCTGCTCTACAATCCTGCCGAGGCTCTCCTCAAGGTGGATGATTTGAGCTTGTAAATAGAGCAGGTTTTGGTAATTGAGTCGTTTGAACCGTCGCAGGATGGCAAAATCTTCATATTTAGCCATTAACTGAGCAACTTTCGCATAGCCTTCCATATTCAATAATTTGCCTAGATACAAGGTTATGAGGCAAGATTATTATATCGATGATTTTGACCTTGTAATTATCGACAATTCTTAGATTGCTTGACGAGGGCTGTGTAATAAGCGGTGCGACCTCCGAGTTTTAAACGATATTAATAGATATTGCATAAGATAATAATATGCCCGATTGAACGCCACGAAACACCCCTTCCACTTTAAAGATAGTGTGATAGGCATACTGACAGGCTGTCCATCCAGCTAGTCAGCTCGAGGGGGTAGAACCTCATTTTCCATCCTTCCTATATATAAATCAACGTGGTATGCATCTTGTTTTTATGATATTACCTTCTTTCCCCTTCCTGCAAGTCTACGTCCTCCTATTCGCCCAGCACAAAGTGCAGTTTTCCATGCCCAAACCTGCACACGGCAAGCCTGCATTGATACGATGGCACCCAATCCTGCGTGGAATCAAGATGATGGCAGTTATCTCCAATCAGGATCTAGCAGGTATTTAATCTCGCGTCTCCCGCATACTTAATCGAATTAACTCTCCAATTGTAGTCTCATACGTACTACAGTCATAAAGTGGTTGACAACGCAACAACCTCAGTCGTCTTTTCATCAAAGTCCATATTTGTCTAAGTATACGTGTTTAGACGATATGGATAGTATCAGAGAACAGTTTAAGCGAGCAAGTAATTATACAGATGATGAGATCGAGGAGTTTCGCCAAAGACAGCTTAAAGAACAAAACATGTTGGCATGGGGTGCGAGCGTTCGTGGAGGTTATATGACAACAAAGGATGAAGCAATTGCTAAAATGCTGCAGGAGGAAGAACAGGTACGTAGGTAAATAAGTTATGCTTATACTGATGAATAATGGGTGGGTTGAGAACTAATCCATAATATATAGCAGAAGGAAAGAGAAAAGGAAAGAGAGAATAAATGGTTCGAGATCCTAGATCATTCCAACGGTAACTCATACGTTATCGAAATAATCCGGGATAGATGCTCTTCAGCCAACTTCGTCACGGCACGAGCCGTAACCGATTACAGCCTTGAAACCAAGCGGATAGACCCTATGAGCTTTATTGATGTGGCCGGTGGGGAGTTTACTTGCGACGCACAGGCAGAAATTCATTGGAAGGGGAAAGGAGGGGAGATGAGAGTAGATTTCTTCTATGTACTTCCAGATAAGTCCCCAATCAAGCATACTCTTGTCGGGAAAGAATTTGATGATGCCTTCGGCCGCTTTCGTATGTTTTTTTTTTCTAGAAATTAATTCCCCACTCCCTAAACTTCCGTCTCCTGGCTGGAATTCATTTATTGAATAAACTCTATATCGTTTAAATATACGAGAGCTGCTAACACGGCATTGCAGTGCTGGATTCAAATCCGGACAATAAGGTCTTCTACACAGCACAGAAGCCGAAAACCGTAAGTAATAGATAAATGATGAACATAGCACTGTTTCGACTTGAGTTGATCAAATCATAGCCTACCGAAGATAAGTTAATTCGAGAAATGCGCCGAACTATGGATGAACAGGTCGCGAGGTCTTCCCAGAACAAATTAGAGTACGAGCAGAACAGATCTACGAAGGCTGCCGGTTCGTCAAGATTACCGGTTCGTCATCTTCGAAGCCTAAGAGGTCCATCCCCACAAAATGAGCAATAGGGTGGTCAATTAGGGGCCTCTTCCATTTCGTGTTTTGACGGATGTCATTTGATCATGTCCATTCCTGGCTATAAATACTAAAAGAAATAAAGAAAAACAGATGAAAGCTGAAGCAAATTAGACTAAGTAACAGATACATAGATACAGATTTCTAGGTTTTCAATTGATACATTCATTCTGACTAAAGTTCTAACATTACCTTAGGTACCTACTTATACTTCTTACCCAGGTAGGTAAGTGTAGGTACCTACCTCCTAGATACCTATTTGACTACCTTGGCACCTATATATGTACCTAGGTCAAATCGAGAAGCTGTGGCGCTCTCGTGGGGTTCGAGGAGCATGACAAATCTAAGTTGTGTTACACAAGTCTTCTAGGTTAGGGGATTGGTAGTAGATAGGTACATTCTACCGGGCTTCTGCAAAGGGCATTATCAGCATGATGTAGGTAGGTTAGGTAAGTAAGTAGATATGACTCGACCTAACTGTCTATGCGAATCTCACGAACTACCATTGCCTTACCTTTGGACTACGGTCTTCACCACGTACATTCTCTTTTTTGGAAACTATCCACTCCTTATATCCATAATTTGAATAATTAGTATACCATATTCGTGTGGTCACCTCTATCCTTAAAGATTTCTGTTTGAGACCTGTTTGGTACCTATCCTTAATGTAATTATCGGAATCGCATCGCGAACTCGACCGACAATACGCAGTCGTATTTTATACAAGTTTCGTAACCCAACTTATTGCGCTACGGTTTCTATCACCCATAATTCACTACGATACCGCCCATAGACAATATCGCATAATTTATGCGCCGAAGTGAATCCAATCGCTGGCCTAGTTGCGTCGACGTACGAGCTGGGTCAATCCTCAGCCTGAGGTCCCTACTAGCTTTAGCAAGACATCGTATCGCTCCCCAGTATCGCATAGAATAAATTACCAAATAAGCGACTGGCCAAATCAATGAGTGTCGTTTTTACGGCCATATTGAAGTTTGGCGCATAATACAATGGAGCAAAGACTGAGGGTGTTAATAAAGGTTATGTTGGATCGTGCGCTCAATAATGGTAGCAAATTTATGTCCAAATGGGCCGTATTCGAATTCCTCGAGAAGAAGCTCAGGGCAGATACTATACATGAAAATGCTCTTGAGATTGAGGAGATTTGGAAAGAGCTACTCTCAAGTAATCCCCTAACACCACCAAGCATGTCATCTGATGTCCATCCTCAAGAACCTGAAGTCGACCAAGCACAGGGTGATGACCAGATATCAGAGACTATAAGCGTCCCTCCTTTTGATCAGAATGTAAGAACGCTTCTCTGCCTAGGTAGTCTTCGTGAAAGTCGCTGATACACTCAACAGGTCGAGCCAACGGTAGTATCCATCTTTTTACCCAATACTGCCAAGTATAGCCATGCCAACACAAAGAAATGCAAAGGAGAGCCTAGTTATATTAATATCAAAACCGTAAGGGAGAATCAACTTGAGAGGGAGGACGACGGCACCGTTATTGTCATGTGGAAAAATCAGAGGCATCAACAAGTAGCCGATCAAACTGCCCGCCGCACCAGGTGTATAGTATTGAAAGGTGAAAATGCTGAAGATATGCAAGTGGACATGCTTTTTGGGTCGGGATATGAAGCTGGCGTTAGACACGCTGCACCAAGTCCACCCCTGCTAAAGGAGGTTGGAGTAGCGCAGCCCCCAACAGTGCAGTCAATTAGGAACAACATATGCTATGAAAAAACGAGCTTCTCGAATAATAAACCTTCTTTTATTATGTCGTTTCCACAAGGTCTACCTGATGAGTGGATACAGCACCCCCCGGATTTTATACTTTCGAATGGCACGACGGGTACCAACACGTCTCCTGCGGCTCGTAAGGTTTCTGCTAATTCCTCACCTTCTCCCAACCGACGGGGAAAGAGAAAAGCCGAAGACGAAGCCGAGACCCAGGCAAACGCGAAGCGATCACAAACCGCGCATGACCTGTATGCTGATTAGGGATGACACACAGTCAGTTAAGAGAAATTGTGCTCAGTTTCCCTGTTAAAAATCTAATTTCAAGTGTTCAAGGTAAATTAGAATGATCAGCTATCTGCATTTAGAGGAATTATCTAATGTCAGGGGGTTTATACCCAATTGATTGATGTCATACACAGAGTGAATGTCTAGCACATATAGACCAAAAGGTATAGTATATTGATCTAGTAACGCTTGGATTCTACTTTCTTTTGAGGGCGCGTAGCGCCCTTATATAGTAGATAGACCCCTGTAGGCCTCCTTATCCACTTATAGGTAGTCAACTATTGTCATACCACAACCAGGCGATGTGGATAACAGAATAAATACCGAGGTAGGTATACATAATCTGGTAGTAATAACAACAAGGCGCGAACAATATACGCACCCTGGGTATTTATTACTGCTTGTCTGCTTGCATCATAATGCAGTAATTGGCTTGAAAAGCAAGTGTTTTATGAGGAGTCTACCCCAATCAGCGGATATAAATTGTATCCTACCGTATACCTTAATTCTATGAAAGTGAACTGTTAATGCCATGCCTTTCAGATCATTTATTGGAATACCATACCATAACAATTCATATTCAACCCAGTATTTCCCAAATTTAAGATCTAGGCGAGATTGAATTAGAGTTGTCAAAACAATATTATTTTCGTAACGGCTGGTTCACCTGTTTCCTTCTGTTACCTAATTTTCATAAATATACATATGCCAAATATTCCATCTTCCTTATACTGGCTTCCTATTAATAGGACTAGGGAGTTTATATGGTAGAAAGTTATCATCATGTTCCATAGTTGCTATGTCTTCAACTTAATAGGATATAAGATAGATGATAGATATTATATGGTGAGTAAGAACTGAATATAACTACTAAATGCACGAATAGATATATGGAAGGCCACGAACTGACTATCAGGTAATTATCATAAATCACAGATAGTATACATAAGGCAATATTGCATTGAATAAACTTTTCGATTCTTGAGTGTATAATTATGTGATTTATGAAATGAATCAATAAGTATTTTATTAGTTTCTATCAGAGTATATAGGGGTGATTACAGGAGTAGATCTACTATGTAGAGGGTAAAAGAATGATAAAGTGTGAATCATGAGTAAGGCGTATTTGATGATCTTTATAATATTTTATCACTTATTCATCATGTTACTATAAAGTGCGTCACTAAATTGCGGGTATGCGATGGATAGGTAGAGATTAGGTACTACGGCCCTCCCACCGCAAGTGCTGAACGACCATCTAGATTGCAACCTACTACCCATCCGTTTCACTCTAGAAACGTGTAAATTTTGGGGGTTTAGCATCCTAAATTCATAAAGCCGGCATATTGCATCTGTATTTTTAAGGGGTTAGAAGCTACTGCTAGTCTCGAATATTTTGAACTATACCTTCCTACTATACTTTACTCACCACGGAAGTGTTATTACTTCGGCATATGTCACTATTAGTTCATATTGCATACTCCGAACTATCGTGAACTTCCCGTCTTTTGGATTTTCAAGGAAAGGGAGGTATAGAGACATTCTATTAAGAAACTCGGGGGGAACCTCAAGGGAGTGGCTGCTAGGTAGTAGGTCAATATAACAAGGGTATCCCTCCCCCTATATTAGAAGGTATATGGTTTAAAAGTGTTGCTAGTTATTATATATCAGAAGCTGATTCTTTGCCCTCTAATTCTGTATCTTCTTATACAATAAGACCTTTCAGCGTCTAATACAGACTGGAAATTTGGAATACGAATTAGTTTATGGCACAGAACATCAAGTTACTGATAAATAACTAATGGCTACGGCAATTGAAGATCAGACTAATTGCGTAAACATTCACAACAGACTCTTAAATTATTCATGGGCATGTCCAAATGCTGTGTGACATTTATGACTTGTTCATTCGTGATTCATCAATACTGGGCTCGTCTATTAAATGTTGGCGTTTTCTCACAAGTATGCTGGATTATTCACGGCATACCGGCGGTTTCGTATTACTCTACCCTCCACCGATAGACATATAAATCTGTCAGTAGGAAGAGCTCGCAACTAATCTTTTCGAGCCTCAATATCCAGACCGGAAACTGGCATACTCTACAGCATAACAATCTCAACACGCCATATTTCCACCAAGCGAACCCATCCGATGATGAGGGGGTCAATGCCGATGCCAACACCCGCGCCCGCACCGAAACAGAGGACAAGATGTTGGTGGTGCTTACCTTCTCAGGACCTACAGGGAAGAGATGGCTGGTTTAAAAGCCCCAGAGACACAACTTTCACCATCGACTCAAGAATCAACGGCGGAAATAAGCCATCCGGCTACGACAGCAACTCGCTCATCACGATTCTCCGGTCGTCGCAATGCTTTATCGCTCTCTTAGTATTGATTCTCTACGTCTTCACGTCTTCGGTCCCTGTCTTTTGGCTCATCTTCTATACGATTGCCGAGGTTGTCTTAGCTAGCTTTTGGAGCATTTTCGCGCTGTTCCTTAGGCATCACTGGTCAATATGGTTGGTTATACCAGAGATCGTGATCACTGTTGCGTGGATTGTGCTATTCGCCGTAAGCTCGCTCTCAACACCAGATGAATCGAAGGAATCAACGTTCCGTTTATCACTCATGGCCATAGAAGCTTCTATGGTGATGTGGTTACCGACCTGCTTTCTGGCAATTTCGCCATTCTTCCACTGGCTCATGCCTTGGCTATTTCAAGTGCGAAGTGGCGAGAACGTCGCCCTTGATGCGGGCGGTGCCCGAGAGATGGTAAGATCAGCTCGAGTGGTAGACGATATCGTAGTAGCTAACAATGAATAGCAAATCTTCCCCTTAGGGGGTCTGCCAGGGCCGCGAGGGCCGCCAGGCCCGGGAGGCCCGAGAGGCCCGGCGCCTGGATGGCCGTTGCCCCCTGAGGGGTTGGGCGGTCCTGCTATGGATGGGCCAGGAGCCCCAGGGCGTGCGCTCGGGATGCCGCGCAAGACAATTCCAGGTCATATACTGCCGCGCCGCGAGAAGGACAGGCATGGGAAAAAACCGAGACCAGAAAGTACCTTGACAACTTATAGTGATAAGTTGGACATATAATGAAATAATCCCCGCCGATCAAGCAAATAATGAAGCGTTTTTCTACGTCTTGTAGATGCTAATTCCTAGGACACGGTATCTAAGATGGGAGTCGAAGGTTTGCAACATAGGGGAAATCACGAACAATGGGGCATCGTATGCATAAACATACATAGCATCTGTACGTTTGGTCAACGGCTGAACGAATCGACCTATTAGGTAGCGTATGAGAATTAGAGATTGGTTTTCATCAGACCACCCTGACAGGGACGTATCGATTGTGTCCGATGTCGCCGATAAAGCAAGGGATATAATGTGATATCTCAGGGATTCCTTTGTGTATAAGTGATTTTAGGGCTTAGGCAATCGAGATTTTTTTTTTAGACGAGCTTTGACATTCCCATTTCTGGGGTACTGGGGTTTGCATACATACCTACATACCGAGTCTACATATAGGCCGCTATGAAATAAAATAGGAGTTAGGGGCTAGTGGCGGTATGTACATACTCGTACATGTAGCAATGTCTATCAGTCTATGTAGGTATGTATGTATCATATCTCCGATCTTGATACCTATATCGTCCTGATTGGCCTTCTCTCCACTCGTACCCAGCGGATTTATCGCTAAGATCGCGATTGAACAATTGGGTCTCGGCGGAGGTCGTTGGGGCCTATGTCACCGCCGACTTTGGCCATTTATGTCCGCAAACGTACGAGGATTATCATCAATGGCGTGGTGCTGATTACCCAATGGAGGAGGGGTTTTCCGGGCTTATTTCGTAGGGTCGGTGCATAAGACGCGGGAATAAATGTATGCAATCAGTAAAGAATCGGGAAAGTTATTCGGCGAAGGGGGTTGGCTAGAAAAATACACGAAAAAAAAATTACATGTCAGTTAAATGGACACAAGTAACCGGCCAAGGACCAAGGGGAAGAAGGTGATTGCGTGGATAAAATTTTATAAACTAAGCGGGACGGGCCGGGGCTGTTTTTTTTGTCACATTGTTAGCAAAAGTTAGCGTATCCATTGTAATAAATATTAGTGCACTAACTAATAATATCCTAGGTGGGTAGTTAGATGGTCTTAGTAGTATTCGGACAGGGCAAGAACATTTTTACAACGGAGAGCCACCACAGTGGCACTGCCACCCTCCCTTGAAAACCCTACCATTAGGTACAATAGGTGGATACATACAAGATCTTATCGGGGGAAAGTTCATGCAGATGTCTCATGATACTACTATGTTACAGCGACAGGCTAGATAGACGTGGCTACCCTCAATTCATAAAACCCCCTCCATCGCCCTTTACCTTTCAATGCCTAGCCTATTTTCCACTTACCTTTCAATGCCTAGTCTATTTTCCATACGGCCATAGCTCAATCCTGGAGAAGTTGGACCCTTAATCAGAACCAGCCATTTTACCCCGCTTTGAAACTAACATTAGACAATCAGAAGTCGCCTTCTTGTCTGAGTATCTCCACTGCCGGTTAACTTCATTACTAAATCGGCTATTCACCCAACAATTTACAAATTCAATTACCTAACAGCCCTGCGGGTGCCCGCCAGGTTCGAAGCACCACTATGACGATGTCTGAGGGCGATGGTCAGAATGGGGTCCAAAGATTGACCACTCAGGCATCTGTGCCCAGGAAGAAATTTGCGATCCCTCCCGTCAAGAACGCCTGTCTATCCTGGTAAGTTGTAGCGCCCGAGTATTGCGCCATCCTTTGACATCAATTCGGTACATGCTGACAGCAATTGAAGTCGCGCGTCGAGAACGCGATGCAACGGCGAGCATCCATGCGCGAGTGTACGCTTTAACCCTTAAATCCTTAGTTCATGTCTCGTTCCGAAAAAAGAAGCAAACAAGAATCAAGTGTGAGACACTAACTAGTTAAACGATCCAGTGTGTAACCAAAGACCGCGAATGTGTCTATAAACCCAGCAGGCGAGGAGGTCCGCGTATTCGGAAGAAGGCCCGACCACTTTCGGACTATCAAGATCTAGCTATTTCGCTACCTACTCATCAAGAAGAAATTCCTCAGGATGGTAAGAATCTCTGTCGGCTGACCTAGATGCATGCCAATGCTGACCAAAGTTAAGCACTTCTTCTCGAGAACTATATAGATCCTGGCGCTGGCCTTAAGCCTCTGGCAGATATTTGGAAAGATAGCGACGCCATATATGATAATCTATTTCAAGATGCCCTACCGACTCCGATGCCCAATATTAGGATTCCGATGGTTAGAACTTACGGAGGGGATGATCGGGCCATGTGAGTTGTGTTACCATTTCTCCGACATTTCGACTGACCGTTCCCAAGATTAAATGCCTATTATATTTGGATTCATCCGTATTTCCCAATTTTACCTCCCCCGGAGATGACGCCGGGACTAGACCAGGTCTCGCCCCTATTCGAAAACCAGAGGGACAAGTTTGAGGAGCCATCTTCGGCTATCAGTTTAGCTATTTCCGCGATCTTAGCTCTCATCCCATGTCCACAGGATCCAATCCCACTTGAGCCGGAGTCTATTCGTTGGAGGCGCGCGTATTCGCAGTTTTTCGCAAAAGCAGCATTAGAGAGTATCGAAACCGAGACGGAACGACCGGAATCATCCGTTTCGCCACCGAGGGCTCTGGATGACTCAGACGACGAAATTTTTAGAGAAAAGTTTCATTCACAGGTTCCTCTAGAGTTAGAAAGTATCATCGCTCTTGATCTTCTCAGCGTCTACGAATATGCGCAGCGCGGAAACTTGAAGAAGATGCGGGCTAGGGTCGGAGCGGCCCTAGTATCTGCCATGTCCCAAATGCTCCATGTAAACAGCGACGACGAGGATGAGTACTCAGAAGCACGACGTCGCACATGGTGGATGACGTATATCTGCGTCTGCCAAGGATCAATTGTTAGCAATACAGTACGTCCGCGGATTGTCTTGGAGATATGATTTATGTGCTCACGAATATTCGGTAGCCTCCAACGTTTGAAGTATTCGCTTCTAGCTTCACGGCTAAATATCCTATGATCAAGGCTGATCCAGATGTATGATACTGAACCCCGGCATACTACTCCTTTCTAACTATGATCAGGCATGGCCATTATTCATCCAAGCTCAGCAGGCTATCTTAGCAGCCACTCAGTTTGTTATCGATTTCAACAAGGCTAGAAAAGAACAATCGGATATGAACCGCATATTCAATCGAATGCGAGACCTCGAACGGCTTTTAGAACCTCTGATCACCAAATCCGAATCATGGGTATTGAATTGTCCATTGACGCAGTTGGTTGATAGGAGGGAGTCGGTTCTGTCTCAATCGCTGCGATGCATTTCGCGTATTAAGTTGAACAGGTATTGACTACACCTAGAACTCTAATCTATAGCAGGCTGACATCAACATGTAGTGCTCGAATCAAAGTCCATCGTTATTGCGCCTTCTTCGATCTCGCCGTGTTTTCGGGGAAGCACTGCGACCTGAAGAGCACAACCGAGAAAGATACAGTTGATAGTCCAGATGTTATTCAACTTCAGTCGTGTTGTACCACTCTGAGCAGTACACCTTCTGTCCACTCGAGTCCATCTGGTGGATCTGTGTCGCCCACACTCTCTAGTCGATCCACTCCTAATACAGACTGCTGTGGTTTTACATACCAACCGGCACCAGTTATGACATTCCCGTTCAGCACCCACCAGTCGTCTAAAATATGCCTGAAGTCTGCCTTGAATATTGCACAGGCGTTCGATTCCTTGCCGTACCCGAATCCTAGTGGCTTGCTTTGCGACACCCCTTGTTACATAGGACCAAACTCTACGTTGATCACGCCAAGGACAATGCCTTCTTTCGCTTGTTGCGCAATGCAGTGCAGCTACGCATTGCTTATGGTCAAGGACAGAACGGAGACGATGTATCCAACAGCAACTGGCGAGGCTGGTCCCCTTGTCGATAACCTTCGCGACCGTCTTCAACAAGGACTGGTCTCTATATTAGTAACACTGGAGAATTACGCAACGGCTTTCGAAGCGTTAGGTGGTATGAGAGGTAAGCCAATACCCCTCGTTTATGAGTGTGGTGATAAGTAGGAACTAATCACTAAACCAGACCAAATTCGCGATAAAGTCGATTTAGCATTAGGATTTTGACACGAATTATGACATTTGTTTCCCATCAGGTAAAATTCTTGGATATCCACTAAGGTTTGGGTTATTGCTTAGGCGCACTCGTTATATATAGGGTTGAATATTTCTCCTCTCTTTGAACTAATACCACGAGCTCACTCAAAGGCTGGGACGGATTTAGTTGATGTGTCAACATATTCATGGCTAATGATTATAAATTGTGGAATGTACTGAGGTATCTATGAAGCTATTTAAATAAACACAATTTGTGTAAATCGAAGCACAAAGATGTTTGTTGAAGTGGCATGTAGCTAGGTATCTATCATCCTTTTCAAAGGCGAAACGAAAAAGTGGGGTTTTGAGCATATAAATGTTATTAGTTAAATCCTACCTACATGAAATCGGAGCCGTAATGCTATTATATTGAACTGTGTTATACTTATAGGTACCTACATAAGGGTTGATTTAGGTACACCGGTAATACATGTACCTCTAGTTGGCTTTGTGGGCCGTCCATGTATTTCGGACCGTGTGGGTCCCCGACTTCACTTCAGCCGGAACGGCGCCGGCGGCACCGATGGCACCGAAAGAGTGCCGAAAATATTCGGCTTCTTTTCCCGGACCAGTCAAAACAGGAAATTTCTGTCATTAGGCTTTACACATATACATCAGTCATTTATTAGGCATGTATAACTATACGAATTTTATTCTACTTTGCGCACATGTTGTTTTTTCTTAGTCGAGTTCACAGATAAAATAAGGGCGCTGCAGAAGACGCAATGGCATAGCAAAAATGCACATTTTCACGACTGGTTCTACAAATGACTGTTATGTGTTATGGAAACCTAAATATATAATATAACACGCATGTAATTTATCTTCAAGTTGATTTTGTACCATTCCAAATCATAGATGTAGTGATATGTAGTTGTGGGGGAAACTATGAAGATTAGTCGCTCTTAGGCAGATTAATCAAATTATTCGACTATATGGTGTAAGCTGTACCTGTACACCTTCTTGCGCATAAAAGAGGTACAGACAGTAAGTACAGCTTGAATGACGCCCCTCCAACTTGTCAATAGGTCTACATCAGATAAAACCCTACTGACCTGATTCACGATCTTTTTTTCTTCTTTTCTACCTTTTTAAAATCCCACAACAATTCCCTAGGGTTTCGAACACATCCCATCCTTTCAAAACATTGGGAACTTAACCCTCTCAACCTCATCACTGCTTGCCATCTCTAATTCAATTTCAAAACATCACACCTACCTCTTTCTCTAACTAATCCACTTCGAATCTAATTGTTCCAAGTAGCCAAGATGGTCTGCCAGCCCGAGACGCCCGTCACCAAGGCTGGCCCCAGCGAGGAGGCTACCACGCCTACTCCTGGCAGTCCCAAAAGCCTATCGGTGACTACGCCCGCGGGCCACGTCGATCACCCTACTGACCCCACCCCCAACAGTCCTAAGGACAAGGGTAAGGGTAAGAGTGTCATGGCTCCTCCCGTCACTCCCAAGAACCCCACGGACGGATCTCTTCTCGAGATCATGTCGTCTGGCCAGCGCGGCGCTTTTTCGCCTCTCACCCCCAGCAGCGTGAGCGTCCGTCACGTCGCCGCGTCTCCCGATGGCGTGGTCTTCACGTTCAGCTCCCCGGAGACTCGCAGCGTCGCTTCTCCCCGCGAGTCCTGGGAGAACGCGATTAACTTCCGTCAGAGCGACGAGATCCAGTTTGCTACTCCCAGCGGCAGCAACCGAACCGTTGTGACTAATCTCCATGCTGATGTCCGATCTTGGTTCACCATTCCTGACTCGACTGAATACGTAAGTTACCCAAGTTGTTTTTATTACTTGTTTCTTTTTTTTTTATCCAGCTCATGGTTATTCACTTGATACCTGATGTAATGTGTACTAACAAATATTCAATAGGATGTCGAGCAGCAGTCACTTCTCGATGGCTCCCTGGCCTCGCCGGTGCCCCAGCTCCACGACTATGGCACAAACTCCCGCCCTACCCACGACGACATCCACCCCGGCTTCTGGGACTGCTTCTCCAAGGGTGAGATGCTGTCTATCTTGGCCCTGGCCATCATAGCCATGTTGTTCTTCGTATGGATTGTCATCAGATATATCACATTCCACTGATTTCAGACTTGCCCGCTCCTCGAGCCTTAGTGTTCTGTGAGTGAAGGTTGAGACGGGTGGAAATGGTTAGGGGAATTGATCGGCGTTGGTTGCAGGGATTTCGTTGCGAAGGTTAGGCCAAAAGGTCCTGGGGTACTCGATACTATGAAGCACATTCTTCGGTGGTATCTGGTGGATTGCGATGCATTATTTCTGGTGTTGTAGCTAGTTTGCTTTTGATGGCTTTCTGAGTACCTATCCCCATTGGATGGTACCTTACTTGCACTATTCATACTTTAAGTTTGCAGTTAATCATATGACTTCAATGAGAACATCTTTGAGTAACGTATCTGACTGGTCCATTCTCTACCTAAACTGTGATGCCTCCTCAGAGCCATAGTAAAAATGCTCGTCTTTTAGTTATAAGACCGCGTAGTGGTAATAAACCTATCCTTTTAACGATACTGGTGTCTTACTTAGGATACCATCATAGCCAACTAGAAGTAATTACTATTGACCAATCTATACAAGCCGTCTGTTCAGCGAATCGTAGCTCTATGGCCTATTTGGTTCACCAAGAATCCAGACTTTTCAGACTGGCCAAAGTGATTACCCGGGAGGCATATATCAGAAACTCACGGGCATGATTGCGCTTGTCTGTTTAGCTACGAGAACGGACGTCTTTCCTACAATGTATTGATTATCGCTGGTAACTTGGTAAATCAATAGAAGTGAGAGTGATGTACTTTGGAAGAAGTAGGTGGTGCTAGTAGCATGCTGAGCAGTTGTGTACTATCAGGGTATATGTGAAGTAGTATTAATTGGGTATATACACACATAGGATCTATATATATAAGGGACGCTGGTCACCATTATTGATGGATACAAGTTTAAGCGTTAATAAATCTATACTACTGCATGGCTGCTACTTCTAACATTAACTCCACATATAACATACACCAAGGATTCCTTCTGGCATGTTCATTCTAGACTTAGGCGAAATTTCATCCTATGACAGGTTAAACGTCTTTAATCGATTTCCAGCTGCCCAATAGAAGTTCTTCCGGCATTGATGTTGACTAGATAGTCGAAGTAGATAAACTCGTTTCGACACGGTAACGGCTTGACCCATTTCCCTTCGGCAAATTTCGATAGTAAGTCGTTGCGCTCGGCAATGACCTCGGATTCTAGTGCTTTCCCTTCCGCTTCCTCATTCATATGTTGCATGATTAAGGCATGAAGGTACTTTGCTCGGAGGATATTTTCGACTGACCATTGAGCCGCCTCACTGTTTTTGAAGCATTGACTCAGATTTTGTCTTTGTTATGTTAGTGATTGCTTGAACGACACGGGGCTGGGGTAGAGCAACTCACTGCGCCTCTGAAAATTCCTCAATTCTGTATAGGCATAATGCAACTGCGAAGTAGACGTTCAGTGTGTCAGGGTTTGTTTCTCCGAAAAGCGATATTCTCGCTTTCATAACTGCTTTGTGTAGTGCTGCGGCCTTCTTGTAACTACCAACATTTGCCCACGCGTTGGCCACTTGGAACATGTGATGTATGGTGTACGGGTCTTCCGCTCCCCTTTCCCTTTCAATATGGGTGATCGCATCCTGCGCCATAGCTATCCCCTCTTCCGGACACCCCTCTGCTAAAATGGCGAACGCTAATTTTATTTTAGAGATGAAGAACTCAAACTGATGACTCTTGGTATCCAAAAGTTTTTCTTTCATTGCAAGCGATTTTTCACTATAAGGTTTTGCCTCTGCATATTTCCCTTCGTTGATCAGTTGCACAGCCCAGTCGTTGTAAGCGTTGGCAAGGAGTACGTGATCCTCGACAACAAGTTGATCATCTGGAGTATTCTTGATATACTGTTCGCGAAGCTCTAATACCCTCCAGGTCATTACGTGAGCCCGCCGACGGTTTGTGATACCCCCGGTATTCCATAATACCCCTGCGCCATAGGCAATTATATTAGCCTCGAGAGTAGTTAGACTTAGATCCTGGTGTTTTTCAAGAGCTTCCGAAGCGGCAGTCACTGTATATGCCGGTGGTGGATCTGATGAATTTGTATTAGGTCTTGTGTCAGTTTTTGATAGCTGCTGACAGATGCGTTCTCCTGTGGAAACAACTTCTAGGCATAACTTAGCAAGGCCTCTTTCATATAAATATGCCGCCGCAGAGCAAATCATCTCTGCAAATTGTACCGTGGGATTTATTGGTGGTTGAGATTCAATAAAAGCTTTATGAATACTAATCACATGTGGAATGCAGGTGGCGAAAAGATCGAACCCTTCGAATAGGGGCACCATGATGGGGGATGGTTTTGGTAGTTGTCGGTAAATAATACCTACGGCTTGGCTAAATGTTAATTGGCGCCTATCGTGGTCATCATCAAGAGTGTTCAGGATGGAACGTTGGACAGAACGGTGCATAGAGTAGATCACCTCGGATCCTCTCATACGGATCTCAGTGAGGTGCCTTGAGCCAAGGTTCTGCCTGACTTCCTTTGCAAACCTGAATTATTTTGTCAACGAAGTATAAGTGTGGTTACGTTTCTCTGCTTACATGATTTTATTAGTGCTGCCTAGGACGGGTTCTGAAATTTCTCTTGAAAATAGGACTTCTGGGATTTCCTCGGGTGAAAGCATGGACATGATGTTAATTACGTTCCGAGCGGCTGTTGGCAAACGATCCAAAGACAACTGGAAGACCAGCTGTATTGGTCTCTGATACTGAAAAGTCGCTGACGATGTTGCGTCATTGGAAAATATGTGACCAGCTGAGAGCCGAGACTCTCGTAATGCTTGTAAAACGTCGGTCAAGGTCGTATAGCTCTGGGATATAAATCCTCCAAGTCCAACCAGGAGGAGCGGCAGCCCGTCTACTTCTTTTGAGAGTTCTTTTGCTAACCAAATCTGGGACTCGTCAGTAAAATCTGGCAAATGTCGTAGAAGGAGGTCTGATCCCTCCTCTTCCCCAAATGGCCAAAGTTCCAGAGCACAACTGGTGCGTAAGCTAATATCTGTCCTTTGAGACGTTAGGATTATGGAGCCATGCTGACAAGGGGGCCAGAACTGGTTCAGGAGTGAAGGATTGCCATCTACATTGTCGAAAATGAGCAGCCAGTCGGGATCTGTCATGGTCAGTCTATAGATGGTGTAAATGTCACTAGGCAAGTTACCTACTCTCGCAGAGCCAGCGACGTGCCACCTCTATAGTGAGGTGGCTAGGGCCTTGATCCGGACCCTTGAGAGATAGCATAGTCGCGATCCTACCAAACGTGCCCGATAGACTAGCCTCATCATCAGCTGATAGCCAGAAGATATACCGAAATTTCTCTTGGAACCTATAGGTGAATTCGAGAGCTAGTTGAGTCTTCCCAACACCGCCGATTCCGTGGATAACGCAGGAATTCTGTGACTGTGTTGCGTTTTGAATCTTCTCTAGTATCCAGGAGAGGTTATCATCGTGTCCAAGAAACATGGAATTCCGTGGGAAAGGGACAGAGAAAAGTCGAGTGGGTAACTTCGGACATATTTCCAAGTTGGGCAGGGCATCTTCCACTGTCTTCCTATGTTCCGCAGCCACAATGTCATGAGCTAATTTAGCCTCCCGCTCAAATTCATTCGTACTCGTCTCAATAGCATTTGTAGCGTTTTCGAAATTGTGAACGACGTTACTGATGATCAGGGTAATTGGGCGATCTTGTCATATCTTTAGAAATGCCACGTCCATCTGAAGACAGTTAAACTTACACCAAGGCTTCCGTCGAAAGAACTTGATAGCGCATATGCATGCATCGATAAAATATCGATAGATTTGGAGTAAGGCATACTCAAGCCCCCCACTCTTCGGATATAATTCCATATAATGCTCAAAGCGCGGCATTGCTTTTGTTACGTTATCAAACATATCGACTATTCTGCTTAGCATCTTATTCCCCTGACTAACACACTTTTTTACTCCTTAGTTAGATTATATTAGCGATACCTGGTTATGGATAAAAATACCTCCAAGCACACCAATAATCCTCCCCAAATCTGTAACAGAGTCAGTTCTTGCAAGATGTTTCGTATGTTATGTTCGTACCAAAGAAGCATAGGTGGTATCGGCTTGAATGAAGACTGATATTGCGGCTGTAAGACACTTCAGGCGCTCAAATACCGGATTGAGCTTTGACAGAATATTAGAGATGGTGCTGGAGGCATCATCTGCGTGTAATCTTGCGAGAGAAGACTGCATCGTGGAGAAGCTATGAATGGTTAAAACCCTATCAGCCTTGGCTTTAACTAATTGCTCGCGTTTTTCGGCAAGCATTGTGGCCCAAAGGAGTTGAGGCCGAGTGAGACCCTGGTGATGAGATGTGGACATTTCTGACATAGTGGGATTTTTACTGCATCACACCTTGTAGGGGACTTGAACAAACTGCACTTTAAAGTGAGAAGCCGCTATCACATATAACAAGTACAAGCTACAGTTCTGTCATGGCTCCTTGATTGGCCGTTAGGCGAGTATCAGGCAACGATCTTCTGCTGGCCCTAGATGCAAAAGTGAGGCATTAAGTCATCACAGCCTGCCTGCCAGCGTAGATTATAACGTAATCGCCTTAACTGCGTTCTACACCGGAATCTAACCTAACTTTACGATGACCTATAGCAGACTTAGGAAGTTTCGTGTCGTATAGTTGCAGCTGCACGGCTCCCCCCCTGACATGCCCTGAAAACTTGGAGTATTGAATTGTTGGGAAAGGAATTTAATGGGGAATACACACGTAGAGGCCTTCCTATACTCTAATCTAATGTTCTGATAAATTTCACTATTCCGTAATTCCGTTGTTTTGTTAATTCAATGTTTTGATGATGAGTCTACTGAATTCTGGGAAGCGCAAGCCTTTCCCCGAATCTAAACATACTCCCGTAGATGGTTCGGATAGCGATACACTTACGAGTTAAAGCCTAGCTGAAATCGTGAAATTGCCTTTTTGACCGCCATTATTGCTTTAGGTACCTGTTATTAGTGTTGTCTATCAACATCGTACCTAGAGAATGCTACGCTTTGATTGAGGAAATGACCAATAATTAAAGATCGATACGAGATACTTCTAAACGGTGGGATTCCCCCCTTATTTCTAGGTATTTTAAAACATTCATAACTTTTCATAAAAGGCAGGGCTTTCCAAAGATTTTACAAGAATCAGAATAACCTCATATTGGCCCTTAAAGTCTAGCACGTTTATACTTAGTCTTGCCTGATAGGCACTTAGGTAGGTAGTTAAAGCACAGTACCCCCTGGTGCAAGGAAGCGAAAGCCAGGGCTAATACTTAGGAGGTAAGCACCCAATGATTAATTTAGGCCATGTGGCGCGCTAATATTGCGGCCTGAAGTGTTGCCCCGTCATTGACTTGTCTTCCCTACTTTGAGTCATAGTCAGCCAAAGAGGTAGGCTACGATTACGAGAAACCCCGTACAGAAATTCACTTCCACTAAAATATTTTCCCACGATTGGTTTAATCTTGCTCGCAATTACTGACTTGCCTTGCTATTTTTATGACTTTGCTCTATGGCTAACTTAAACCTAGACCGACATTCCAATACGTACCCTTTTATCGACCCTGGCCGTTTTAGGGGTTCATTAGTTGGCCAAACTGCGCTGGTCACCGGAGCTGGGCGTGGAATAGGACACTCGATTGCCCTTGCTTTTGCTCAGGCTGGTGCTAATGTCGTATGTCTTGCGAGGACAAGAAAGGAAATCGATCAGACAGTCACACACATTGCTCAATGCGGTTATCCTGAGGCTATGGCAGTTTCTGTAGATGTGGCTTGCCTCTCAGAAATCAGCCAAGCCATTGCTAGCATCAAATCGAAGTTTGGCCATGTAGATATCCTCATCAACAATGCCGGAATCGACAGGATAGGTTCAATGCAATACGAGACGGACTTCCAAGCATGGTGGAAAGTCTTCGAAGTGAATCTAATGGGCCCGGCGGCCCTAATTCATCAAATCCTGCCCGACATGATCTCTCGCAAACAGGGGATAATAATAAACATCGGAAGTCGAAATGCTATCGACAATCACCCTTTCATGACTGCCTATTCGGCTTCTAAGACAGCTCTCCTTCGTTTCCACCAGTGTCTCAAGCTGGAACTTCGTGATACGAACGTCTATACTTTTTATGTGCAACCCGGCGACGTCACAACATCTTTGATGGATGGCACCTACGATCCCGAAGAGCTCGCGAAGCTACCTCGCTTACAGGCTATGATATCGAGTATGCAAGACACTATAAAGAGCCACAACTCTGACAGCTCTTGGCTAGCAGCAAATACCTGTGTGATGTTGGCAGCAGATGTGGACGCGCGTCTACTTAGTGGCCTCTATATCGATGCGAATCAAGATCTGTCTCAACTTTTGGCAGAGGCTCGGAAGGGAAAGAGTGGCATAATTAAACAGGGGAAAATGTACTCTCTAAAGGTCGATGTGCTTTAGTGAGTAAGTATATTACTATCTCCGAAAATATCGCCGCAGAAAAAGCTTCCAAGAAGATGTGTCTAAAACAATACACTATGGACATAATTGAACTATAACTCAAGTGGCGGTGAATACTAACGCCCGCGCCTCGATGCTCTTCCTTGGCTTGGGTTCCTCGGCAGTACGCTGATTGAAAGAAGCATGGGGACAACCTGTGCGCCAGTTAACATTTATAGTAAATGATATGCCAGTTCACTAACATTTTGCCTTCGCTGTTTCGCTCGAGTCATACATCTTGAATAACAGAACGTCTTCCTTGGTCTGTTTGTTGATGAAATACCACTTGTAGCCATCATGTTGAAGTGGGTAGTAGCTTTCTCCGATATATGACTGACGCACTACATCTACATCTACCAGCTTCTCTGGAGGGACAGTGCTACCATCCAAGACTGCGATGGGATAGGACTCTACGGAGGCATCGTAGGGTCTCCATATACTGTGGGATGTTATCGCCCGGTCTCCAGTTTGCAATGGTGAGAGGTAGGTACACATACTTGATTATCCTCACTCGCCCCTTGAGAAGCTCTTCTGCTCTATCACCCAAGTGTCGATGCACCCGGTTGATAGCTGCGATTTTTGTCTGATCTAATCCAATATTAACTTTATGTGAGTTGTTCCGGATGTTGACAGTTGAAAAAAAATTAGAAATGGAGGTATAGTTAATGCTTACCGACGTGTACAGCTGTCACAGGTGCCAGATTGATCGTTCGGTCATCTAGGTTAATCTTGGTCCCAGGCGGGAAGGTTGTTTTTGATCTGTCACTTGATCGAGTCTAGATGATGGACTTAGATTGGATGCACTATATAAAACAAAGAAAGTGACTATACCCTCCAGTCAAACCAGAAGATCTCAGCGTCCAGTCCTAGAAGCTCTCGCAGTAAGGTTTCTAAAGACGGGAGATAAGAGTTATTGATGGCCTCTTCATCAATGGTCTTCAGACAGAAGTCTTGGTGCTTGACCGCGAAGCCGTTATCATCAAGGTTGAATCGATCCTCAATACCCCGCAAGTTGTGCACAACCTCATTTGGCCCAGCAGCTGTAGAGAAATTTGCGACGGGGACATTTTCAGGAGGGTCAATGTATAGATAATAAGGCTTTTCCTTTTGGTAAATGTCCTTCCATTGGAAATAGGAAAACTGAGCAAGCGTATCAGTTGTCATAGCGGATGTTATGAGGAGGGGGGTGATGTGGATGATTCGGCGGGCTGGGAAAAAGGGGTGGAGAAGAAGATACATGAGAGGGAAAATGATTTCAACTTTTTATTCTCCTTAAGTATAAACACTTTGTAGAATGTAGCTAACTCCTCTATGATTGGATATAAAGACACATGTCAATTTCCTAGTACACTTGTAGAGATGAAAAGCGTTCAAAGTCAATGTATAATAGTTGTCATAACTAATGGAATTCTCGTTGAAACTGTGAATAACTTCCGGTGCCCTCCGAGTTTCGAATATGTAATGTTCAATCCCTATTCAGGCAGCAACATGCGGCTTAGTTCCTCCTGTAGTTTCATCATCATCATCATCCCCCTTTTTTTCCGGAACGGTGATGAAGTCTCCGCCCTGAGCCTTATCCTGCGCTTGATTCACGAAGTTTTTCCATGGCTGCACACGCCCTTCGGGATTTACGCTTTTGGTTTGACTGAGGTGACCCTCGTCATTTGTGTTCGTCGACAGCGGCATATTGGTAGTTGTCTGTTTTCTGTGTCTGATTAGGATTCTAGATACCCATTCTGTTCAATGGTTGATGGACTCTCACCTAGCTGATTCATAGGAAGCTTGTCATGAGATGCTTGGTGATTGAAGATTCTGGGACAAGGACTCCAGGATAAGACGTATTAATGCTTAACAACAAACCTCTGGCTGCGTATGGCGGCAAGGCGTAATCACACTCCAGTAGCAGTATCATGCGGCATTTTTCTGCGTGGTCGGTTGTGATAAAATTAAAAGAAATACGCCTTGTAACGTGGAAGCCTTTCGACCCTATCGACTATCCATGTGATTCCAATGTAGGAAGGATACCTACATATCATGGATAGCAAATGAGAGAAACGAACGATATCAACTGCTTACTAGAAAACATGGAAGGGGTGGCATAAAATGGTCATCAGTATAGGAAAGCAAAACGCCTTGCAACGTGGAGGCTCTTTAATCCCATCAATCATCTCAGGATTCTCTTTACAAGGAGGGCACATACGGTAGAATAAATCAATAAATGGAATCGTGCATTACAGCCTACATGAAACCTACATGAAATGGGTGTACGAACATATCATGCGATAAGGGCAGAGCCTCATGGATACCGAGGAACAAGCATATTCTATCTTACCCCACTTCAAGGCTGGGTTTAGGAAATACGATAAGGACAACTTTTGCCTTTTCAGTGTAACACTGAAGTAGCAGATTATCCTTGCAAAGATGGGTAGGAGGGTATAAACGGTAAATTGGCCGAAGCAGAATAAGTTAAGGCACCCAAGTCTCTGTTGGGCATCACAGAGGTCTCTTCGGCAGAAATTGGAACCAACGACCTCAGCTCGCCTCTGTCAGGATATCAACATGTCAGCATGCCAGAACGGAGGGCTAATGAATCGGGGAAATCCCCGTCTCTAGTGATGACTCTAGCAGGACGAACATTCCATCTTGTTTTCATTAGTGCTTTGCCGGGCTAAAAGTCTTGTACATATGGTCTTAACAAACCATGTATAAGTAAAAAGGGATCGCACTGTATTACTTCAGCTATACTCTGATCGCTGGTATTGCTATAAATACAGTGATAAGCCACCCAAGTTTAGCGTACGGGCCAGTATCCAAATTTCAACTTAGAGAGGTAAGGTAGCTTAGATAATGTAACAACCTTTAGGTACGTACAATACCTCCCTGTGTTGTCGTGAAATTTAACTCTCAATTACACTATTTTGCGGGCCGACCCGTTGTAGGACTCATTGTGGAACTCGCGGCTATTAGTTTGTGTATTAAGCTAATAAATTTGGGAATATGGCTACCTATCATGTTATGTGATGAATATAATGTATCAAGGTAGAAGATGCGATTGATAGGTAGGTAGGTACGCACCTAAAATAGTCGCGGCTAGCTCATATAGTGGAGATAGTGGGTATCTGTATCCCCACAACTAACCTTACAAAATTGCTTGCTGTGGAGAGCACTATTAGGTAATTCAGGTACCTTAGGTAGTTTTACTAGTTTTACAAAAACTCGTCTCTCTCATTGAGAGACACAAATTACCTATTGGAATGTAGTTATTAGAAAACTGCCGACCTTTTAATATAGAACAAAATGGTAAATGGACCGACCTATATAATATAATGTGAGACATTTGAAAGCGCTTAGTAATATACGTAGTTACATAGGTCGGTCGCACGCATTTGGAATGATAGCCAGCCACTCTCAACTCTATTTTCACCACATTTCAATATCCAACAAAGTAAGAAAAATAGACACCAAAATAAAAAGTATTAAGCTCGACCAAACCTTTTCTTGATTTCTATTATCAGTGGTATGCTTGACGCCATCATGATCCTAGAGACACTTACAGCTGTGTTCTTGGGCACGTCCATTTTAGCAGCATCGACCGCTCGTAATCGGGTTAGAAATGCAGAGGCTAAAATAGATAAGATCTGTGAAGCATCCGGCGTACCTGGTGCTTCCATCGGCGTCATACATCATGGCAAGACCATACATACCTATAACTATGGATATAGTGATTCGAAGAAGAGAATTCCCACTAATCCCGGGACCGTCTACGGCATTGGTTCTATCACAAAATCTTTCATCGCCGTAGCTATCGCTCAGTTGGTAGATGAGAACAAATTGACCTGGGACACCCCTGTTAAAGAAATACTCCCTGAGTTTAATCATGACAATCCGTTCATTACGGAAATGATGACTATCACCGACATTCTCTCTCACCGATGCGGATTGTCTGGTGGGGGTGCCATGAACTTAGTTTTTGAAGGCGATGGCGACGCACTCCTATCAAAGGACGAACTCTTCGAGCTTGTCAACCATTTCCCAATCCTGTCCCCTTTCCGTCAGAGCTGGAACTACTTTGTTTGGGGCTACTCAATGGCCGGCGCCATTATCGAAAAAGTGGCCGAGAAGCCCTTAAAGGATTACTTATTTGATAATATCTTTCAACCGCTTGGAATGAAAGTAACTTCGCTTAGTCCCAACTATCGGAACCAAGGAGAGCTTGCTGAGCCATTTGCTGGACTATCTAATGGGAGTGCATTCCATCTTCATAAACTACAAGTTTTTGAGGGCACTTTTTTCGAGGCATCCGGCGGAATTTACTCAAGCCTGGATGATCTCATGACTTGGGCTTCTGCTATCCTCAATTCAACTATCGGTAAAACACCAACGAATTCGTCAGTTATCAAGGGTTTACCATATATTCTAAGCAACCATATCGCCATCGAAAATCCATCTATTACGGAGCGTTCGTACGGCCTTGGCTGGGTCCGTACTCAACTTCCAGGAGTGGTTGGTCTTATTGGCGACAACTCCGACCTTTGGGATATCGATGAAAGTCCTGTGCTAGGTGTTAAAGACAAACCGCTTTTAATGATCTATCACCAGGGAAGCACAGTGGGGTATTACTCTTTCGTAGCACTTTTCCCTGATACCAATTCAGCCGTTGTTGTTCTCACCAATTCCATCGGCTTAAGTGATGCTGCGGATTGGATTGCGCGAGTGGTTATTCAAGCTCTTTTTGACTTCGATGACGGCCAAGACTACGTCGCACTAGCGGACGAAGCAAACAATCGCACCCTGGCTCAATACAAACAACTTGACGATAAGATAGCAGAAATGCGTACAGCTTGCTCCAACTCGAAATCACTAGCCTCAGGATCATTCGTCGGGAGATACAGAAACAAATCGAAGCTCTTCTTTATTGATATCTTAGTGCAAGCCGATCAAAGCGATCGTTTGTACTTGCGGTTTCAAGGCCTTGAAGATCAGACGTACGAGCTACGTCGCCTTTGTGGGAATATCTTCGAATGGAGTCTCACGCACGATGAGACGATGAAGAGGGGTAGATATAACAACTCTGAGCCGTCCTTCTTCCTGTTTAAATTTATACTTAGTGATGATGGTGAAGTTATTTCATTTTCTTGGGCTAATAATCTAGAATTGCCTGATCTAGAGGAAATCTTCGAGAAAGATAAAAAACATATTATAGGAGAAGACGGGCAAAGAGAACAAAAACCAATCCCTTAGAGTTAGCCCACAAACTACTTTACGGCTGTAAAGCTCTAAAGATGATATTTCCCGTCTTTAATGTTATTTTCCATTTGGTCGGGCTACTTGTTAAGATAATAACTTTCTTATACCTCTGCATAGTAACGCTATCTACATTTCCTTCCTGCTAAGTTGCAAACTAGCGAGCGTCCTTGGATTTCCCAAGAATGCTATCCGCAAAACACTCTCTGTATCATCTCATATGACTCAAATTACGAACCAAATATAGCATAAGAACCTCTGCGGAGATCTTAATTATGACAGCGAATGGTTCGAGCTCACTTAGAATGAGGCTAAATTAAAAAAGGAGATTTACCCAGTGATGGGATGGAAAGTCTATAATATGGCTAAGGAGCTTAAAAGTACGGAAAACCTAAACTTTACACATTTCTTTGCTGCTCCTTAGAAAGCTACTAGTTGATGGTGGAACCTTACAATTTGAGGTAGATAATATCGTCTGGCTGAACACGGCAGTTAACACCACGGATACATTTCCCGCAGAATCCATTCAATTCCTTCCTCGACACCATATCTACCCTTATTATCCTTCCATCGCAGACAAGGTATATTGCCCTCGATCTCTTCTCGGATCTCTGGCTTGGTTCCTAAGAGAGCCTCGCAAGCAGCGAGAACTCGTGGATGCGGATCCCAGATAGATATTTTCTTCAAGCCCCAACTGGCGGCTTCAACTTGTGCCGCCCATAAGACTTGTCCAATCTGTGTAACTATCTCTATTTTGGTTTGAGCATTCTCGGCGTCCCGCGGTAAGATAAGATGTAATAGAACAAGCCTGTCGGCGTTGTAGTCGTGGAGCCAGTAGCCCCAGACCTTCCCAGTAGAGCTCATCGCTCCTTTAATAGACGGAATCCGCTGTGGGGAGGAAAATAACTTCGATGCAACGTACTCTTCAGAACCAAAATGCCAGGTTGCCTGCGCATATGTAGGAAGGAATGCTAAGCACGTTTTTTTACCACTGGGGAGGTGAGTGTCTCGGATGTTGGAAATGACCGTATTCACATTGTCGTTACACAGTGGTTGTAGAGAGTCCTTGGTCAACAAAGTAGCATCTAGTTTTTCATTCGATAGGCTTGGTGTTGCGGGAACAATTGCCTCTAAAGTCGCAAAGATAGACCAGCCGAACGATTGATAAAATCCCTAGAATAGTGTGAGATGATGAAAAAGCAGTCATAACAGAAATAAGCGGGCTCGATACGTACGCCCACAGCAGACCAAAGCGTTGTAAAGCGGCAAGGTGCTTCGTCGCTGTCAAACCAGTCTCCGAGTCTACGCATCATGCACGACGCAATACCTCGTCTTCGGTATTTTGCTAGCGTAAAAACGCCTGCAACACCATAGCTCCATTCTGTGTTCAATCTGTCTTCACCCGTGTATACCACCACAGGCTTCTTCAGCGTTTCGGCAGAGGCATATATTTCGACTCCATCAGTGAATATCCAGTATCGAATCCCACCGTTACGTGTTAGCTCTTGGTCCCCGTTGACTATCTGTTGACCGATGTATTCTTCAACAGTAAGTTTTCCTTTCCATGAATCGCTATTGTTACGCCAACATGTGATCTTCTCCTCCTCTGTAGCCTCTCGCAGGATTAATAAGTTTGGGTCAAAATCTGGTGGGAGTGACATCTTGAGCTCTTAAACGCAGCAAGGGAGAAGAGGAATGTGAATTCCTGTAGCCCGGAGTTTTATTCTTTGCTAAATAAAAGCATATGCTACACATAAAACAAGTACGAGAGAAATGAGCTCGAAACAGTTTGTTTTAGTTATGAATTATCGTTAGGTATAAATCAGGCTGCCTGTATATCAAGTGTAGCATCAAGTAGGTCAGGGAGTGGCTTAGCTACCTAAGGTAGCGTGGCTTGTGCACCTACACAGCCCACATTCCTCGGTTTATGTTGTACTTACGGAAGACTTGAAAAGACTACCTCTTACGCATTTTTTGTTTATTTTATGTAGTAAGTTATGTGGGAGGTTGCCTAAAGAGGTAATTGACGAATAGCGTTACTTAATTTCAATCCGTTGCTCTTGCTAAAAATGAAACTTCTTAGCGGAAGGCAATGCCGAAGTTACAGTCATGCTACCTATTCTACTACTAAATTAAGGAGGCAGGTACATGTCAGTTTTCTACAAAATAATCAAACTGGAAGGGGCTAACAGGCTGACCTACAAGCAGTACATTGTAGCTCTTAATAAGAGTCACGTTTCCCACAAATTATAAATTCAACATTTTCTTCCACTAATACCTAACCTAAATTCTTCAACAAAAAAACATCTAAACAAAGAACTTCAAAACATATCAGTAACCTAGTATTAGGTTGACTCATAATTCCTCGCTCCTAACAGCCTTTAATTCTACTTCCTACTCCAAATCTCAGGGCTTTCATTATTATGTGTCCGAGTTTTCCCTATCTGCCTTGCAATAGACGCTAAGGCACACGCCCATTAAACCGCAAAACCCACGAGCAGATATACTGTATGCTCGGGATACAAGAAAAAGGTATATATATGTCATCACGGAGCTGGAAGTAGCGGCGAACCTAACATTTGGCAACAGTACAACAGAGAAAGCTAAGACTTGAGGCAAAAGTGAACGTCAAAATGCCACAAATACTGGCCGCAAACGGAGTCGAGAGGCGTATACACGGAGAAAAGATCCAAAAGTTAAGGCTCCAGTCCACGAATATGATGAGAGGCGCCAACTCTTTAAGAAGCGCGCTATAATTCTTACTACAAGACGAGTCCATTAAGCAAGGCAACTGCAATTCCGTCCTTATCCTAAGTGACATGGGCAAGAAAGATATACCAACATATATCCAAGAAAAACTCTGAGATAACATACGAGCCAACCAAATGCCCTAACTGTATGAAGACATTCAAATACTTACGAGCTCATAAAAGATGGGTACACGAAAGGTCATACGACTAAAGAGGTAGTATACGCTCTGTCATGGTCACATGACATGTGGAAGTATAAATACCTCGTGTATCATAGCACCCCACATTAGAAAGTATCCAATACAACATCAATCATAACATTCATGACACGCTCTCTCCTTAGTTAAAGTGGAACCAAGTAACCGACCTTATGGCGGTGAGTGTCAGGGTTTCGGATACAACATCTTGTTAAATAACTGTAAAATTATCAACTGGTCATACGAAATTGGCAAATAAGACATGTTTAATTATACGCTCTTTCAGGGAATAGTTACTAGAACCTACTCTCTTAGCCAATCAATCACTATTACTATTATGCTTACAAAACAATTATTCTATAAAAATGGATGCTTTTAGTATGCATGCCTATATACGTAAATAGCAATTAGCCTCTGTAGCTTAGAGTTAGAGTTCCTTACAGAATAATGAAGTTATTTCCATAGTTTCTCAATTCGTATCATGTTACTCTCGAAGGATACAATTATTATCAACCCATAATTATCCTGCCACACCCCTTTCTTTTCTATGCTTTCTTAGCAGAAAGCTCTTCCTCGATCAGGATCTCTACAGACTAACCTAGTTCGTCAAGTAAATTCCTAACGCGGTTGAGTATCCTAGTATTCACAGCACCACTAGCACTCCGAACATCCCTAACGTCTATATCAACACTGGGAGCATCCTCAATGTCTAGAACCCTTGGAAGCATCCCAAATAACCCCTCCCACAACATTCGGACCACTGGCAGCCCAAGTACTACTGGCAGCCCAAGTACCTCCAGCATCCTCAGCATCCTCACCGAAGGGGTGCCGAATAATATTATACATGCTACCGGACAACATTTTGGACGTGCCTTGCCTTTGATATCGATACTCCCGGATACAAAACCCAATAACTATATCCGTAGATGGACGCCTTAGTGTATAGTCTTTGCCTTTATTTATGCTTCCTTCGGTATTGCTTATTCCTGGAGCTGGAGGTACTTCCACCACAGCGTTAGCCTCCCGCGTGGTGCTTTCAAACGTTAGGTTTGTGACTACCTTCAACTCTGTCACGATATAAAATTCATTTTTATATCTTGAGTTAGAAATTTCATCCTTGATAGACTTTGTTGATAGGCATTTATTTATCCATTCATCTGTTGGATTAAAGGAGATCGTTGTGATATTATCGCAGGAGAACATTTCTTTATTAGTCCGCTTTGGGCCCCTGATGAGTTCTGACCCTGGAACCCCGGCTCGACCTAGGAGCTGCTTAAGCGTCCCGTGAAACTTCTTCTGCCGTGTCACAGTACGGATCTCATCGTCGGGGATACGCACATAGTCGGCATTATTATTAACCGGCACAAGCATGTGACGGCCTCTGAATACAGTGCCAAGTCGAAGCACATCACTCCTAGCAGCGATATTGAGGTTGGATACAGCATAGTAACCATACATTCCGTCGCTATAAGAGGATTCAAGTGACAGAATGTATGAATTAAGCGACATAGGTGGCAATCCAGGTGGCGGTTCATCTCCTCGGGAAGGCATGAGGTTACTCATAGTAGAATCGTCATTATCAATGGTGTTAGTTAGTTGAATGTCGGCCCGGTTTGGTAATTCCACAGACTTAGCTCCGAATTTCCGCTTAATGTCGCCAAGTATATCTGACATGGGTATAACGTACGCGCCGCCGAGCACGTCTGAAGCGACAAGTTGTCCATAAACCTCGAAGGACTCTGCGTCGATAACCCATGATCCAGAGTCTCCGTCAAGTATCCCTAGGTAAAAGTTTAATAAGCTACATAGCGCCAAATGAAAGAGCCTTAAATGGTATTAACTCTTACCTGGTTCGTAAATCAGAGTGATCATGAAGGCATCAACGAATTGTTCCCCGTCCCCAAGTAGTATCCGACCGGGTTCCCCCAACAGAGATCCCTTCTTGCAGCCTGCAGAACCACTAAGCACGAGAACATCCCGCGTCCCAGTAGCCCCAGGTCGCTTTTGGGATACATCAAGAATATCGACTGAAATATCAGCAGGTACACGATTCATCTTGCATATTTTAGTTTTGAACAAAGCCCAATCGTAGTATTTCCGAGGCTGGGGTAGTATGTCTGCTCTGGGGAGTTCAACAACTTGGCCCGCGATAAGAAGATCGTGGCAGGGCCATGGTGAATCTTTCGAATATTCTAGATTCAACACGGGATCTGAATGTACCCCATCTCGGGCATCCCCTGACTCGTATCCAGACTCTTCATAGTCTTCAGAGTCGTCAGAATCTTCAGAGCTCTCAATGTCTTCGTTATTTGTGATGTTAGACACGTATGCATCTACGTTGTGATCCCACTCATGGAGCGAGTGGCCGGCGGTCATTCCAAGAAGCTCTATATCGCCTCTCTCGGTGACGATCTTAATTATTCCACCAAATGTTGCATTTCGCAGTTTACCATTGGGCCATTTGAAAGAAATTGGTACGCCACAAAGCGATTCTCTGAAAGTCTCCATGCTAGAAATTTCATTGTGTGTAGTGACTACTTCGATATCTGATAGAGATAGCCGCGGTTGGGGTGGTAGGCCCGTGACAATAATCTCAAAAGCCGGCATGCTTGGGTCCTTTGGGTTGCGATTATTCAGGTGATTATCTTTCTTAATAATACTTCGAGCTCGTTTCTCAAGCTCAGGCCGACAAAAGATGCGAATATGTGGCTGGGCATCATCCTCTGAAGTTCCCATCAGCATGAGACGTATAGATATAGGCTTATATGGTTTGCGATGTTTTGCACAACGGCGTTGCAATTCACCAAGTAGAAGTGCTTCGGTATATTCTTGGATTGGTTTAAGGCGATCTATTGTCGACCGATCAATCGGTTTATCGATGGGAATTTTCTTTCTACTGAGCGGGAGAAGTGGGTTTTGTAGCAGATTTAATGTTGAAGTCTGCAAAGTACAGTCCGGGTCGGCGTCATTGTTCATTACTCCTATTGAAGTTGTTAGTAATTAATCCGTGTGGACTTCAGAAACGAGAAAAAATATTCCAGTAACAAACAAAAGCACACCTGGGTTTCTAATAAAATCTACTGCCTTCTTAAACCCTAGCTCACGAACGATTTCAGGTTGTAACATCATATTCGGTTGGATTCCGTGAGATGTATGGTTAGAGAGATCGTTAGGAATAGATTTATTGGGCTCTAGGCTTGTCTTATACAGGTGTCTACCTAGGTACCCAGAGAGACATAATTAACAAAATGGCGCTTCCAGAAGAGATCTGAATGGCTAGAGCTTATATTGTGGCGTATGCTTACCGCTCTGAGGTTACAGGAAGTTGCGGCACGCTGTGAGGCCTCAATAAGATGATGTGTACAAGCCATCCTCGAAAATAAAATTAAATAGCAGTATAGCAGCAGACCATAGAGGGTAAAAGTACAAATCTACCTTGATTCCGTAAAAATATTTAACTAATAACTTATCCGGGAGAAGAAATGTCCGCATCTAGGTCAATGCATCCCCTGAGGAATGTTTCTCAGGACGATTTCGCCAAGCTCTGTGAGGCTTTATGGGGCTGGAAACCATGTGCCGATTGGATTGAGAAACGGAAATGCCAATGTCTCTCTCAAGACCCCGAATGCCATTACCAGAGAGCCCAAAGATTAAAAACGTTCTTTGATTTCTACAGAGAGACCACTACATATTACATCCCCGAGCTCACTGGCAGCTCGCCTCCAGCTATAGAAACTCACGATGGCCTCATTAGAATTATTCGATATATCAAGCAACACGCAGACAAAGCTCGCCTACGATTAACAATAGATTACTTCGGCATCCGTGAACATCCGGGACTTCAAATAGAACTATCAGACGATCATAACCGGGCTTTCACCCTGGCTGCACGCGTAATAACTATGTTTGAATGTGCTACCAAGGAGCAACCTAATGGACAACTGGAAGCCGGGCTACAACCTACTATCTGGCATAGTGACAAGTCGTTCAACCAATTCGTTCTCTCGTGTATCCCTAGGCAGGGCCAACATCAGCTCAGACCATATAACGATACGATCCCGTGGCCTGGAGTCCCATCAGGTTCCATAACTATGAAGAGGTTAAAAAAGATTGCGAAACTTACCATAATACCAACCGACGACCTCGGGAATCACCTTCTTCTGGACAGAAAGAATGGCACTATTGCAGTATACCATTATACAAGCGTCCTAAAGGAACATCTCTTGATGACCCGTGAATCGCGTGATGGCACTAGATCATCTACTCAGCAGTAGGCTTTAATCTTTTTCGGATTTACGTATATAGATCTACACTAACGATGTCTAGACATAGAAATCTCCCCAAAGAACTCGCTTTGGAGACTTTATACACACTGAAGCACGTCCTTTTCCCCATCGATCCAGAATCGCGGTCTCTTCTTCAATCCCTCGTCGTCAAAGACAAGTTCGACCCCGATATTTGCGACGATATAAATACATCATGGCAACAACACGAAGGACCTATCGCATATGAGCATTGGGGCCTTCGGCTGATGGATCTATACGACGAACTCCAAAATCCCACTCCGCGCGGCCCTTTGGAGAAATGGATGGAGCGGAATAGCGGTTCCAGGTACGTTATGATGGCGACGCTAGCCGGCGTCTTGATTGCTGTTCTGCTCGGAATTTTGAGCCTTGGAGTGAGCATATTTCAGGCGTGGGTTGGTTGGCAGCAATGGCAACACCCAGTTTCTACTTAATTTATGTAATATTTACTTTATATGTCAGGGGAATATGTGGATCAGGGGTAGATTCAGGGGTGAATCTGCTAGGATGGGATGTAGAAGAGACGAAGTATATTCGTTCATAACGTAAAAGGTAGTCTTTATAATCACTATATTAGAACGTTTTGATACTAGAGAAATAGCCGGAGTCTAAGAATAAGCACCTAAGGTGTCCTCGAATCTACGATGTATAAATGATTGATAGGCCTAAGGTCTACCTTATATATAGGATATAGGATATTTATTGTGTCGTGTGAGTAAAGATTTCCTATTCAGGGCATATGCCTTATACCCTTTACGAATTTTTCTGCCTTACAAGACTGGAGGGCGGCTGCCACAATAGCCCGAGTTTACGTGGATTATACAGTTGAATATATTGAATACTTTTAATAGCCTCGAAACCCCTATCCAATATTCGGTAGCCAAAAGGAGGGCTCGGCACCCTCACCCTCGAAACCCTCGAGACCCTCGAAACCCTCGAGACCCTCGAAACCCTTACCCTCAATACCTTTACCTCGATACCTTCACCCACGGCTCAGCAGCCAAAAGGAGGATTCGGCACCCAGGGATTCGGAAGCAAAAGATACAAATATGTTTTTAAAAAAAAGAAAAGGAAACTTGGAAAGATCTCACTTATTTTGGAAATGCACCGAATAAAAATGCTTAAAAGCTACGCACAAATAAACTTCCTATCTCGTAAATAGGACCCTAAGACAATGTCCCTCGTAAACTCGGGTAAACAGTAAAAAATGAAAAAAAAGCAAAGGAGGTAGAATCCTACCAGGGTATAAGTAGATTTAGGAGTAGATCTACTAGGGATGGGTACCTATATAAGATGCGTGCAGCGCTCTCATGAAAGGGTATATAAAAGAGTCAAAGATAAGCATTCATAATTCAATCTATCCTAATATGTACCAAGGATATATAATACCTAATAAATCTCAGGTATAGTACGGTGTAAACCTTAGATTTTTGTATTACCCAGAGGGTAACCTCAAAGTGTGTATTAATAATGAAGACTCGCAACCTAGGACAATATTCACAAATCTCTCAAGCTAATATAATTAATCAAATTCGCTTTTTAATTTCTCGCTGATTATAACACAGCTACGTATAAGCCTTCATTAAATACCTATGCATGCCTACCCCCAAGGTAGGTAGGTAATCGCCCGTCCAAAATCATCGTGGTATCATGCACCCACCCCACCCCCTTTCCGCCCTTCCTATCCTCTCAAACGCTTTCATAACCTCGCTTGCTGCGGACATCCAACCCTCATAAGCTAAGTAGGTAGGTACCAAAGTAAAAAATACAAATAAAAAAAGGGCATCCTATGAATGCCAAAACCGCTGACCAATTTTTATCTTCCGCTGAAATACGCTAATGCAATCCGAAAAAAGAAAAAAGAAAACGCCCTGACATGCTTAGGTAGGTATGTACATATATGTAAGTGTGTGTGTATGTAATAATGAATGATACACTCGCTCCAACTCAACCAAATCATACAGCGACTTTATTGAGGTTCTTAAAGTTGATCCACTCGCACTTACAGCCGCCGGTACCGCCGTCGATACCGCCGAGGGACGAGTCGGCATTGCTCGTGGGGTTGACGAGGGTGCCGCCGAAGCCGCGGTCGGACAGGATGAGCTGGGCGTCCGTCAGGTTGACCGCGTGGTTACCCAGGATCCCGAACCGGTAGTTGATCTTCTTGCTCCGGTCCCCGCCGTGCATGTCCTCGGTCACGGTCACCGGGTACGGCATGGTGCCGGGAGTGTCTGCGGCCGCGGAGCCGTTGGTCCAGGGCACGGGGCCGCCGCCGACCAGGCGCGTGGTGTTCTCCATGCGTGTCCAGATTTGCACGAGGAAGCGCGTCTGGGCAAATGTTACTATAGACTTGGCCGCGGCTAAGGCGGCGCCGCCGTCCTCGTCTCCTGGGTTCGCTTTTACGGTGTCGATCATATACATAGTCTTGTCGAAGTAAGTGTAAAAGCCATAGTGCTCGGTAGACAAGCCGCGATCGAACAGACGAATAGGCTGCTGGGTGGCGTGCGGGAAGAGTTGGGCTGGAGCAACTGTGCCGTCGCCGTTCGTCTTCGGGGGAGGAAGATCACTTATAAGGTCGAACGCCGCGTCATCCCTCGAACCGATGGTATTATTGGGTTCTTGCCGACGAGTAAGCATATTAGGACCGACTGTTTTTTCGATCGATGTTAAGAGACTAATGAAGAACGGTGTCGGCTCTCCTGCTTTGTCGTCTTCTTCGATGTGATCCGTGGTATTCCCTAGAAAACGCATCTCTGCGATGGAAGGGGGTGCCGGGTTCGGTGTGAACCCTTGGTCCGTCAGGAAGCTCTGTCCTTTCCTGCCGGCCTGGTCCTCGTTGGTCATATTCCATAGAGTTCGAGTATTGTTGTCATATTGAATCTGGAAAATGAACTCAGGCTGGCTAGGCTGATGGGGGGCTACTGAATCATGCTCTTCCTTCGGCAGGGAGCACGACCAGGCTGTGTCTGGTGTTTCAATGAGACAGCCCGATTTCGCCTCGGAATTGTCCGGACCAGAAACGGTCAAAACTCCGGTGGGCATCGGCGGGAAATCCGTCAAATTGAGCCAAATCGAAGGGGTCTGGCTTTCGTCCGGATGCCGCCGTGTAAAGACAACAGCTAACACCACAGCGAGAATAATCGCAACAATTAGAGCACCGATAACTGCGAAACAAATCCGCCTTCTCTTCCTCCCTTCTCGACCCGGGCGTCCGAAGCACCCATTTTGGGGCATGCAACCGCGGCCTCTCCAAAAGCCGCCAACCTTCCTGGCGACCACTTCCTCCTTCTCGTGACGACGCCGCTGCATTTCAGTTCTATTGGCGTGGCCTCGAATTTCGTAAAAATGGTCGCCGGGAACGTACGAGCCAGGTGCGCGGTCGGGGAGCACGGCAGGTTGTACGGTACGGATCCCAGAGGGCGTCAAGGGGATTTCTGCCATGTCAATGGCGCCTTGAGAAGTCATCGTTCCCGGTAAGTTTGGCGTCATTGGACCGGGGGACGGGACACGTTGAGAGCTGACCACGTGTGGAGGGGGTAGTATCACGCCAAATTTGACTTGATTAACTGCCTTAGGAGGTGAATATGGCGGTGGTTCTTCGCTCGGCTTCTGGTTCTCCTCCAGAAGAATCCTGGCTTTCTCGGAATGTCCCTCGCGGCGGTCGGGTGATGCTGCACGAGACGAGGTGGCGACTGGCTGAGCTGTGAACTGCTGCTGAGATATCACTGGTGTATTGCTAGCCAACCCCTTTGAAGATGTACTACCCTTTTCGGCAGTCTTATTCCACCATTCTTGGGGAGCCGACGGCGATAGTGATGAGGGATTGGGAGTTGAGTTATTCGGCTGTTGTCTGGTATCCGGCTGCAAGGGATTGCCTTTTTCGTCCACTCCAGCCCACCATCCTTGAGGAGGAGCTGCTGTAGTGTTAAGAATAGGTTCCTGTACTTGCTTTTTGAATGGGTTCCATTGCTGCGGTGAAGAGCTCAAACGTGTGTCCTGCAGCTGCGGCTGCGGTTGCTGTTTGAAGGGGTTGGTTTGTTGTACAAAAGGAGTCGTGATATGGTCCCACCAGCCACGAGATGGACTGTTGGCACTTTCGGGACTCACTATCGTTGCTTGAGGCTTGGCTGACTTGCGAACCGCCGTAGGACTCCCGTCTTCTTCAAAAAGAGTGCACGGTGTTCCAATACTGTCATCATCGTCCAGATCAAGCCATGCAGATTGCCTCTCCTTGGGTTTAAGGTCTGCTGGTAGGGTGGGTACGGGAGGTACATCAGCATTTACTGCAGTACCGCCATATACGCTGGGCTGTGAATAAAAACTTGACACAGCTCTAGACGACTGGTATGGCGATTCACTCTCTTCTGTGTCTGGAGACCACACGGAGCGCAACTGTTGTGGTGTGAGAGCTGTAGGATTTCCCTGTTTCGGAGCGTATCTTCGCAGATCATTTGGCGTCTCGATGACTGCAGTCTGTGGGCTAGGCTGATGATCCAGCAAGTTATCCGAAGGTACCGCTATTCCGATGACGATTGGTCGAGCTACCGGAGAAAGGTCTGAAGTGGGAGCCTGTACGAGCCTGTTGCTTGCTCTCGCACCACCCATGTACCCAGGTCTTTGCTTAAGCCACGAAAAACTGCCAATCGAAGCAGAGGAAGGTTCTCCTTCTAGAGCGTGAAGAGCGACAGCATCAGCAAATTTTGGTTGTTGCGTAGCTGGTACTGGTCGACTAAAGTTGGACATGTCTGTGACGACTTTGATACCAGCCTTTGCATTCTGGGCCTTCTGCCTAGCTCTGGACTTCACACGAGTTGGTTTTTGGATCGAGTATCGTATTGGATTGCGCGAAATGCTCTGTGTAGTAGTAGACCTGAACGACTTGCGCGCTATATCATCCGAAAGGTCAATGAGGAGTCTATCCTTATCCTCCGTCACTCTTTGTACCTCCCCGTCCGAATCTTCCCAGTCTTCCCATTCGTCCTTGGGGTTCGATCGACTAGATGGCTTCCCTAAAGGACTATTCGGAGAAGGTTTTATTACCTTCATGATGGATGATGTAAGTTAGGTAGCAAATAAGTAATAATGCTAAAGAGAATATTTTTTAAGTATTTCCCAAAAGCTATACCAAATTCAAAGTGCCTGCGTTGAAGTTCGGCGCATCAAGAATGGAATCAAACAGGAATCGGTAGAGATAAAATGTCGGGTGAAGTTGTCTATGCGACTGTCCTGCAAAAATGGTTACGCGTAAGGGGAAGGTTTTTGTTGAAAAGAATAGAAGATTTCAAGTCATTAAGAGCCACCAATTTGATTCCAGATGAATAGGTAGGTATTATCATGATAGGGAAATAGCACGTCTTTGTACAAACAAAAAGAAATGTTCAAAAACAATACGCTAGGTGAGAATTAGATGTAAGAAGTCATTGTAAGATAAGACAGCTGGCGAGGGCCAATATTAAATGGACCAGAACAATGACTGGCAAAGGACGTATCACCTCGCCTACAATCCACGCATCAGTGCAAACAATATGACTACGATACATTTGACAGGAAACTCGAATTAACCAACGATCAACCTACCCGATTTAATAGGTCGGACAAGAAAATTCGATATGTGAGTGGTCAAGCTGTCGGTAGCCCCATTACACGACATCAAGCCAACGCAAGGTTAGGGTGTGGTCTGGGGGGCTTAAAGACGCCTTCGCGGCTAACAGATGAGAGGCCATATGAAGCTTCTGGATGGTGGAATTTGGGGTTGAAGCAGATGAGCGTTAGATGTAGCCGCCGAGTTGTAGGACAACATAGCCCCCATTGGTCAAGCATTTTTAAACCAAGAGATGGCTAGACAACGGTTGGGCGGTAATGTATTCGCATCGCGGCTGCAACCCTACCGGGTTCCACACTTCCCGTTCCTCTAAATGTTACGCTATGGTGTACACTATGGTGCATTGCATGCGTAGGCGGTAAACATAGATACGGAAACGCATTTTATGTTGGTGTAGGAATGGAGATGGATGTTGTGCATATAGAAGTGGCGGAATTTAGAAAGGAGAAAAAAAAAAAGATTGATGGGACTGAATGGAACTGCAGTCATTTGCATTGCATCTTCTGTATGTAGAACCTATCAAATCAATCAAATCAATCAATATAGTGGGTCATATATATTAAGTCAGCAGCTTTTATGAATTCCAGTTCTTTTACGTGCTTAATAAGTAAGTACATGTAGTTTGTACACTTGAGGTAACAAACAGGCCTTGGGCCTTCTTAACTGGCCTCTCGGTTGTTTCCAATATCTTTCACAACACTGATGAGACACCATCACCAGCAATGAGCTACTTGATTGGTGTCTCATATGACATGCGTCCGATACATTGTTAGAGAATACCATCGGGTTTTCTCATTATCTTGGGACTATTAACATAAAGTAGATCATATCTATAGGTACCCAATTCATCTACTGACCAAATATGACAATATTCTCCGTCTTCAAATTTAGTCACATTAATATGCGAGTAATATGCGAGTCATTCGATGTTTATTTATTTAGAATCGGCATCTCGCGTTCCGTTCGATACACAAGCTTAGCATCATTGAAGGCTGCATCTTCCACAGCCTCGATGTTCAATGCCGACACATCTAATTCATGGAAAGGTTCCCCATACTCGAATTCACAGCCCGGTTCCCCCACAGCCCCCCATTTACATTTACATCTACATTTACATTTCTTTTTCCATCTCGACTCTATGGGTTTCATCGCATTAAGGCCCCAACAACTTCTGTATACTACCATCCTACTGTACTAATATTCCAACAACGCGATGGTATGTCGGGAAACATAAGGTATCGTACGTAGTATTTCCCCTTTATCATGCCTAGGTTTAAACAGTTACGACATGGTATCCTTATAGGAACGTGGGGTCCATCTGACGGTTCCGCTCTTCAGGTCGCCGACAGCCGAAGTTTGGTAAACGAATTCGTCGGTCTTGGAGAACCAATCTATATCCCATCTAAATTATTAATCTCAGCCTCGCTAGAATCACTTGATGGTATCACAAGACAGCCACATAACCTATTCTAAGGGATATCTACGTATTATCCAGCCCAGCCCAGCTCGGCTTACTGCAGCCGAAGTTGGACTATAGTTATACAGACAAGCCCATCTATTACAGTACGAAGGTCAGTCATCATCGTATAGAGGTGACCCGGAGTTCTTTATCAACGAATGGTATATTGTCAGTTAAAGTATCCTAGTACCTACGCTAATTATATTAGAGATCCGCTGGTACCATCAGGGCTCAATAAAAGGTAGCTTTCTTAATTCACAGCTATCAACGTAGCGCATGGCTATCGCTTCTCCTTTTTCTACTCTCAAAAAAGGCCGAAGGATCCTTGTTTATTATTGATGAAAACTCGGGGCCGTTGCCGTTCAGGTAAACACACGCTATTCTCATATGACCCGCCAAGGATCCGATTAGAGTCTTGTCGTCATTGCTCAACCACTATGCAGCTATTCGAGAAGCGTGACCATAGCCGTTGACCCGAAGTTGATATAAAGTCGCCCAGGGTGATCTTCATTGACTTGATACTACCCCGTGCTGGAGATAAATCCTACTACACTACGGTAGGAAGTAGTATACAGTAACTTGCATTCGGCAACATAGGTAGCTTAAATATTTGGAAGGTTGGAATAAGGGAAGAACTCCGCGTACTCCGGATCTAAAGAAGGTAGGAATACGTACCATCTTCCATCCACTGACACCCACTGACATCCGGAAGCCTGTTCTAGCTCACAGTTATTAGGTCGCAGCTAGGGGGATCATATGCGGGTAACATTATACGCTACTCTATAGAGTGGGAGCCAAGAAGTTAACTCCGCATCAGAGAGTTGAAACCCTTGGCAAAGACTAATAAAAATCCACCTAGAACAAAGTCCAACTATTATACAATAGGTTTAGGTAAGCTAGTTATATCCAATAGGAGTTGGCAAACTGGGGATACTCATATATGCACTAGCTTCTCATTCGCCCAATTTTTATGATCCTTCATCCTCCTGGTAGCCCTAGGACCGACATCCTACCCCCAGACTCAACCATTTACATAGTTTTACTAAGCTTTCAAATAAGTCAAACAACCATCGGCTTGATTGAAACAAGAGTCGATCTACGGCGTTATTAATATGCCGCGTTAGATATTACCTAAAAATGGTTTAGGTCGACCATCGTTGAGCGACTATAACACGTGTGTCATTCGACGTCAGTGCCCAGGGCAAAGTCCGGGACGTAACCCCCTGACAGTTGCGCTCGCTGGTGCGACAAGGATTCTCAATTCGCGAATCATCATGGCTGCCCTGCCCTGCCCTGACTAATATAAAGGCCAGCCTTATTGGAGACACGCCTATCCCGAACATGTCGTTCCTGTTGTAGGCGATGCGACATAATGAAGCAGGAGGTGACAAGACTTCGATTATGCCTATTCTGTCTATTAAGTCCGCTCCACTGTCTCTGTCTACTTCGAGAACATAACACGCGCGAGATCCTCTGCAACCTCGAACGGGACATTTCCCGTTGCGCGCTTTTCCTTACAAGTATATAATGTTTGTACATCTTTTACATATCTATAGTTAGACGACATACGAGTTTGGGTATGAGCTTGGGAAAGAAGGTTTATCGTATTTATTGTTTTATTATTTCTTAATCAAGCAAGACAAATTCGAATTTATACATATCATGACCATCTCAAATAGAGATACCCAGCAAACCACAACTGTCATGGCCACACCCCAACGGTATAATGGTCCTGCAAAGGACGGGGACTGGAACAACTATCGAGACACCATCACAGCGCTATATCTAGAACAGAACAAGAGCTTGAAAGAAGTCATGCGTATCATGCGGGAGGAATACTACTTCTTCGCGACGTAAGCTTCTGCCTGTGACCCCAGCGCATAGATAACCACCAACCTATATGTCTAACCCAGCACCTAGGGAAAAGATGTACAAGATCCGCTTCAATAGATGGGGCCTACACAAGAAACTAAGGGCTCACCAGGTGGCTGAGCTTCTAGTTCAACGGGGTCGCCGCGCCGCCGTCGGCAAGACATCGGTATCCTTCGTTCACGGCCGCAAGGTCGATGCGGATAGGCTCAACGCGTACCTCCGACGAGTCTCGCCTGCTAGTCGCAAGGAACTCATAGCGATCCTGTCGGGTAAGATAGAATCTGTCGAGGCCCAGAAACGCAGCATAGAGGAGATTATATGCCGTACCCCGTCTCCCGAACCAGGGCCGATATCAGTACCAAGACGTGTGGAAGCTCCCGACGGCCTACGGCTCCCTGAGGAGTGCATGCAGATAGTGCAGAGCTACGTCGGGGGTGCCTTGGAAGGGTCTCTCTGGCAGCTCACTCCCGACAAGGAACTAGTATTTCCACGCCGACCGAGGACGTGGCTGGACCCTGTGTCGTCTGCCAGACAATTATTTATCAACGGTTTCACAAAACAAGGTTTCCGCATGATAAGGATAACCTTCGATGACTATAGAGAAGTTATGATGCGGCAAGATCCGTCACTACTCGTCGAGACATGTCTCGCCTTGGGGGCGCTTCTACAATCCGGACCAGGCCTTGCCGAGTCCTTAATCAACTACGCCTGCGGCATGTCCCGCATCGTTTTCGGTCCTAGACACCCTATACACTTATTATTTATGAGATTAAAAGGCGCTAGCCCAGCTGAAATAACAAGCTTTATCGGCCTGATCATACAAGGCTTCCTACAAGCCGTGCAAGCTGACAGCCGCCTCAAACCGACATGGCTAGCAACTATATATCGAGCCATGCTCAATAGCAACTTCATCGAGATGCATACGGCGCAGAAGTACATGCAAGATCTCATTGCAGATCTCGAGAATTCGCCGTCGCCGTCGGTGGATCCACCCGAACAGGATGCCATAAAGAAGGATATCGATCTCTTACGGCACCACTTATCGTGGCTAACGAACCTCCACAACAAGCCGACAGAGGCGGCGGCATCGGCGCATACACTAGTCGAAACGTGTGGAGGACGGGATCCACGGCTGGCACGGTTCAGTTGCTATAATATGCTGCGGACGCTGCCAACGAGCCACGAGGTGAGCCCCGAGGAGGCCGTCGACCTTTTGACGCATAGCCTAGAGATATGCGAGACGGAATTCGGGCGCAACGACAACGCCACGGTTACTTTACTCGCCACATTACAAAGCTACCTACGCCGCGTCGGGAGGGCAGAGGACGCGCAAAGAGTGCGCGCCGACTTCGAGAAGCGATGGGACGAAGTCATGGACGATATGAGCAGGCTAAAGACGTGACCCGTTGCCCTGATGAATACCTACTACATGGTGCAATGAGGGGATACATATATATATAAGCGTACGGAATATTGGTTCGGCTGGAACTTGGCTTTGCTAGGTACCTTGAGACCAAGATAATATGTATGTATGTATGTCCTCTATGTAGTGAGCTGCAGCTTTCGACACGGAAAGCTGTGGCTAGGGTATTCGTCAGGGGGTAAACTGAAATAAAGTAAAACAAATAAATAAATAAAATACAAAATACAGTTATCCAAACACCTCCTCATTATCTATGTTTGTTATTAGTTACCTATCGTATATTGAACCAGTAAGTTTTCTCTTAGATAATCTATTATTATTATACTTTTTATTTCTATTTTTCTTTTCTTTTTTATAATTCATCCCGCCTCCGCTGCGCCCCCGGCTTCTCCCCCCGTCTCCGCCTCAGCAAATCGAGGAGCGGCTGGCTCCAACCCGGGGCGTCCGGACCTTGGCTAATAACTTCCAAGTGGTACTCCCAACACCCTTCTTCCAACGAATCCGGCCCCCCAGCTTCGCACACGCTAGCTTCGGTTACGCTTGCGCTCGTCGGCCACACGCCGAGCACGGCGCCGACTTCCTCGTCGAGGAAGACATCGGATACAATGCGCGCGACCTTGGCCTTGCGCGCGTCCCAGACCGGGTCCGTCCGCTGCAGTATCTCTAGGAAGTGCCGCATGCCGCCGTGCGCGAGGAACTGCGCCGCGACCAGCGGGCTCTTCAGCAAGCCGTCTAGCACGGCGAGACTCAGACGCGCAGCGTACGCCTCGGCGGATTCGTCCGGCGAGCCGGCCGTCGCAGTAGGTTGCAGCGCGGAGAAGAGCTCTGATCTCAGGGATGCGGGGGAGGCGTTAGACGGGCAATTTTTCTCGAGAAGGGAGTCCCAGGCCTGCTCTACGGCGCGCAGCGCGGGCTTGTTGTTGCGCACGGAAGACGCGAGGATGGCGGAGGCGAGGAAGTCGGTGCGCTGGGATAGCGGCCGCTGGGCCTGCGCTGGGTCGCGCGCGGCGAGCAGGCAGAAGAGCGCGTGCAGGACGGCGGGGTCGGAGGCGATTTGCAGGCCGTAGTATATCCCGTGGGAGAGATCTTCTAGGTCCTCTAGGGCTTTGTCGAGATCGTCGGGGTTGACGGTGGTCCCTGAAGAAGAAGATTTCTTCACTGTTTCGAGGGCCGAGGTGAAACCCTCGTTTTTCTCCTTCGGCGCCTTGACTACGCCTACGGGCTCGTAGGCCGGGGCGCCGGGGGGGATTCGGGGCTGGTCGTTGTCGTCGTCGTCGTCGTCGTCCTGGGGTGTTTCGGGGTCGACGACGACGACGGACCGGTCTACTGGTAAGCCTTCCAGGGCAGCAGGATTTTCTTCCGCGGGGTTATACAGCTTGGCTTGTTTCTGGCCGGTCTGGACGTCGAGCTGGACGTGTAGGCCGGGGGGAAGATCCTGGTCGTCGTGGACGGGTTGGAAGTCCTCTGTGGCGGAGAAGACTTTTGGATAGCATTCGGCGGGGTTGTCGGTGTGGCATATAAGTTCTGTTTCTGCGGAGGGGGATTCAGATGGCGGGGATGATGCATGTGTGAAGGAGAGAGCGGATGAGGCAACTAAGGTTGCGATTGCAAGTCTCTTCATAATATTATGTGCATATGAATGCTTCATTATGTTATGTCAAGTGAGAGTAGTGAAATATAAAAGTCGATAATGAGTAGTTATAATAAAACGCCACTTTGTTAATGTTGAGATATATAGGTATATAAGTCGTTCTTGTAAGTGAGCTTTTTGTAAGTTGAGCGATGTGGCAACGTCTTATTTAGGACAGTTTGCAATAGCTAAACTGGACACGACGACGAGTTTGTCCAAGCCTCGCAGACTAAGATAAGAAGGATAGTAATATGAAGAATTATATAGAAATATGAGTAGATTCTTACATTATTCCTATTATAACGAATTCATAATACCTTCTTCAAGTTAGCAATAATTATAGAAATACATACACATAGTTACGTTAAATTTATAAGACTTAGTTATACCGACATGTACTAATACAATACAGTACGCAATACAGTAAAACTTCAATATTAACACATTAAAGCTTACCCATTACGCAACCCTGATTGGTCCAAAACGCCCCCACCATTATGCCTCAATTCCAGCGTCTTTAACGGAATACCTACACATCTTAAAGCTCGATATATCATAGCTTGACGACATCATTCTCCGAAGCCAATTGGGCCATATCCCACATTTCACCACCACCACCACCACCACCACCACATAACCCCGAGATGCAGGCTCTCCGGACTAGAGCAGCTTGCGCAGCCAGGCGCGCGCGGCCTACCACCACCACAACCACCGCCGCACCGCGAGCCTCGCGATCCTACGCCTCCGGCCACGATAGCCATCACCATCACGCACCCGAGGTAGCAGAGGGATTAGGAGTACGTCTTCCCACGCCACAAGGAAAAAGTAATAAACAAAACAGAGAATATTAACTAACTAAACCTCTCCCCCAACTACAGACATCATTCTACGTCTTCGCCGCCGCCGTCCCCGCCAGCTACGTCGCCTACTCGATCTCGCGGCCGGGCCCCGACGGCGAGGAGTCCAGCTTCTCCTCGTGGCTGCGGTCCTTCGACTACTTCAACGACTGGGAGCTGCGCAACACCCTGCGCACCAACATCATCGAGCAGGCCGCCCACGACAAGCACTTGCTCATGAACGCGGGCAAGAGCACGCACGTCGAGCTTAAGACGCCCGAGTATGTCTCTTTATACTATCATATCATATCATATCCTACCCTCTCCCTTTCCTTTTCCTTTTCCCTCCCTTCCATACTACGGTATCATTTGGCAGAAACACGCATAGGAGAGGATAAATAACTATAAGGGGGGGAAAGACCGAAAGATTATATATAGAGATAGAGAGAGATCAATGCTAACATACCCACCCAGACTCCTCTACTCCGGCTGCCCCTGGAACGTCCCAGCAGGCCACTACCCGAACCTCGACCACGTCACCGCGCACTACCACAATCAAGCCGCCGTCGAAGAGGAGCGCAAAGTCAAGGCCCTACTAGCCAAGGCCAAGGCGCAAGAGCAGGAGCAGAAGCAGGAGACTTCGTAACCGGCCGCATACATAATATATATCTATATATCTACATTGATATATCTCGGCGCGGCAAATGTACATAAGCATAACATTAGGTGCCTTAGGTTAGTTACCTAGGGACCTAAGTAGACAGGCCTCTCGAAACAATCAGACGGGTGGCTGCTAGATAAAGTAATGGCCTTTTTATTTTGTCGTTTACCGATTGAATTTGATTGGCTCTTGTGGGATTTGTTAGAGCTCTATTGTATGCCTTACGCACCTATCCAGCTCAAGTCGACCTCGATTCTAAATATCCCGTATCGAGTACCGCATATGGAAAACCTCTTCAGACCAATCCCTCCTGAGGAAGATCTATCATTGGGGGCACTATCGAGAATTTGACATATAGAAACTTCGTAAATAAACATGATTTCAGTACAGGTCCTCTTTCTGAATTTCGTCAACGTCTATGTGGTGTAGTACGTATCCTCCGTTGGAAATAGAAATAGTTATACTACAATTATCAAGCAACAAGTTGCCTCACTGGAGGAATTATAGCCCATATATTAGCAATCATTTGGTTTACCTATTCACAGATAAACAACTTACAAACAAACTACGTCACTAGGAATCAATGGTCATTATCCATTCCAGGTTAGCACATTACGAGGAAACGGGCACAAAATACCTTATCGTGCTGAACCCTAGGACTCTCATAACTTAATTATGTACCTAGAAAAAAAAAGGTAGACATTGTATTGTCAAATGAGACACGAGAAATACGAGGCACAGCAATCACGTCATCAAAGAAATCCGCGTGGTAATGTGCTTAGCGCAGACTGATCTCATATCATTATCATGTAGCGCATTCGGTTGATGGTCATTTGCCTATCTACCGAGAAAGAACCGTTCCGTTCGCCCAATCCATGAATACAAGTGCAAGAACCCTCCAACTTTCCACAGACTGACTACTTGAGAGGGATGAATCGAGAAGAGTGAGTAGCACCGATACCGGGTCTACCGTGCTTGACGGGCTTGCTGTAGAAATTGTTAGCCATCTGCATATTTTTTTATATACGTATTATTTAGTAGGTATCCTGGACGTACTATGAGATGGAGAATTCGCCCAGGTAGTGGCCAACCATCTCAGGTCGGATTTCGACCTGGTTGAACTCCTTGCCGGAGTAGATGCCGATGACGCTGCCAATCATCTCGGGGACGACGATCATGTCTCGCAGATGCGTCTTGACGAGGTCAGGCTTCTCGTTGGGCTTAGCCTCCTGCTTAGCCTTGCGCAGCTTCTTGATCAGGCCCATAGGCTTTCGCTTAAGACCTCGGTTGATCCGACGGCGGGCTCGGGCGTGGACGACATCGCGAAGTTGCTCGGAGCTGAGGTCGAGTAGACTGTTATCGTAAAAAAAAATCATGTTAGCCTCAAAAATATTCAATTCAGACTCCATCCCACCAAAAAAAAAATAATCCGGACGGATTTTGCGACTCAACAGTCGCGTCTATATGGGATTCGATTGTAGGAAAAGTAACATACGCGTCAAGGTCAATTCCTCGGTAGGAAAACTTGCGGAACTGTCTTCTCTTCTTGAGCTCGGCGGCCTCCTCAGCGTTCTGCGCATCCAAAGTCAGTCGCATATTCTTCAATCGAATATTATCTCCATAGTAAGAGTAGTAATCAACGGCGGGATTAAATAACGTACGTAGTCGGGATCGTCAGCCATGATTACGGTTGGGTGATGCTCAAGAAGTTTCGCTGATCGAATGTGGGTTGTCGCTGTCGAAGAGCGAAATTGTTCAAGATTGAGATGGGGGGGGTTGTTGAGTTTCTAGACTTGGAGGTGGATAATTTGGTAGAAGGCTTCGCTTAGGTTTGCCTGCACTAGCCCCAAGTGATTACAGGAATTTTTTGTGTGAGGGTTGTGGCCCCAAGTCGTGTGCGCACGAGCCAAGTAATAGGGTACGTACAAGTTGAATGTCCAACCGAGTTGGCGAGTTGGCGGACTGTCGGGTGGGGTTGTGGCCGTGCGTGGCTCAAGCTCAAGCTCAAGCTCCACCTGCCGGATGGTCAGGTCAGGATGGTTACCTTCCGGCATATGGGTTAGGTACCTAATGACTTCCCCGGAATAACGACTTCCAATCACAACTGGAGAGCAATTGTTAGTATCCTCTCACTACTACAATTATAACAGGCATAATTATGAGCAAAGAAAGTTATTATTCTGTACCTAGGCAGCTCAAATAAAATATAAAGACCGAATTATTCACACCATACCGGATAAGCAAGGTCAGACCGTAAAAAAGGCCGAGTGAAAGTGTAGATAGGTAATTAAGCAGATGACTTATTGATAGCATTCATTAATATAGCGATGGCTTTGCCTTTTTTGCCCTGCCTCGAGGCTTCTATCTGCACTAGTATATAATACATAAACATGGAATAGCCGGTGTGGAATTATTTTTGCTGCAATTCCACCCGGTTCCGAGTCCGAAATAACCCATAGGGATATCACCAAAACTAATAGCGAAAGACCCCGAGTAAATCGTTAAAAAGACCAGAAAAAAGAAACATTGCTTTTCGTAGGCAACTTGAAAACTCCATGAACGCCTCCCTTAAAACGATAAGCCTACGTCCGCCGTAACGGGAAAGGCAGCGACCGCAGAGAATCAGATGCGTAGCCCTTGGATCCATCATATGCACCATGCGTACACAACAAAATTATTCGCTCGGCTGTGTCTCTCACTTCATAATGACATGATCTTCAACTAAAATCATCAGTTCAGCTGACCTTTTCAGTCACATCTGTCTTTATCTCGACTTCGCTTCGAAGAGCCGTCATTTCGTTCGTCAGATACGTAATCTTTTCCTCTTGAGATCTCCCCGTTGCTTCCATCGCTTGGACACGTTCATTCAGTTGCCTGACTTGCTCCTCGAGACCGTGGATGTAAGCCCATATCCCTTGATCAGTCGCAAATATATTATTGCTAGTGCTATCACCGCTGCCACCGTTCTGGTTCGGACCATTAGACGCGTGGGAATGGCCGATCCCGGGACCAGCAACTATTTGTTGGCCAGAACTCCCAGGCGCCGATTGAGAAGCAGGGGCAGAGCTCTGTATAGCTCCCGCGGAGGCGGCGTATCTAGCAGCGTCGACCGCGGCAAATCCAGGCACTTCGATATTCTCAGTATGAAAGTGTGCATTAGGAGACTCTGGGCTGTACAAACCTGGAGGTGTGTGCCGATCCGACTGGTGACGGTTAAAGTGCTGTTGCTGGAACTGCGCCGTCAGGCTCGGCGAGCGCTGTCTATTAATATTTGTAGAGTCATGGCCCTGCCCGCCAGAGGGGCTTAAGGGTTTAGGGCTCTCGGTCATTGCGCTTTGAGCGTACATAGCTGGATTGCTAGCGCCTACAGGGAGAGATGAGATGCTGGTGCCGGGAGTCTGGGACGCGTTCGAACTTCCGGAACCACGATCCACATTGGGTGGATAGAGTCGACCCGTAGCAGACCCTGAAGGTTGAGGTGTTAAAAAAGGTGAAACGTAGAGTTCGAGTAGTGTTTGGTTACCTTGAACATGCTGAGCTTTTATGCTGGGTAAACTAAGACGCCGTCTCTCTTCCTCCGTCAACTCACCTTCGTTGGAACCATCATACACGACACCAGTCATCGCGGAATCATCGCCCTCCATGTGGCTTGAACCGTCCACCTCTTCTTCGCCGAGAAAGCTTCCTAAGCTACTCCGACGACCAACGCAACCGCCAGGACCTTTGCTATGCCGTGCCAAAGCATCGCCGCGCGCAAACTTACGGTCACACTTTGGACATACGTGGGGTTTCTCTCCGGTGTGTAGTTTGGTGTGACGCTTAAGATCATGCAAGCGACGGAAACGCATTGAACACGTTTGACAAACATATGGCTTCTCTTGACTATGAGTCAGGAGATGACTCTTCAGATTGTGGTGGCGCGTAAATTCCGTCTCGCAGTAGGGACACTTATGCTTTTTCGAATTCGGCGAGCGTGGTCCACCCTGCTGATTCGGTGTCATCGGCATGCTCATGCCCCGGATCGGAGGAGCCGGCATGTTGGTCGAAGCAAGAACACCAGGGTATGATAGCGAAGTGACTCCCTTCTCTTCCATAGGAGCTGGCGGCTGCGTTCCGAAGCCGGGATGCTCATTATGTCCATCAAGCTCCATGGGCCCAGGGCTAGTCGTCACTGGCGCGCCAGGTCCACCCCCTAAGCTACCCAAGCTAGTCGCGCTCTGAGGACTAATGTCATCGGGCTTTGATTCTGGATTTTGGGCGTCGGGGAGCGGTATGGATACGGGAGGAGGCGCAGGCTGCACGTCTTCTACCTGAGGAGCAGCTTGAGGTGGTTCCTGGCGGGATTCCTGAGAAATATCCTGTGGAATATCTTGGGACACATCCTGAGGAGCTTCCTGAGGTCGGCTCATGGCGAGAGCGCTAGCAGACATCAATGCAGATTGAGCTTTGAAGGCAGTATTATCGCTAGCACCAGAAACTTGTATCTTGTACTGCTCTTCTTCTCTGCGCCGCTCCTCCTCGACGGCTGCAGCTCCAGTTAAAGGTGGAGAGAATCTCGGTGGTAGGCCGAGCCTGGCTACTTTTGATGGCGATAGCTCACGATGGAGTGCCGATAACGCCGAGGACGGAGAGACAGGCGAAGATTCCCGCTGCCTCTTAAGCGACTGTGTCGCACGAGCAGCTTCAGCAGTTAAGGTCTCGACAGAAACAGGATCGGAGGGAATCGTAGGTTGGGAGGTATTAGATGAGAAGGGCGGGGCTTCCGTCGCGACGGGACCTTTCTCGGACGCCATAGGTCCAAACAAGAATTACCCAGAACACGATTAAGGTCCCTATAAAAAATGACTCGGTATCGACGTAGAAGAGACGCGAAGGAAGCTCGGGCGCATCAACGACGCATCGTTTAAGCTCGATGGATAGTAAGGCTAGATGTGTGGCTGGAGGACGTGGCTGCTGCTGCTATGAATTGATGGTGTTGTTGATGATCGCGGCAAAGCGCGTCCAAAAGGCTGATCTTTTTAGGATTTTTCCCTTTTTTTCTTCTTACTATAAATGAGTAATAATTTTATCAATCAAAGAATCAGGTATTCCTTCTTGTATATTTTGCCGATAGAAATTAGTTAACGACAATACAATTGCACTAGGTTGCGCGGGTAGAGATTCGGCAGGTCAACAGTGTAAGTGGACGACTGAGCCGCAAAAACGAGATGGTAGGTTGTGGATGAGCAGGAAAAAAAGTGCTTGGGGGGGAACGTCAAATTGTGGTGGTGCAGGCGCAGGTGGCAGTGGGAAGGGGAAAAAGAGGCGGAGGCGGCGGCAAGTTCCAGTTTATTGGCGCTGATGCGCTGATGCGTGAGGTGTCGGAATTATTTTGGTTTGGTTTAGCTTGGTAATTTCGCACTGTAACCTAGGTATCGTTTAGGTCCTTCCACACAGTGATAGATTAAGCTAGGTACAATACTTACCCAACTAGGTACAGTGCATGCAGAGGCTCTCGATAGTTACATGTACCTAAAAACACCAAGAACAGATACCTTAGGCTTAGGTAGGTACATGCTAAGTAACCTACCTAACGTTTTGGTAAGCTTACACATATGTATGTACCTAACCTACCTAAGATAATAAACATAAGAAACCCTAAAGAGATTGTTAATATTACTACCCATCAACTTCTAAGGATGATGTCAAGTATGCTATATGTAGGTTGGTATAAGTATATAGAAGCTTATATCACTTAGTTAACCATATATGTTACTACGTTAGGTACTATTAGTATCGTGTGGGTGTGGCGGTACAACCCAGTCATCATCAGTGTGCGTATTTCGTCTGCAGTAAGTTTGTCGATGCGTAATTCGCCTCGCTTAGAAACATGCAGATACCTAAACTCTTTGTCCTAGCTGAGAAATGAGCTATACCTAAGCTTACGGGCTATTTGGATATAGAAATTATTATATGTGGCTTAAATACCTTGTAAACTAGGAGGCATACTGTGAAACAAAGACCCAGCATACATAGGTATATCAAGGACAAAGATCAGTCAATAGGTCATTACATCTTATACAAATCTAGACAGTGATAAGTTAGGTACTTATAGGGCAATGATGTTCGTTTCTTGTCAAGTTCCATAGTTGCCTACAAAAGTTAAAAAAAAAAATCATTTAAGAGTTGTCATTTATTTGAGTATAGTTGACTCATACATTAGGTACTCCCAGACAACGCTCAGGTGAGGTCCTTCCAGTTTCCAGTGCAAAGCCTAGTCTGGGCTGGTGAATAAAAACTGACAGGTTACTTCCAGACACGTCCGTGGCTGATTCGATCTAAACCAATAGCGTCATCAATCCCAGATTAGAAAGGTACAACCGGCGCTTGCAGATTGTAACAGATAGGTACCGTATGCATACAGTAGAGTATCACCGCCAGGTGTCTCCGCGGCAGATCTTACATTACAAATTAGAAAAGATCTGACCAATCTGTTTTGACATGAAAATTGGGCTGGCATTATTTCAAAGGTTTGAAGATAAACTCATAGGTAAACTAATTGATTACCTCATTTTATAGGTATATTCATGTCTACGTAGGTACATGAAGGTATACAATTTCATATTATGTAGATACCTAGGTACCTAGGTAGGTAGTACAGATACAACATAAAATAACCTAGGCAAGTTCAAGCCGCGGTAGAGTTGATAAATGATGTAGTTACCGTTTCTTTACCCTACCTTACCTATGGAATATGGACCCACCCCAGCTCTCATCTTCTAAGCCAAACTGCCTTGACTAATTCTAAGCCTCGACCCACCCCCAAATTTATCTACGTCTACATTTACGTACAATACCGAATTTAGAGAAATGCTCATCGCAAAAAGTCGGACATCCGAGACCTTCATCGCATTCCTATCGAAACATCAATTGAACTCTTTAACTTTATCACAATCTACAAATAGTTATTCCAACCCGTGAAATAGTCAGATGTTGTTGGTGTCAAATCCTCGTCATTATATGCAACCCCCATCACTTATATCCTGCAATAACATACATACCGTACAGTTATTAGATACATCGCCTAACCAGATTGTAACCCCACAGACGCCAAGTTTATCCTCAATCGCTAAAAGCGGTCAAATACTCCACTAGTCTCATCCAAATCGGGAGCTCCACGGATCATCAATGCTCGTGATAATGGAGCCAACCACCTGTTTGGGCCGCCATCAAAGAATCAGCTCTTCTAAAGAAAGAAAGAAAAAGAAAGAAAAAAAAGAAGAATCTACAGGTACTAAGATGGCGAGATAAAGCAGCAATGCAATATCTCGCGATGTAATACCCATTGTAGATATAAAATTCAAGAACTTCGTTCAGTAAAGACGTAACCGCAATCAAGGATGTACCACTGAGCCTCAAGAAACAAATAACATTCAAGTCCGATCTACTATGTGCTAGCCCAACAACCACTACAGATAAGTACATACATGTAATACAGGACATGTTGACAGCTCACATTTATATATCAGGTAAGCAACGACGTGGACGGAGTCGGCGAATAATTGTCCGCCAAAAAAAGGGCATGTCCCGTATTTCCCGGCAAGGTCACCGAGGTCCACCTATACCCGGCCTCCGAGTTCCCCTCAGTTCCACTAACACCGTCCAAACCCATGTATAAGCATTTCTGCATCGGTAATAACTACTCGTAAAGTCTAGGAAGTCTAGGATATTACTAATCGCCCGGGAACAGTCATCCTAAGCCTAAGATAACTCTAATCCCTTTAGAGATTCATATATACATTTTCTACTAGATCGTCTTTGCGAAGCTTCCATGATGCAGCTTATAAATGTACGATTCCGTTCATCCCGATTTCTAGATCGGCTACCCCAGTTGCTTTGCCCCAGTGCTATTCCAAATTGATGATATATTCCCATAGATCAAGAGATGGGTAAACTAGAAAACAACAGCATAGGCGCTTACAAGGGCGCCAACTATCCAGGCCAGACGTCTCACCAACGGTATAGACCTTGCTATCAACAACCAGCCAGGCCAGGTAGGGGTACAAGCTACCAGACTATCCTAAACCGAAGAGTACAAAGTTGCCGGCCGCGGTTGGGTCTTACGCCCACGAATAGGAGCGATGTACGCTTATTTAGACAGCCTATCATGATGCTCTCGTATGTTACGTGCTGTGAGTGTGTCGAGACTGAGTCACGCAATATCAGCTCGACCAACTCATCCTCGCCGACTAATAGCCCAAGACGCCTCGCGTTCTGTAACTAAATATACAATGCCAGCAGTACAGCCGGCATATCGGCACCATCGTTTAAGCTATATGATGGATAGACGAAAGTGCGCAGCGGCAAGTCAGTCAAGGCAACACCCCTTGCTTTATACGGCAGTCAATGGTCCACTGAGGATACTTAAACTTGGGTGCTACTTTGACAAAGTTATCGTAATGTAGACCACGGGTTGCGGCCCTCCCGGACACCGTGTCAGTAAGGAGAGACACCTCTGTCTACACGAGACCATGTTTACCTCCTTCCTAGGGTTGTCAAGGCCAAACAAATCCACGAAGCTCCCAGGAAAGGCCTGATCAAGTAAGTCGGTCGACGTATTCTAAGTCACTAATCCGCTGACTAGAGAAGTCATACCGACGCAGTGCTCCGTATGATCCACTCCCGAGTATTCAAAGTGTCAACAGGTACGAGTTCGGCAAACCCGATGTCTAAGTTATCATACGGTGCCTTCTTGTAGGTACCAAAGATACCCTTGATGAATTTTTCTGTACGTTATCAATATATCGTTCGGTACATAGCCGCCATTCTTTCTTGCTGACATGATATAGGTCCGTTGTATCCGGGTTACAGAGGCGGGTACCGAACGTGTGCGAATGGTTGGATTCGCCGTCCGGATAATACGGAATTAGGGGCGTTTGGCGAGCTTGAAGAGTTTCGAAAGTATCCTTCGTTGCTGGGATATCCGGATATCGCATAACGTCGATGTCATAGTAGTCGTACAGCTCATCGCTGGAGTGATAAGTGTACACATGTCAATAATCCTAGAGCCAACCTCCGGGATGCCGTATATAGAGTTGGTCATCTTCAAGTCATCTAAAATCATGGCGATATATAGTCCTGCGCCCTTCTCGAGCTATCAACTGCCTGGGGATAGCTATAGGCGCTAAGCTTGGAAGGAACAGATTCTTTCAACTAGACAAGTTCTCATGTTTTAACTCACGTTAGACCTAGAATCTACAATAACATATAGTAACTGATCTTACTAAAACATATATTCCAGAGAATGACCTTATTATTTTCTTGCCTTTAGTGATAAGTGTATCATAGGTGCAGTAAACGGTAAGTTGTCATTTCTATGGGCGCTCGGCCATCAAACATCATTACAGCCACAAGGATGGAAGGAAATATGGTTCTCGTCGAAAGACTTTCCAATCAACAATAAACGGGTTAATCAATGTCTAGCCACTCTTAAAGTTACCTCGCAGCTTACTTGACGACTAGTTGGTAAAAGCCTTATTAGCAAAGGGACTCATAGGTGCAGGGAAATCTATTTGCTAACACTGACTAGGTACCTAGGAGTGTATGTATCAGTCAGTATACTTTATTATTCAACATGAGAAGTGCACTGCCTTACACCCGGCGAAGAAAAGTCATCATCGACTCCGGTAGCTGTACAAATAACATACTACAACTAACACTTAGAGTATCACTCGACCCTAACATATTAGATACTACTCCTAAGTATCTTAACCATAACATCAGGTTCAATGAACTTCCATGTTTCACAGTACGTGCTCTCAGGCATCCGGAGTTGAAGTAGCGGCTTAGACCAGACTATCGTTCTTTTTTTTTCTATTGCCCACATCAGCATAACTATCAGATATACCCTTCGATAATTGTCATACACAGAGTGAGGTCAAGATAGATAGTATTGAACTAGTAACGCCTGGCCTCCACCCCCTACAAGGGCGCGCAGCCCCTTATACAGTATATAGATAGACCCCTGCAGTTACCCCTAACCCACATATACCCTAACAATAGCAATAACTATAGAAATAAGCTTTTAGTTTGTTCCTAGAAAACGGCAGGCCCCATATCTCTAGCTGGTTCCTCACTATGCCTCTCAAGATAGGGAGGGGACTACATCAGTATCGATGGGAACTCGTACCCTATCCCAAATAAAAGGATATCTGCTTCTACTCAGTAGACATTATAACCTTTCATAGGGGTCTTTATAATATAAGCTGAAGTCGTTTCCTTGGTTTGTGACATTTATATGTAAGATGCTAAGCAGTCATCCGCACCACTCTGGTTTACTGTCGAGATAAATCGCAAAGGTAACAAAATTAACATGATGATGAGAACTTGTACGACATAGCTTTTCCTATACTTTCTGAGAGGATCAAGATGCCTTCATATTCAGAGCCATAAGCTGATATAACCTGGGCTTATTATACTTGTCATATTACCAGGCCGGTGGGATGACTGAGACGGAGCTTTCTATTATATCGGTGGACCGGTCTCAGCTAGGTCCATGCCTAGCTCATGCTTTGGTAGACTTGTATTCTCGCTTCATATTCGTATCTCTATAGTATATTTACTTTGAAAATATTAAGCCTCGGGATATTCACTTTATACATAGAACCTTTGTCCAACACCTTTAAACCAATATCTGCTGGACACATGCCGATAGAGCCTTCAATAAGAAAGTCTCAGATCTCCATGTTACTCCACCACCTCTGTAGTTCGTGTGCTTTTATTGCCGAGTGAAACCGCTCTTTATTAGGTTGGGCACACATACTTGATTCATGTTTAAAAACGGTTTAATGATGTTATACATACTGGCCATCCCAGAACCATGCTATTTCCAACTGACACAAGATATACACTGGAGCGCAAGGGACATTATCCCAAGTTCCTAAAAATAGTTGATTAGACGATTATCATGTTATCACCCGAAGTATAGTGCTGGCCCTTAATATACTATATTGCTCAAGGAACTTTGTGTCCCTGAGGGTTAGGGGAGACGAATTCACCTTATGGGTACCCGCAGTGAAATAGGTTCATGGCGGGAACTTGCATGAAGTAGGTACACATGACTCATGTGGGTATCATTGCTGACCCTATTATATCCAACGTCTGTTTGTAATAGCGGCTGTAGTGGTAGGCCGCGAAACGTTACTATACCACTCCAGTTAAGCGCCGACGTGGATACTTTCCCGGACTAACTATGAACGCTTTTGAGCGTATGGACTTCAATTATCTTTTGAGATGAGAGACACTTAAACCTATGTTGATGTTGAGTTAAAATATGTAGTATACGTTGAGATATATCGTCGCAGGTGTATTTTCTATAGCGGTCTTAAAAACAAACTCATTTGTAGTGATACTATAAATAGCCCCTATTACTTATAGTGAGTGTTGGGTATCTTCGTTTCTTGCTGGTCGATATAAAAGTCGAATTGAATTTAGTCTTCAAGGTAAGGGAGTCGAGAGCGTTGAAGTATTTTTAGTGTAAGTGATAACTGTAGATTATATAATACGTGGGTGAAGAAGATTCGCTGGTCAAGCCCCAAATGGCATACCAACGAATTGGTTTATTGGTTCGTCATTTATAAGTATATCTCGATACACACACTTAAACTGGATGGAGAAACCACATGGCGATACCAACAATAGTAGCCAAGCAGCCTCATTGATCAGCGTTCTCTTCTATGTAAAATCCACAAGCGCTTGCTTGTATTTTGGTAAGATGTCAATCTTTGAGTGCATCGATGGAAGCCCCGAAGGAACAACGGATGACGGGATGAGATTCGGCACTAGCAGGGAGTCTTATTGCATGGAATGACGATCAGCCATCGTATCGATCTTTGCAGAGGATCGAATCAAGAAAGGGGATAAATTGCAAAACTGCCAGAGAAATTCCAGCCAGTAAGAGAGAAGATGCCCCTGGTAACCAGTCCCGAAATTGCAGCAATTAAAAGCAAGGGAACAGACGCGCAACCTATCCACAAGTGGCATGTGCAAAGGAGATCTGGATCGAGCTGTTAGCCCATCTTCTTTCATATTATTTACCCACAATCGTAGAAGCTATTTTTGTTCTTTCCGTTGCTGGTTCCCTTTGCTTTTGTTGAACGTGTTGAATTATCCGTGCAGCAGCCGTGGTATCTGGATAAACTGGAGTGACACATTATACATTCTGTTATTATGAGATATGATACTTATTGAAAATTGACAAGTTGTTAAATGATTCAAAGCATGATAGTATACTCATGAACAAAGTTGCAAGATGTAAATAAAGTATAAGATATACTGTACTGACTTAGGTATGCGAACTATTATCAGTGAAAGAAATCGCTAAACTGAAATGATGGAATATCAAATGTTTATTCCCATCATTAGAGCTGTCGTCATTAAGCCGCGCACCCTTCTGTAATTTGCTGACCCATGAAGCATTAAGTTCTCCATTGTGAATGTTCGTATTATTCGTGGTTGGCGACGAGAACCTGTGTTTTCATATGAGATGATGTCGAATACTGGGCAGCATAGCCACTCAAGCAGCTTTTAAACTTGGTTTTGTAGACGGTGGAGCGGCTAGGCGGCACACTTAGGTACATATTTGCTGTTTGTACGGATTACCGCGAAAATGTGAAAACAGTCCGGGAAGCTAATGGTGCGGTGGTACACCCGCCGTCAAATTTGCCCTAAATATAATCCCTGCAGACGTTGCTGCACTTACCATGTAAGTACCATGCTAAGTCATGGTAATTTCAGCAGGAATCGAAATAGTGCGCCGTACCTTGCAGTAGTGGACATGTAAGTGGACATCGTCGGTCAAGCATTGGCCGTCCTCTTATGCTGTTACACTGCCACTTATCTCCTTTTCTGGTTAGCGCTTCTATACTATTGGATGAATCTAGGCCACCCCAGAGGAAGGACCCGCCGTGGGACTTTGTGTACCTGTTGTCCCCCTAAACCTCCTATCTCCCTGCAAACAATTAATTTCACCCGTCTCCCTCCATCTCTTGTGAATCTTCATTGTTTCCCTTTCTATCGCGCCGTCTTCCAACTGAGAGTCAATCCACTCTCTACCACATTCCTTTGGGACCGCAAATACGCTCGTTACATACACCCGCGATACAAACAAATCAACAATCTAACAATCTAATACTCGACATTCCTTGTCTTTAGCGATTATCTCGATCAGCAACTGATAAAATTTGTACGCAATTTCACCAGCTCAATCGGTAAGTGCCAATGCGCAGATATGCATCGTCGCTTCGTCATAGAGTACACAGCTTGAATTACAGCTTTGCTACCTTTACACAATACTGTTGCACGGAAACTTCCCTTTGATCCCACAAGCGCTTTCCTCCCCCTCCCCTCGGATACAGTACTGAATACGGCTGCTATTCCCTCTACCTGCAGTTACGCTGACAATGATTCTATCCAGAATTGCGATTTCAAGCCACGACTATCAAACTTGATAATACTGATTAAGAAGTACCCACCGGTTTAACTTCAACAAATATGAAGGCTACTATCTTGAATCTTGCCGTTGCGGCATCCTTTGCTGCCAGCGCGGCTGCCCAGCCCCACCACCACGGCCACCATCACCACAAGAAGAACGCCGCCGAGAAGCGCGATGTTGAAACTACCTATGTTCCTGCTACCGTTACCCAGTACGTGCTTGACGATAAGGTAGTGAGCGCTGACGAGGCCAAGAATGGGTTGGACAAGGGTCTCTACGTCGTTGTTGGCGAGACTACCCCTACTTTCACCCCTCCTCCCCCGCCTGCTGTTACTAGCAGCTCGTCTTCCAAGAGCGACGCGGTCTTCATCCAGAAGGTTACTGCGAGCTCTTCGTCTTCCGCTGCTCCTACCACAACCTCTTCCGCCCCTGCCGCGACCTCTTCGAGCTCCGATTCCACTGGATACGCCACTGGTATCGATGCTGATTTCCCCGATGGCAAGATCAGGTGCGACCACTTCCCTGAGGAGTACGGTGCTGTTCCTCTTAAGTGGCTCGGCCTCGGTGGCTGGAGCGGTCTTCAATACACACCTAGCTACAAGTTTGGTGACTTTTCCATCAGCTTCATCGAGACCGGTGTGAAGGGAATGGCCAAGAAGACTGGATTCTACTCCTATGCTTGCCCCGAAGGATATGTTAAGTCGCAATGGCCTTCGGCTCAAGGAAGCACCAAGCAATCCGTGGGTGGATTGTACTGCAACGATGACGGCTATCTCGAGCTTAGCCGTCCCGAATCCAAGACTCTCTGCGAGCCAGGTGTCCCGGGTATTACCATCAACAACAAGATGCAGAAGAATGTAGCTATCTGCCGTACCGACTACCCCGGTATCGAGGCTATGGTTATCCCCGTAGACGCACAGCCTGGTGCCGTCCGCCAGCTGGCCAACATCGAATCCGCCGACTACTACCACTGGGACAACAAGCCTACCACTCTGCAGTACTACGTCAACCAGCCCGGTGTCTCAGTTGAGGACGGATGTGTTTGGGACTGCTCTGAGGACCACGATGAGTGCGGTAACTGGGCTCCCACTATCCTTGGCGTTGGCAAGTCCAGCGATGGTAACACTTATATTTCTCTATTCCCGAACACGCCTACCAGCAGTGCCAAGCCCAAGATGAACATCAACATTACTGGTGATGTCAGCATTCCTTGCTACTTCAAGGATGGTGAATACGCAATTGGCAGCAGTGGATGCACCGTAAGTAACTCCATCTATATTCTTTCTGTATACCTTACTAACTGGTATAGACTACCATCCCTAGCGGTGGCAAGGCCGTTGTTACGTTTACCGATGCCTAAACGAGTGCGAGTTGGAGGTTGTTTTCTGTCATACTGGTCTAGGTTTTATATTGCTTTCTAATGGATACTTGCTATATTTCGCCTCAGTACGACAGAATATCAAGAGGCCTGTTTTGTCATGTGGGCGATGTGACAGATTTAATTTTTATTGTGTATATTTCAGGCATTGTGGCAAGGTGACGCCGGACATACCTTGATTTGTGCGTTTGATCGCAGATGGATGGGTTGTTGCGTGCGGGAGTTGGAACTACGAGACGTTTCGCAACATCTCGAAATGGCAGCTTCAGAGTCGACGATTTGATGCGATAGTGGATATGTCCCCTATGTTACTCGGCCGATGTATTCTGTATAGAGCCCTTGACTAGTTTCCCTCATCAGAGTTTGCACAACTAAAAGGCCGTAAGATACAGTGGATAGGAGTCTCGGAAGACGAGTTGGTGGAGAGGTGGTTGGAGGCATATTGGGAGTATACTCTGTGGACATGTTGGTAGGACAGGGCTCGGTACGGAGAATGAAAAATTTCATAAAATAAGTCAATTCTATTTGTTTAAATCTTGCGGTATCTCTGTAATATCAGTACACTATATACCTTGTCTTTTCGTTATTTGAATTTGTATTGTAGAATTATTATATCTACATATATATATATACGTACGTACGTATTGCCTTCTTGAGCTTGAGATTTAATATATGCCGTGCTGTTCGTGTTTAATATCTTAGTCAAGTAGTAATTAAGCAGTCCGGATTCATGATTTTCTTTGGCAATAAAAACATTACAAGTATTATGTAGTATATAGTCGATTCTTATCAAAGGTAAAAGATCAAATGCGGGATGATTCTATACTATTACTATCAGCTATACTATTAGCTACGGTCTTGGTCCCTCCAACTAAGGCTATTTACAGGTAGCTTCCGGATCCACATGTCTGTAGCTTAGACCTCATAAGGCTGATTAGATAGATATGAGTTTAGAATATAAGATAACATGTAAGTCTTACATAATGAAACTAATAAGAGACCGCAAGACTTTTCTATGAGGTACCTAGGTGGGTAGTTGAAGGAATATTTTGGGTTCGATAAAATAATAACTATACAGCACAGTGGTCAATTTGAGGTGCTGACGGTATGTACGTTTAAGCGAACTCTCACCTGCATATCGTAAATGCACCCCTGTAAACACTCTTGCGTCATGGCGATGCATGATTATAGAAGTTCGATAGCTGTTGTTTATTAGTCCATCCTACATAACAGTCTGCCGATATATTAGCACGTAGCCGAAGCCCAATTAGTTGCATTGAAACGTTATCGTCGATAGGTAGGTTGGGTAGGTACCTAACATATCGCCGGGTTACTATGTTGCGACATGCCGTCTTGTATATATGTTGGATCCATGTGTGTAAGTCGGATCAGCGATACACCCGACGTCGCTCAAGGGGTCTTTATGTACTTTATATTGGGTACTTAGGTATGTATAAACTCATCCGACCACGAAATGGTATATTGCGGCTCATGGTCGTTATCATTGGCGGACGTTCCTCGTCTGCCTACTCGTTCCTATGTACGGAGATGTTCCCCGCTGCAGCTTGGCACATAACGTCAACTCTCACATTTTCTTTTTTTTCTTTTTTTCTTTTGGCTGGCTGCTGCTCCAACGGCTCTGGCGATCGAAAGCTCCGGCATTGGCGAATGACCTTCTGACCCGCCCCACCTGTTTAGACTCGTGCGCTAAGCCTTTAGGGTAGCTTGAATAGGCTAAGCTGGGGTTGGTTTGGCTTGGTTTGGTTCGTTCTGTTCTGTTCTGCGTTTAGCTTTTTATGCTCCTTTAAGGTTTTATGCTGCCTCGATTCGATTCGATTTCAACGTAGATCGTCATGGGATAAGTATCCTGGACTTTTCCTTTCTTGAGTATTTTTTTTCTTATCTTTTTTTTTTCCTTCTTCTCTTCTATCCCATAGTTGCGCTAGCCAACTTTTATTTTTGGTAGGCTGTTATTTATTTTTTTTAATTATAATAGAACGCCAGCCATGTCTCTGCAACGTGTTGGATCCCTCGAGGCGTTCGTCATTGTTCCTGCCGAGGGGCTCAGGTCGCGGCGGGGTTCGGCGTCGTCTGCTGCTGCTTCGGAGAGGGCGCGCAAACTCACGTTTAACCCGCTGCCTGAGTCCTGGGACCCCGTCTTCGAGGGTGAAGATGAGGGGCACCTTCACCTTGGACAGTCGAGAGGCGCCTTTGAGGTGCCTCAATGGAAACGAATACGTAAGTGGCTCTTCTGGATATTCGTGACGATGGATGTCTAGCTAGGGAAGCTAATATATAGGCTTGGCGTTTAGTTCAAGTTGTTGTTATGGTCGTGTTTTGCCTCTTTGCAGCGGGGGTTGTGTTTGGATACGCCGCTTTGAAACCGGTCTTGAAGAAAGAGGGTGCATATCAAGATATATGCAATGGCGAAGACACATGTGTGGAAATCCATCTAAATCTTATGTTCACTGCAGCAGCTGTCGCCACCAACGTTGCTGCTCTACCTGTTGGTGCTATTCTAGATCACTATGGTCCTCGAGTCTGTGGTATCTTAGGTGCTCTATTCCTTAGCGTAGGCGCGCTTTTCATGTCCTTTGCGAAAAGCTTGCCTTTTGATGCATTCCTCTTCGGCTACCTATGCCTTGCCTTAGGTGGACCGTTTACGTTTATATCTTCGTTCCAATTATCTAATGCTTTCCCTCGACACTCGGGCCTGATCCTCGCGCTACTTACAGGGGCGTTCGATGCATCGAGCGCCCTGTTCCTCGTTTATCGTATCATCTATAACAAGACAGAAGGTACTTTCGGGTACCATCGGTTCTTCCTCGTTTACCTTATAGTGCCGGCAGTAATACTAGTTTTCCAGCTCACGTTACTCCCCAAACAGTCATATAAAACTGTGGGAGAAATGATCGAGGAGATCGAGGCCCCCGCATTTACTGATCCGACGGACACATTAGACGTTGTGGATGTTGATGATCAGGTGGACGAACAGACTGCGCTTATTCGGGAGGAGCAAAGAGAATACCACGAAAACGTTGTGCACGATATCGAAGAACTACTAGGTTCCAGCAAGGTAGACAAGGATAAGCAAGCTCGCCGCGAGGAGGCGAGGAACGAGAAGAGTGGTGTATGGGGCGTGATGCATAACCGCACAGCATGGGAGCAGATCTGCTCGCCATGGTTCGTACTGATATGTTTGTTCACAGTGGTACAGATGACGCGGATCAACTACTTCGTCGCGACTATTCGGCCGCAGTACGAGGCTATTTTCGACTCGTCAGAAAAGGCCATCGAGATCAACAATTTCTTCGACCTGGCGCTACCGCTGGGAGGTATTGCCTCGATCCCCTTCATCGGGATTATCCTAGACCGTACTAGTACCGTTGCAGTGCTCACGACACTGGTGACGGTCGCAACGTTGATAGGAATTTTGGGAGTGCTCCCGTACGCGTGGGCCGCATACGCCAATATAGTTCTGTTTGTCCTATACCGCCCGTTTTACTACACAGCCGTCAGCGACTACAGCGCCAAGGTATTCGGTTTCCGCACTTTCGGCATCGTCTACGGCACCATCATATGCCTCTCCGGCCTGCTTAACTTTAGCCAGAGCGCCCTCGACTACCTCTTCCACCGCACCTTCCGCGGCGATCCCGTCCCTGTTAACTTGCTGTTGCTCGCGCTCGGTTTGGTCATCGGCGTGTGTCTTGTGGGATTCGTAGGCCTTCAGTCTCGGAGGCTAGGGCGGAAGAGGGATGTGGCCGCGTATATTAACGGTAGGGGGGAGTACTAAGGTATTTATGACTATTTACGCCTTTGACGAACTTTTTGGAGGTCTTAAAAGTTGCATGGCGAGGTGGTTTATTTTGATTTATATATAGGTGCTCCGCACTTGCTTATACATACCTAGGCTATATATAGTGTGTTTGGCGTTTTTGAGATGTTAACGGTACCTATATATATGCAGATATACTTCTTGGGCTTACATAGGATAAATTATTTAAAATGAAAATACATTCTACGGGACATTTATCTTCATTCATGCATTTGAGTGATTTGTGTATATGGAAGGCAGAGAAGGCAAATGTGGTAAGGCGTATTGAATGGGCGTTTCTAAATCATAGCATTTTGCAATCTCTTGAATATATCGAAGAAATTGTTATACTTTTAATTATAAATATAAATGCGTCTTAAATTTTATGAAGCTAAATTCCGAACTTATATAAAGTTTTTGGATAATTTTGATTCGCGAATCTTCTATGAATAAAGTCTTATACATAGTAGATTATATAAAGCATCAACGTAAAACGCCCTTATTCAATAACTACCCGCTATGCATGAAAACTCTGAATCGCTTGACTCATACGTTAATGTAGCCGGATTTCTTCGCCGTAAAAGGGTAAAGATTTGGACTATAGCCCATAACAATGCAGCGCCAGCGTTGGGCATGCTGAGTGTCCCTCGAGGGACCATGGCGGAGGATGCTTGGGTCTAATACTCTGGGTTAATAACCCTTGCAATAAGCTTGACGTCGTAGCCGTTTAACGTCGTGTCTGGTGACGCTGGTATCTAGACTTAATAGATATCGTGCTGACCCAACTGGTCCGTTTTCACTTGGACGTGTACCATGACTTTAATAGCTGGTATCGTAATACTATCATCGCTACTGCTACGATGCGTAGCGAAGTGTATTTTACGGCAACGTTCTGCTTAAACCATCAGATTGAATGCTTGTCGTAAATTTGCGTGATCAACCCTCCTTTGCTGTCTCTGGTGTCGTATCTGTATTTGTCTTGGGTTCACCGTCGGCATCGAAACCGAGCGCTTCAAGCTCTCTCACAAGCTCATTAATCTTGATGACTTTGGCTATCTGCTCTGGCAGAAGAGATTCGCCGCCTTCCTTTTTGCTCTTCAGGTCCTTCGCTTGCTTCAGCTTCTTCTTTAGATTGCGGGCCTTCTTTTCTCTCTCGGCTTCTGGGTCGGCAACATCCTCGGCCTTGGCGGCGTTCGTGTCTCCGGAAGCGTTGTTATTGGTCGCTTCGGCGGGATCTTGCGACTGCTTTGCCTTCTTCCTTGCTTCTCGGCGTTTGGCGTTTTTGTTGCTGGCGGCGGACGCAGCAGCAGCAGTTTCTTGCTTTTGTTCCTTTAATCCTTCTGCCCCGATGACGCCGCCTTTGCCGCGGTTGCGGAACGACTCGGCGGTGCGGTTCTTGTAGAGCTCGACGTCCTCTGGTGGTCTATACCCAGGGCGGATCTTAATCGCTTTCCTTGTGGTACCGTCTGCGCGCACGGACTCTGGGATTTGGCGCTCGCCACTGTTCTCGTCTGTGACGATGCCCGCAGTCGACGGTTCGGAAGGCATGGGGGGATGTATTATGTTGTTGTGCACTTGAAATGGGCTTTCTGGGCGTAGGTTGTAAAATGTTGTGAAGTATGAAGCGAAGAAAGCGAAAAATATAGTTATAGTAATGAGAGCTTATTAGTGGGAGTGAAGGCTGAGGGGCTCAAATGGAAGAATAGCCCACTATATCTCGGAGAAAAAAAGTGGATCATCAATTCTTTAAGCTTCAACCAATTAGAAATAGCCATTTCTAAATCACCAATTCTTTCTTCGGCTTGGAACCTGCGAAGTTGGAACTTACGCATTGACTTCACGACGTCTGTCATTCAGCAACGCCAACAGTCTCCCTCAATCTACCCAAAAGTCGCACCCCTATATCCTTGATATATACCTCTTCAGACGGTATTCGCTATGGTATGATTTACTCCTGCCCGATTGCTGTTGATGCGCTGCAACTAACTAATCGCGCAATAGGCCGCCGTAAACTCTTTCTACAAGCAAGTCGACCATACCTATAGCTATAAGCTTTGTTAAGCTAACAATTCTTCGCACAGCGCCTTTTTCCGATCAAACTGGCAGATGCTGGGTGTTGTCTTTACCTCGGCTTTCGCTTTCGAGATGTACGTGGACTTCTACGGGAATATGGGAATAAGGTGTAGCTGCTAACGGAATATCAGGTTATATGATACTAGCATGAACAAGGTCTGGGATAACTTGAACCGAGGGGTATGTGCTGCCTAACGATATTCCGAAGAGAGTACCGCGACTAACAATGCGAAAGCGACAATGGAAGGATATCCGATCCCGATACGTCCAGGATGAATAAGCGACCACCATCAACTCCTGAGATTAGAGAATGCTTGATATGGAACATGGAAACTTCCGGGAACGATCGAGTGTCTCAAAAACTGCACAGTTGTACCTTATAGACCGGAACAATTCTTTATAGCACAGTTCGCACAAACGCTATATTTATATCTACCTCTTCCCGTATTAAACGACTATACGATGCTCGTGTGAATGCTTGCCCAAACGTATATTAGAAAATTACAATTAAGGCATCTAAGATAAATAGTTAATCTCATTCATTAGACCAACTCGATTTGCCAGTGTGTAAACGTTGGTCAACTTCTTATAACATCTTAGATACATGTAATCAATCATTGCAAATAAAGAAAAGGAAATGTATTTCTATATACATTATCTATCCTAAAATTGTGGAACTATATAAGGTAATTATCAAATTTGCCATTAGTACGAGCAAATGGAATTTGTTAGATGAGGTGTAACACTTTCATTTGGTTATGATACTGACGGTGATATGAATAATATGGCGTGTACCTAATATACAGTATATGATATACATAGCAGCACATGGCGGCAAACTGTATTACTTAAGAGAGACGCTAAAGCTCAAATGCTGATTCGCAGCTGCTAAATGCGACCGAGTCACAATACATAGTGTGATGGATTGACGGTAACTGCGGTAGTAATCTTATCACTGATAACGAATTTTAGTCTCAAATAACCTCCAGTACTTACGTAGGAGGGGGGAATGGAATGCGCTTCTTCTCTGAAGCTTTCTAATCATCAAATCTCGATTTCACCTGTTTCACCTATTTCCCCCCTCCGTACTTACCTTTTCTCAATTGTTCATGGTGGGACGCGTGTTTCTTTGTTTATCTAGGTGGATTATACCTATTTCTACTTTAAGTTACCTAGGTACATTAGTTTAATATATACACCACCTTTACGCCATCACCTATTAAATAACAGCACCCATATTCTCGAAGACATTGACTCTCCACACGTGCCGCCACCAACTCATCCACCATCGACCTCGGTTCTACTTCTTCGATATCTATCTACAAATTCTCTCACCCTGGTTGCCGTCCATCTCCCACTTTTCTCCATATTAGAAATGATAATTCGTCGAGTCTAGTCATGGACACCGCTATGTCTACTCAAGAGCTCCAGCTCTGTCAACATCTAATAGAGCTACCCCGACGTTATGGATACCGATACGAGGAAGCCGCCTGTCGGGATCTCTTATATAATCTCTTCTGGTCTATGGCTGGAGGGAGACCCGAACACCTGCGACTGTTTTTCCCCGATGGTAAACTCACGCCAAAGAGCACCTTGAAGCTCCGTGAAGCTCAGGGAGCCGTAGAGGGGGCCGAATATACCGAGGCTGCCCGTGGTAAGGCATGCGGTCACATATTTCGAGCTGGGGAGGCGTCGTATGGTTGCAAGACTTGCAGTACCGACGAGACATGTTGCCTGTGCAGCAAATGTTTCAACGCCACAGATCACACAGGCCATATGGTACGGATTTCAATATCGCCAGGGAATAGTGGCTGTTGTGATTGTGGTGATCCTGAAGCTTGGAAAACTCCTATGTTTTGCACAATTCATAGTGAGCGCGAGGAAGACCGGTCGAAAGGAAAGGGTAAAGAGGTTGCTGGATTGCCCGAAGACGTTGCTTCCAATATCCGTATGACAGTTTCCCGAGTCCTTGATTTCATCTGCGATGTCATCTCCTGCGCTCCCGAGCAACTTCGACAGCCTAAGACGAGAGAATCTATCGAAAAAGATGAGAAGATGTCCCGCTTAGCTTCGACTTACTGCGGCGGGGATGTCGAATCACCTGGGGAGTATGCGCTGCTGCTTTGGAATGACGAGAAACATACAGTGAAGGAAGTTCAAGACCAAGTCGCGCGGGCGTGTAGTACGACTCTTAAAGAAGGATATAACAGAGCACTAGAAACTGACTCGATCGGCCGGAGTATTCTGAAATACGATACGAGCATAGAGAGGTTGCTGAAGTGCGCTACCATTCTTGAACATATCAAGATAACTGTCACCATTCGGTCATCTCGTGATACATTCCGAGAGCAGATGTGTGGAACTATGATTGACTGGTTAAACGACATATCGGGGTGCGTAGTAGGAAACGACCAGAATATCCTCCGAATGGTTGTCTGTGAAGAGCTCCTGAAGCCCTGGCGGAAAGGGAGCCCCGGCACGCATGCGATGCCTGGTAAAGATGGCCTCGAGGACGAGGAGAAACTTGAATATGACCCGCTTGAGGCCCATACAGCCACAATTTTTATACAACGAGCAAGATTCTTAACTGAGCAGGGCAACACAGCCACTCTAGCAGAATTTCTTGATTCGGATGATGATGATAACGATGATGACGATGAAGATATGGACGTCGGTAATCGGACACCTTCCAGTGGAGAGGAAGACAACGATGACGAAGAAGACGAAGACGAGGATGAGGATGTGATGATGGTGGACACGCGACCGGACGCTGGCGGCGCCGATGTGAATGTACCCGACTGGATCGGACCAGGTGTGGCGTCTCTCGAAGAGGAAGAAGCGACAATGGCAGGTTATCCACCCCCTCCGCCGCCACCTCCTGTACCGAGACGCGCGACCCGGGATCG